CGGCAATAAACGCCAGAAGACCAAGTCTGACACTTTCAAAAAGCAAATTCGTCCTGACATGCTGGGAGGCAGTCGGCGGCCTCGAACCGATGTCGAGCTTGAAGATGAAGACTGGGAAGATCACACTGTCGATACACCAACACACGGGTTCGCTCCAAGGCATTTGACCGTGCCAGGCCGCGGCGAGGGCACCACAGACGTAAGCGATGCATACCAGACTGCCAACGAGACAGAAGGTAATTTCGAGACGGCGGATGAAAGGCAGACCACGGAGAGCGAGGACTTTCAGACCGGCGCTGAAAGTCTGGCCGGTGACAGCACAGATGATCTCACCGAGACTGAAGATACAGCGTCGCATCGAGCAGGTCCTCGTCGCGGTCCGAAACCGACTCTCACGTTCAAGGCTGCCGGCGATCGGCAGTCGTTCGTTAGCACTGCTTCCGACGACGATGAGCTCAAGACTCCTGTTGTCACTCAAGCTCACAAATTCCGCCTCAGAAACGGACGCCAATCATTGGTTCGGTCTAGGGTGCCTACTGATAGCACTCCCTCAAACTTGGACCCAGAAACTCCTTCGCAGGATTCTCCAGCCACTGTCACAAGTGAACGCAGTCTACCTGCAGGACAAAGCCTGTTCGCGGAGCTAGGCGAACTTGACGAAACCACCAGCTTCGGCACTCCGAGTAGAGTAGCTAGCCTCGCTTCGGCGACGTCGACCCCTGGCATTCCTATCTATACACCGAGCAGACGGGTCACTCAGGAAGAGGCGCCAAAGAGCGCTGCGAGGGTGCCAATGGTTGATGCTGGGACAATGACTGAGATGCCGGAGCCCGAACCAACACTGGTCGCACCGGTGCCTCCTGCGAATGACAAAGAAGTGCCTGTCACTGATAATACCAGAGCGCAGTCGCCACTTCCCTCCGACTTCCCCCTGCCTCCGACAGCTCCCACCTCGCCTGTCGAAAACACCGACCACAGCACCCAGTATACTCCGCAGACAAGTCCAATCAGAAATACTGCTTTCATCACACCACCAAAGACTGTCTGGGACGAGGCACAAAGTCCTGAAGCGAACCACGTAGAAGCCGTGGCTACACCTCAGACGCCTAGACGTTTGGATTATTCAGGCCTGGTAATGCACGACACTACACCCGCATCCCCTGACATTCCTCAACGTCTCGTGGAGCTCGTACATAGGACTCTCACCTTCTCCACGATTCATGCTCAAACGACTGAACCAATTGGAACTCCCCCCAAACCCTCCTTTACCGGCGTCAGCGCTGCCACCCAGTCTGATGACCTACCAAGGACCCCCCGAAAAGCAGAGAATACAGCAGGATCTGGTCTGCTTGCTTCCGCTGCCGCTGCCCTGGGCTTTGCCAGATCCAAGGACACTGCCGGCGCCGTCGTGGCGGAGGATGAGACCCGTGAGCCGGAGAGGGTAGTAAATCAGACGATAGCGGAGAAAGATCTCCCTCTTCAGGACATATCTGGGAATAGTGTCTCTTCGAAGGCGGTCACGCCACGACCAGAAAAGCAGGATGAGGAACAACGGCTGCCGGCTAGTCTGAGGCAGGACCAATCCTCTCAAACATCCCTTACTGCCTCACAGATCGAGGAAGCCCTCCGACCTAAGACCGCAATTCTTACGGCTCCTCCTGGACCTGAACAGCCAACACAGAATGCCACGAGGCTGATTAGTCCAATGCCACCAACAGAAGGGGCTCAAAGCCAAGACCATGGTAGCTTAGCCACTCTGAAGCAGACCGTAGATCATGCCCCAGTCGTTGCCGCCCCGATGCCGTCGCCAGTCAAGCGTCCTTCGAGTGCGTCAAGCCGACGTACGTCCTTTAACACAACACACCCACCTCTCCCGTCAGACCACAAGGAAGCCATCGCCAAGGCTAGCGAACGTCCCCTATCGCCGACAAAAGAAATTAGCAGAGCGACGGTTATGGGCCCGCCTCTTCTTCCTGCTTCGGCCATGCGTCGGCCTCGTACGCCTGGAGAATCTGTGCGCTCGCCAACTCGGGATAGCAACGCTCCCAGGACCTCCAATGTCAGTCGTACTCAACGTGGCACTGTCACATCTCAATTATCTCATCGTTCATCTGTATCGTCGTTCGCCTCTGAAATTGACGAACGCTTCAACATGCACCGACCCGGGCAAATGTCCGCTCATGGCTTCAGTACGGATCCAAGAATCATCCAGGCTATCACCCAGACGATGATTGGCGAGTTCTTGTGGAAATACACAAGAAAGGCTGGCCGTTCTGAAATGTCAGAGACACGGCACCGTCGGTATTTCTGGGTGCATCCCTACACCAAGACACTGTATTGGTCGGATCAAGACCCACAAACGGCTGGCAGGACAGAGCTGAAGGCGAAGAGCGTGCTGATAGAGAGCATCCAAGTGGTGCCAGACGACAATCCCATGCCACCTGGGCTTCATAGGAAGAGCCTGGAAGTGGTCACTCCGGGGCGACGTGTCAGATTCACAGCAAGTACAGGCCAGAGACACGAGACCTGGTTTAATGCACTCAACTATCTACTCCTTCGTGGCGAGGATCAGCAATATTCTGCTGGCGGCAATGACATCACCAGAGATGACCTCGACGAATTCAATGTCAACGGCGCTGGTTATGGTGCTACATTGGTACCAGGGGCCAGTCGCATGAGTCTTTCTAGCTACAACTCTCGGACGACTCGTGGTTCAGCTGCCCAACAACAGCAGCTACCGGCCGGACTGGTTGCCTCCAACAGCACACCTAGCATGCCTCGGGCGTCTTTGGCGAGCCGAACAGCACCAAACTCGACTGTGCGCAGAAGCCGTGCCGAACGATCCCAGGATGCTGATAAAGACCGCACAGTTCGTGCTAGCAGTGTGAACCGCTTTTCACGTATGTTGGGCTCAGTAACAGGTCGCACATCGAGAATGAGCGAGCAGCAACCTGCCACACATACTGCTACTGTCGGGGGAACGAGAAGCGAGGGCGGAAGTATATACGACGCTAGCGTTGTCAGTGAAGGTCACAAAGATTCTGCCGAGGAGTTGAGACAGGAGATGCTGCGCCAGGAGGAGGCCATCTGGTCGGGAGGGCTGGAGAACGTACGAGCCTGCTGCGATGGTAAGTCATGTCTCCAGGTGGGCTGTTTCGAGCTAGAAAAATGCTGATATGTAAATCTAGGCAAACACGACGTCTCGACGCTCAGTCATAGCCATCGCCACGCCTCTACCGGTGGGCAGGGGCACCGAAACATCAGAGAGAGTTTCAGTCTGAGAGGATCAACCAGAAGGCGAGAGCAGAGCTCAACCCCGGGCCCTGTTGCCCCTTCAGCGGCATCAGCGATGCCCGCCACTACACCTTCGAGACAGGCGGCTGCCGTCACGGCGTCATAGAGGGCGTTGCGGCTGTGCAGATCCAGCCTGTTGGACGGGGTGTGCCTTGACTACTGACATGGTTTTCACCAATTTCTCTCCTTGAACTATTTCCTAGTTGTCGTGAGAAAAGCCTAGGGATTTTCGACTTTGGGCAGATCAGATCAGCCCACTCTCTACTACGCCTCCTTCCTCTCAAAATTGCTTTGACAGCGTCGCAACGATTTGCCTTTACGAGTTTCATGATGGGCTAGAAAGGGGATTGGAACGGTGTTTGCTAGATGCTGCGCTTGAGCTGGGCATGGGTGGAGGTATGGATGGATGCATGTTCCCCAAAATCTTCCTCGCTACTGTGATAGTGCATAGTACCTACGTACGTCCGTTTTGTTCGAAAGGATTCGAGATGCGTGCATGTGCATGTGCTTATAAGCTGTTCGCTTAATTGGAGCCTTGGTGCCGTCATGCTGGTCCGTTTGACGACATACTCGATGCTGGCCACTCAGGCAGTCAGTCTCGAGGATGTTTGCCAATTCTATATGCTGGACTTCGTCACTGTATCCGCCAGTATGGCGAAGGATAAGTATTGACCTTGAACCTGCGGATATCGTGCAGTACACGCAAACCTACGTCTCGAGGCCAGGCCGGGCCCGGCTAGGCCATTTCATTCATGCCTTCATTCGTCATTTACTTCGTGACACATACAAGTATCTGAACTCGCGAACCCCCGAGCCTCTTGCAGTACGTGCTACAGTATACTGCAGTTGGCCGCCCCCAAGCCCCCGTGATTATTGACGAGTACCGCCTGGAACTACCTCGTCGCTGGCTGGATGCCTCGAGGAGAGCGGCCCTCTCACTTCCTCCCTCGGTGCCGCCCTCGGTGACTCCCTTCCCCTCTCTATATGTGTCTTTGGGGTGTCCTTGTCTGTCTCCGGTACGACCCTTGGAATTGCGCCTCTCGCCCCTCCTACTCTTACCAAAACATACTTCTCTATCTGTCTGTGGCAACGCCGCCCCGCGCTGGTTCGTCGTGGCTGGCCCCGATAGTCGGGCGCGGTCCTTCACTTCCCTCTATACGTACTCGACACACGTACGTAGGATGCGGGCTCCTCGTGCCTGCGTTGATTGATCCACTTGGATCTAGTGTAGTCTCGTCTAGTCTGTTCTGTTCTGCGTGTCGCATTTTGGCCTGTATACTAAAGTGGCTTTGTTGTCCCTCGTGTGCCTCCTTTTTCCCCATAGAGAGAGCTCATATAAGCTTCGACTCCGAACTTTGCCGTGTATAGACAGACCTTGTGGCCTCCTCATGTGGCGATGTTCTTCTGTGTATATCGATCGCTCGGGACCATTCAATGGCACGGTGCATTGGCAGCGAGTCCTCCAGTATGCCGAGTCTTCGAATTTCAACTTCTCACGGACCCAGGAGCCCGTAGCCCGAAGCTACAAGACGCATCGCTAGGCGACTGCAAATCTGTAGGATAGGTTTCGGCGTCTTCCATGCTGTGAAGGATGTAGTTCGTCTCTGTCCCACTGATGCCAAACCTCACCTTGATAAGCGTAGCAGGCAGATACGGATCCGGCAAGAAAGACTGTGGTGTCTGCAACCCCGGTCTGCTGATTCCAATCACATAATATAAACCTTGCGGACTTGATCCCAGGTGAAGCTCTCTCCCGTGGTCGGATCTCTGACCTCTCCTTCCTTGCCGATCTGCAGGTCTTGCATGCCATCCGCTCCGGCACCTCCGCCACAGGCCATGACGAGTTTTCTTTGCAACTCTTCCAGCCTCTCCCGGCCGTATATGCGACCGTTTGGCAGGACCACAGGGTCTGGCTCGACGGAACTGGTCGTGTGATGAGCGTAGGGCACGTTCCGGGCTAGCTCGTTCAACTCCATACTGCATATGGGACACAGAGAAGTGTTTGTTGCGATGCGGGCGTGGCCTGGGGTCGACGAACTCGCTGGGTTGTATGCGCTGTGGCACGCTGGTGTCTTCAAGGCTGAAAGACCCGAGGACAAGGCAACGTGCAAGAGTGGTTGAACAGGGAGCGAGAGGAGCGTATGATGCGTCTCGATGAATAGGTTGGACAAATGGTGCCACCGCGAGGGAGCGAAGAGTGTTCGATATGGCTCAGCTTGCGTCTCTGGTGACTGCGCCAGCAGACCGGCCGCTTGCATGATGGCCTCGGCCCGGGATGAGGTATGCGGGGTCAAATGCTGTTGAGCGTATTGTCTTGCTTCGAGTTTCTTGGGCGTCGTGCCAGCCCGGACAAGCTCGATAAACTGTTGCAGCCTCAGTTCAAATTCCAGGTCGGTCGTTTTGTATGGCAATTGAGTCATTTTCTTGAGCTGCGCCCTATTCTCATTGATCCACGCGAGGGCTTCCTTCGTCTCTCCTCTAGTGAGGGAAGAGGCAATCTTGTGGCATGTGATGAATGTGTCGAGATCGATCAGGTGGGAGATCTGCTTGGACTCGGCCAGCGAGGAGGCTGTTTTGGAGTAGCCCGAACGGAGGAGGTAGTCAATCATGAGCCGGTCAAGGCGGGTGCGTGACCATTGCTCGTACTTGACGTCCACCAGGGAGGGGATTTCGTACAGGTCTTGCAAATGCTTGATTCGCTTGGCCGAGTGGTCATGTAGGGCCTCCTCTTCCGTGTGCAGTTTCTCCAGTTTGCGTTTGAAGCTTTGCATCCGCTGAATCATGGCGTCGAGGGAAGCGAGGGTCTGATCCGGAGTGTGGGACGAGCTGAGCGCCGCATTGGCCGTCTCTTTGAGGGCGGGCAGGATATAGTCTCGTTCTCGCTCCACATAGCGTTGTGTGTTCCTGAAATTGCGTTTGATGAGTTCATGAGGGAGTCGGAGAAGAGGTTGGTCCTGTGCATATATCGGTCAGATGCTGCAACCGGGCCCCCGAGTGAGCACCTACATACAAGAAGGATATGGCTGTCCGGGTTCAGTTTCGTGGCGGTGAATTCTGCTGCCATTGTGCAGCGGAGAGGGTGTCAGCGGGCGAGTGGACACTGAGTAGTCGGCAATCACCAAGGCAGATCAGCGTTTCACCAATTTAAGACCGCCTTATCGTTGCTAAGTTGTGAATGACCTGAAAGTGAGGGCGTACGACGTCGGCAAGTGGGCATCGACGCAGCGAGTGACAGTGGTGTTTTTCCCCGCCGTACTCTCTACGGTGCAACACATCACATCTTTCCAAAATTGGAAACAGCCTCATAGCCAGACCGCGACGACGAGAAGCGGCTTCCGTTCTTCACATCACGGTGAGGTAGATATCATGGGACTCATAGACTGTTTCATCCTGATGGCGCAGATATCACCGGCTGCTGTTCCAAACCATGCTGTTAGGTGCTTGCAATGGAGTCCCTCAATTTGTTTCATAGATGCGGTCGGGATTCCTCGAAAGGCGGCCATCAGGTTCGAGTTGAGGTCGATATTGTTCTGCCGGCCAACTTGTGATCCATTGGTACCTGCGCAGCGCCGGATAAGGCACAGGTAGAAGGGCCACGGACTAAATTCGTCTTCGCAAAGTCTCTCACGCCCTGTCACACGATATAGAACCGGCAAATAACGAAGTGGTATCATACCACACCTCTTGCACTCAGTGTCACGCGTGAAAGAGTCGGGCCCTTCCGGTTGTCGCACATGGAGCCGATGTTATAGTCAAGGACAAACGTGGCTTCTATTCCTTGGAAGTGTGTAGGAACGGAGAATCATGTTCCAACGTCTGAGCTTTCAACCACCCATGCTGGGAAATACACGTTGTATCGTCGAAGAATTCAGTTCACAAACAAGGCCATAGACTCGTAGAAGGCCGTCGCCCCCGAACACTCCGGGTCTGCCGCGCCATGGCCGCTCCGTCCGCTGCATATACCCTACCGTGGTGCGGGTTCCGGATGGGAGGCCGTCCAAATTTTGGCCATCAACCTCAGTGACTGAGGCCTATCGATGGATGCCGAGATTTCGCAGTTGAGGACAAGGTCAGCTATGATGGTGCCCAAGTTTGACACCTGACGACTCATCCTGACGTTGTCCAAGGTTCACCTTTCTTCAACACATCAGTATGTGCCTACGACACCATGTGCCCTTCAGAACAAGCATATGACAAGTAACTCGGAGGCAAATAACCCGAGGCAACGCTCAAAACTCGCTTGAGTGCAGCAGCGGATTCGCTATGTCTTGATCTAATGGGCGGCGAAATACAGTTACCACATAGCCGGCGGCGCATGCTATTGTAAGGTTCAGCATGACAGGGTCACAGGGCTCCTTACCTTTGGAAGCGTCATGAACAGCCAGAGAACTGTCCCGGAAGCAAGCGCCATGTAGGTTTCCGAGGGTTGACAACGGCGTGTCGAGTTCAGCCTCAGAGATGCACTTCTGTTCTAGAATGCCATCAGACACGATGGGCGAACGATAAAGTAATGTCTCGGATCACAAGTTCTGTGGTAGGCGGAAGGTGAGAGTCTAGGCCTAGAAAGACATGCTCGTATCAGCATTCCAACGGATCGCTTCGCTACTCCGATGACGTTGAGTCGCAACTTTTGGCAAGTGCGGTGCTCGAAAGGACTGCCCTTGATCGACCTTGCATGCATATGTCTTTGGACGGGCGTTCGTGTTGCTGGGGTCCAGAGCGATGGTGGCAGTATGGCCACTAGAGCGGATCGGAAGGCGAGAGACATTTGGTTCGTGAACCGAGTCGTTGGTCGTATCAATGGACCGCAAGCCGAGGCTTGCAGGGCCTTCATCTAACTCGTATGGTCACCTGTTCCTTCGGTCGGACAAGGACCTATTGGGTAAGGGCGAGTCGCATCGGAGTCATTGCTGAATATTGCTGAACCAGCCGAACAGCGCCATGGAGACCAGGAAGAACGGAAATCGGTTTGAGACTTGACGTTCTAGACCAGAGAGCGCCCAGTACCCAGCCCATAATAGCTCCTTTGAGCTATGCACCTGGACGCGTATGGAGGAGCTGGCGAGTTTGAGCTGGAAACGAAGGCTACGGGGACTTGCGCTCTGGTGAGTGTTGAGTGAACACCTGGTGAGTGAAGTGCGCCAACAGACGCGCGGTACCGAGATAAACAGCCTACATGGCTTGCATTGCCGGGGTTTAATAGGCTATGTTTTGCTGGTGGTGCTAGACAGCTTCAGCTTGGACCAAACGATCCTTGAACTTCTTCTCACTTCACCATTGCATGCAAGTGATGAATGACGGTGGCGATTGCGGGGATTTGGAGCAGATCACGCAACGATTGCCTACTCCATGCATAATGATGATGAAGCAGGTACGAGTACTCGTTACTTTTCATGGCCCAAACCTGAAACGGCCACTCTTGTGTGGTCCAAGCGAACACCGCGGTAACGAAGACTGAGAGCTGTAAAGTTTCAGCGAGCTGTCTGCTATACTCTCTCTGTTTCAGACGGCAATAGCGGACTCGAGCCCTGGCAGCTTGGAGAGTGTGCGGGTATTCTTCAAGATCTCCTGAGTGATACCAATGGAAGGTCACGGTGACTGTTTCGTGGCGAAGCTGTGAGGCTCAAACGCTCCTCACAACTTCTCAAAGCGGAGATGATCCGTCGGCCCACAGCTGGCGGGGATTGCGGTTTTAGGGATCGCTGTTGCCGCAAGGAGCCACCACAACGGTACCGCATTCATGTATTGTAAGGAGCCAGTCAGTGGTCACAGACCCCTCAGGGACAGGCCTCGCTGATGAGCGCCAGGTTCTTTTGCGCCTGCCAACTTCATTGGCTCATATTGGACGACTGCAAAATGCTCACGCTGCAAGGGGTGAGCTCCTCTTGGAAATCACATATTCAGCGTCCTGGCAGACATCTGGCGAGCTGCCAGCCTTTCCACTAATTATGGGATAGAAATCAGGTCTCGTACGAGTTTAAGCTTCATTTGGGGCCACAATCGCTGCAGACACTCACCGTAAGACATGTGATAGTGCCGAGTTAGGACGATCGAACTTATTCCTAGATCGAAAGTGAGGGATTCTAGATCCTCTGGCAGTTGGTGCTGTGTAGACTCGGAAGCATCTTACAGCTTCTTCAGGTCGAATATACTGTACGCCTATCGCTTCGTGAGCAGTCGCAGCATGTGAATCGAATGCGGGACACACTAATGACTCAGATTCTGTCGGATGTTGAGCAGCTTAACGAAGTTGAACCATACGTGAAAGAAAGCTGCATCGTCGAGCCAGGTGCTACCTGGAGGTGCCGACTTTACTTTCACAGCAATAACACTTGTCAGTGCGGATGAAAGAGCAAGCCAGGAATTGTGGTGAATATTTGCACGGGTCCTGACGCAGAGATGAAAGACAGTGCCGTCTAGCTCAACGATTTATACCGTAATGAGTAAACTGGCAATGGGTTTCCAAGGCAGTGCCTTGTGTTAACGGGTAAGAGCAGGGTTTGAGGGCGGAATGAAGAATGGAACATTGGCCAGCGAGATCCTCGTCGAGGCCACTCACTTCCTGCACTACACAGTGCAGTACAGTCTCACCACTGGCAAGGTCTTCTGGTCCCGAGCCGGACAAGCATCACCGGCACTAGGTGTGACGCGAGTGCTGCTACTGTGTAGTCGTACAAGCCGATCATTATTCGATCTCCTCAAGATAGTCTTTCCTTACCTTTGACCACGCGAAGCGTCAACTGCCTTTCGCACATCCCAGCGCTGTGGTACATCTCCCCATCAAACAGCTGAGTGGCAACCTTGACGGGTGGATGAATGTGTCGAGAAGTGGGAATGGCGTGCCGGCCACGTGAAGCCAAGTTTGGACAATTGTTCATTTAAAAAATATCTTGAAGCTTGCCATGGTTTAGATGCCAAAATCTGTGTAGATTGGGAGGATGGCTTTCTGGATCTTGTTGAGCGCCGTCTTACACACACGTGAGAAGGTTAGGAAGATAGTCGTTCACACCAGATTTGTTCACTGACAGCCCCTGGACGGTCAAATTGTAGTCGCATGCTGAAATCATGGGGAGCACTGTGCACATTTCGAGTCCGGCGTCACTGCTGATCGTGAATTTGGCGTGCCTAGTCGACTTCGCTTGCCGAACTCCGTGGCGTGATCGGTGGTGCAATACGAGTACAGGGTAGCTTGTGGAGACTAATGCTGGGCCTTCTCATCGACTGACCAGTCATCGACACAGGGAATGCTATTGAGATGCTGTACAGTACGGGCACCACCACAAGTACGAGCTATGGGCGGTCATGTCGGATATCGACGTATTTTGTACATACTGTAGGGTGGCTAGATGTTTCCTGATTGATCACCCACGAATACTGACGGAAGTAAGAGTTGACAGGGTAAATCCTGGCCACACATACATGCAGTAAACTAGCCACTTAAACAGGCATGATTGTAGCTGAAACCTTTGCTGGTCTTTGTGTGAGAGCGATGGCAGCAGTCGCCATATCAAAAGTTGCCATTGTGACCCTTGCCATGCGGAATGCGCCTGGCAATCATCGAGGACTGGCGCTCAAAAGGCTTCAGATTCGCACATGGTCCACGCGAAAGCTCTAAAGTGGCAAAACCGCAATCAGCCTGTGACACGCCCAGCACTTCACGCCTCTCTTTGCGGTCCTCTAGGTGTTCGAAGTACCCGGCCTAGAACAGAAAGCTCTCCAGTCTTAACCAGTAGATCTGCGTTACCTTCCAACCTGTACGAGTACAGCGTGACCATGGAAGCAGATGTACGAGTCCGGCTTGCTTTCCGTCCTTGAGACTCTTGTGACATCATGACAGTGACATGCATCACCAAGACAATTCCAAGATCTCCTGGTGGCAAGCGGCGTGCCTCGATGTATTGTGTATATTGCACACATTCCGAGTACACGCGTCTTATCTCTGCAAAGTTACGGGCTTGCCTTCAAAAGACCCGGGGATGTGGTTGCTCGGTGAAATTCCTCGTGCTGTACCCCTCACAGGTATGTAACAACGATGGAGAACCGAAATGCACCTATGGCATATGGGCGTCGCGGTCGCCGGTGCATCTGGACAATCTTCAGCCCAGAGTGGAAGTCGGAAAGGTCGCAATCCACGTGGCCGGACCCGGTAGAGCCACACTGGATGGGGTTGCTCTTTGGAGCGCGACACAACCGACTTGGCCGAAATGGTGCAGATTTGACTTTGGCCATGATTCCCGGCCGGAGGATCTCTATGGGCAGCAGCCGAGCAGCCGCCCACAACAGTGCCTGACAGGCGTCCGGAGGCGCTTTCCGTGGCGAATCTAGACTGCCGCGACTGCCCATGAGCGTTCTTGGACGAGAGGACGATCATCCCCGAGCCCAGGCAGACAGGGCTTCAGTCGACCATTAACTGACTACTCGTACATAGCCGGCACACAGTACTCCGCAGTTCCGCAGGCACGCCTCACTACACCGCCACAATCCCGCCGTCTACCATTCCCCTGCTTGTCGTCATTTCTTGCACTCGTGCGATGAGCGCTTCCAGCCAGAGCGGTCCCCCCATCGTGGAAACCGGATACGAGCAGCATTGAACTTTTGTCTTTGCTACTCCGCTCAGATCGCGTCTAGACTAGCTAGGTCGTTATACCTGTCTTAGGAATGATAGTCTTCACTGCCCAGGTGGAAGCGAGTAGTCAGATTGAAGACAGTACGAATACTCGTACCACTCCACCTCCTCCTGAAAACCAAGCCACTGACGAAGCACCTCTAGGCGCTACATCTAGTTCTCACTAACCGCTTGCGTCTCTATTCTGCCAGTAGGTGGAGTCGATGGGCCCTTCAGGTTCATGAAATCATGTTCCAAACCCACGCGGTCGCAGAGGCTACCGTTCGGTAAAGTCATGCTGACAAACACCCAACAAACTGGAGGCGTTTTTGGTGACGTGAGTGGAATCCATGCTGCTGGATTGAACAGAACTTCCGCGCTTCTCCATGTCGACGTGCATTCGGCCCTCCAATCTCGCCTCCGGCCTTGACGCTTAGCCCCCAAATTCGGGACTTGAAGCTCGCTCTACTGCAAGAGCGATGTACCTACATGATTGAGAGCAACGTTGTGACGGGGAGAAAACAATGCGTGAATCGCTAAGAGGCTGAATGGTATTTTTGGATATGGCGCTTTGTGTGCGACCCACATGCCACGCGCTGACTGGAGCGCTTCATACATCGGTTCAGGGCGTAGGACAAAGAACTTTCCCTCAAGACGGAGCACGTACGCTGAACCTCCCCACTACCGTATGCAGTACCATACTCTGATAGCCGCCTTCGAGGCCACAGTCGCGGCGATTTAGTCCCATCAAGCCACGCACCGGTCTCTCAGTGGCGCTAACGTGATGATCAGCCAACTTGACCCCGAGCAGCAAAGAAGCGCGTCCCTAAGATCTGGGCAGCTCAGGCAATCATCCGTTACAGCCGGCGGCTTGCAATTGGAGATACCTGATAATTCTTGTCCCTGTCGACTACCCCACAAGACTTTAGGTTGCCCTTTTTGGGTACCTGGCCATGACGAGGCGACGATCTTCCTGGCCCTCGGCGTTGACAGCGTGTGCTGAACTCGGCCAGTAATCGACCAAAGATCGGACAACTAAGTTCGATACACAGGGCTGTCCAGACGTCTAGATCCTGGGCCGTCCAATACTTGCGTGCATTTCCTAATCTCTAGCTAAACCATTCCGACCCTTCAGAAAACACGATACTGGGCGGATACACTTGGACGCAGATCGTTCCTGGAAACGTCACCCTGTTACAACATTGTCGGATTGTCGGGTCTCCAGGCCCTAGGTTCCGAAGGAATACTGTAAACTAGTCTCAGGCCGTTCGTTGGGGCAGGACCCGGCCAAAACCACAGGCTAAATAGTGGGCTTCTTCACTGACAGGGCCTTCCCAAACAGGGCTCGATGTGTACCGAGCTTTCTAGAGAGAAGTCAAATTCAGCCATGGCAAGTGACCCTGCCAGATCTCGTACCTCGTATGCCTATGGTCTGAATCTGTTCTGGGCCTCACCGGTCCTGAGAACCAAGATGTGGCTTTCCGACCTGGGGCACCGTGACAACTTCTTCCTCGCGCTCGAAGTCCCATAGACTTCAGCTACCCGAGTCATTGCTCCAAGAGAACCAAAGCCCAATGCGTGGAACTTCCTCTGGCACCGGTGTCGCGTCTTCCTTGACTCACCGTGGTGTCGGGGGTTCTGTTTGCCTACTCCCCTCAGTCATCTGTCGGCGTCTCCTGCAAGACCTCCCATAGATTCCCCGAAGAGGCGAATAGTGCGAGGTGATGTACTGTACCCTGGAGCTATCCAAGAGGCACTACTCTTTCGTAGCGTCGATGTCCAGCAGGAAAGAGCTGAGCCCAATGACTATGCAAGATCCAATGCACTAGTTACCTCTTTCGCGTGTCATTTGGGGACTCTATACCATCTCCTCCACCGTTAAGGCGCTTGTCACTCCCATTGATTCGTCCCTCGCAGATGCCCGAGACTTTTGCCCTTCGGGGACGATCCAGGTGGGATGGACCTAGTGCTTGCGAACTTTAGTTTTAGACCCTACCCCCCGGTTGTGATGCCCTGGTCAAGCAGAACAGTGTATTCCGATGTTCCCCCAATACACAGCCCTCTGATATTGGAGTTGACTGTCTCTGTTCATTCCCCTCCATTTTCTGTCCAGGTCAATCACACGGCTAACAACTTCTTTCTCGTCAGCCTATCGATCAGCGGCTTCCACTACTCGTACATTCAGCGCCTTCGAGTGCGAACGCAACGACTGCACAACCACGGATGACTGACGGCCTGGGGTTTGCGACGATCACCTCAACTTCTAGACCTCCACCCAGATCATTTCCCGGTTCTTCAACATATTAAGAACAGGATAGCAACTTCCCAGACATTGGCTCTCCCGTCTTTGGCTGCTCGGAGTGGTGGCTGGGCCGTGTACCTTGGACGACTGTCGGCGAGGCTGACCGCGACTTTGCAAAAGCACAGCGCCCATATCATTGACTGACCTGGATCACATGGCGTTCACCGGCAACCCAGTCCACACCTTTCGACACCAGTGATGTTGCTAACGTACCCGGCTGGAACGCTCGATTGGTACTGTGGCGGACGAGGACGTCACTAGAAGCATTCTGTTCACGCCCTCCCATGTTCGCGCATCCAGTATCTGTCAACCTAAAGAGATGACAGAGGGTGTAGATAACATTGGGAAATCTGCTGGGGCAAGTGGTCCTGCGCAAGGTCAGATCGACCAGGAGGACAGGCAGCCAACTATGCCTGGTCTGGTTCAGAGTGGTCGCTCATCGCCGAATATGCAGAACATCGCAACGGAGGGGCCAGCTCTGTCGCCCGCTGACAAGAAACGGAACAGATTAGGATACCAACGCACTGCGGTCGCATGCGGTCAGTTCCTCCTCCCGACATCACCAAGTGCGACTTCTCTGACCACGCATAGGCCACTGCCGGCGGCGCAAGATCCGCTGCGTGCCTGCTTTCAATGACACAAGCGGTCGCTGCCAGAACTGTAGTCGCCTCAAAAAAGAGTGTCAGTTCTTCCCTGTCGACTTACCGGGCTCAGCGCCCCCGAAGCGTGTGCGCAAGGCGACGAACAACTCTGAAGCCTTCAATAACGAAGGAGACACTTCGGTCGCCTCATCCTCTCCAGGTGGCATCCTTAGGAGCACCTCAGTGGAACAATTGAATGATGTCGACGATCACTTGGACACTCACCTGTCGCGGGAAAGTCCAGGCCTTCACGGGTTCGACCCTTCTCTACCAATGTCTCTTCAAGGTAGGGTCGTAGGAAGCCTTGCGTGTTCAGCAGCTGATTTTGCCCAGGCCACAACTTCCCAAATTCTTATGATTCTAACCACCAGCACCACCAGGGCCAACAGATGCTCATTCAGTCTTCATACTCACCTCGAACCTACGCTCAAGATCATATCAATTCTCAGTTCTATCAGCAGCAGCAGTATGGACATTCTCTGCCCTCACAATATTCTTCGGCATTTTCACACGGGCCTTTGCCTTCGCCCATGGCGACCATCGCGCAAGAACCCACGTACGAATACCAGACACCAGTGTCAAATCCTCCCTACAGCTGGGGTCAGCCGACACGGTCATTTTCGTCTGACACCCCCGAAGAGTTGTCGTCCGGCTTTACAACGCCTTATCGAACCAACACATTTCCATTTTTCGAGAAAAGAATGACGAACCAAACAATGCAGCTTGCCCCATCGAGCTCGAGCCTGGCGCATTCCGGCATGGAGAGTCAGCAGAATGCAACGCTCGGTGATTTTCGCGAAGACAACCAGTATCAACCCATGCCGATGAGAGTACACCAGGAGTGGGGAGGAGGCGGTCCAGATCCAGCTCAACAAACCTCTGCGCCAGGTTTGGGTATGTACCCTCAGGCCTGGTATCCGCCGCATCCGAATATGGAAGGAATGAGACAGGATGAGGGCCAGCCTCAAGTACTGCCATCGCAAAATCACAACGCAAGAGGAGGTCAGCATAAGCCCTCTGGCTGAGCTGCCCGATATCGCCCGCGAGTTCGCATTCCACTCCACAAGAAACGACTTGCGCCGGCTAGTCCGTACATGACACTCTCAACTCATGGAGGCCCTCTTGTGAGATCCAGCGATCTCCACGGTCGGAGTGTAGCATCGAGAGCTCGAATCTGACGATAACATTTGAGGCCTATCGAAAGTTTCGCACGCCTCGACTGCGGACGCTACCGAGTTAGTAAGCATGAGTCTGAGGAATGAGCTGCTTGCGGTGATAGAGATGTTCGGACTACCCTCCTCTCTTGTGATTGTTTGTGGAAGGGCGAATCCTGAGGACCATATCGCGACCGAGTCGACCAAGACGTCAGAACAAACCCTTGCCGAAGGCACCAGTGGCGAGCATTACACCCAACCAGCGCTCGGACTCGGGTGATAGGCAGGTATGGCAAGGCGCTGGAAACCGTTGGCAGGCAGCACGGCAGATTGTGAAAGTCCAGTGCGTCAAGGTGGCCGAAGTGGCGCGGAGTCTTCTGCGTCAGCAAGCATATGGCCTCCCATGCCAGGAGTTTCGCACAACTATCACGCTGTCTTCGCCAACCTCTGAATCTCCCGGGGTCCGAATCTTCAAGGATGGGCAATCGAGTCGTCATTCTACGCGGTATCCACGATTCGCCGACCTGTGTCAGGGCTACGCCTGTTTCTGTTCTCATAGCCCTCCGCAAAGTCCAGACTTCCGGGTGGTTCCACCCACGGAACCCGGAAATCTCACCACTAGCCGAGTGCCATACCCATGCGCATCAAAAGGTGCGTCAGAACACGACAGGGGCATGCCAGATCCAACTGCGATGGCGAAGAGGACCGAAGGCAGGGCACGGCTTCATAAGTTCTAGAATGCCACAAATGCGCCACGCATTGGTGGAACACGACCTGTCTCATTCGAAACCATCCGGCTTTCGATGGCTGCTACCTCGTGATCGTTCCGTCCGACAATCCGGCAACCAAGAATGCCCGTTCGACACTGGCCCCAGGCCTGGAACGCCTTCTGCGGGGAGTGATGGGTTCGGGTGCTGAGAAAATGAAGCGCCACCAGTCGAGGAAAGTAAGCGTCGTCCGCGAGAACGATGTGGACGAAAGAGGACTGTGCACGTGAATGTGGATTGTCGGCTCGCATGCCAAACGTCCAGTGATCAGAAGCCCTTAGGTGCGATTCTTCTGTCGGATCTGCACCAGTCAACTTCGAGCACTACCAGGGTACTCGCTGCGAGGGAAGATGTGGATGGAATGCGTGGGCAGCAAGGGCAACAATATTGATATGGCCTGCATCGGGTGCGACATGGGATGGAGCTTGAGGATGGACTGGCAGGACTAGGTCGACAACGACGCCGCTGCTTTCACACGAGTCTGGATGCCATCCCACAGTATGAGCCGCAATGCCCATGACACCGTGCAAGGAGTTCGAGAGGAATGTTCTTGACACCAGACACGAATTAATCCAGTCGACAGCTAGTCACCATGTCGGTGCGACTGGTGCGACTGACTAATGCATAATCTAATCCATGCACGTGATTCAGTACCTCCATCCGCTTTCTCTCCAGCTGATTCGTGCCTCACTCATCCCTTCACCCCCTACGACTCGGGTGCTGTTGCTTTGCTGACAGTCTCAAGGTACCGAAGACGGCTCAATAGCGTATGGCGCGACAATGCCGTTGCCTCGCGCCAGCTGCGACCGAACGTCTCTTGGGCGGCTTTGCGTGGATTGCAAGAACACCTCACCTTGGAGTGAGTTGAACGTCCGTTGAAGGCAACGCTATCGTGAACTTCCTCATGCAATAACTCTGAGGCGGTCTTCGGCGCGCTATCAGACCTACTTCCTGCAATGCCGACAATGCGAAAAGAAAAAGGGCTACAAAGTTGATTGAAGTCTAAGTGGACTTCAGATTGAGCTTCCTCACCGTGTGCATCTTTAGTGAAGAGATCTCCTGTAGCTCCAGTACGGTTCTGAAACCGACAGAAGCAACTGAGCATGGCTCTTTCATCCCTCGTGGTTACAGTTTCACGCCGCATGGAAGTTTGGATTTGACAACAACAGACCGCCAGACTCCGAGTCTTCGGTGTCGTAAGTTTCAAGTGAGTCGACTTTCATCCGGAGTCATATTGCGGAGCCATTTTCCGGGCAAGATTTGGATGCTCTTGAGTCTCTCTTTGACCGGATTAACCGCGTCGACAATGGTACTGATCCTCCATCGACGGAACGTCTCCGCTTGTGCCAGTTATAGGCACTGGGATAAAAGCATCTTGAAACGTGTTCGGATACAGAACCTGGGCTGAACAAATACGAAACAAGCCATTATAGCAGGAGATGACTACTTCATTGAGCCGAAGGGATTTCATCTCGACTCCCAAACACCAAAGCCACGGGTATCACAACGGAAAAGTAATCGTCGCCAAATCCATGATGTCCCATCCCGCCTTACGCAATTGATAAGATATACTTTTTTGTGTGCATCGCGGTTGGTGCTGTCAGTCCACTCGTCCTGCTCGCATGTTTCCACCAGCATCCATAGGTACCCACACACCTCATCGTGCCTCACACCACGTCTCTTTCCACTTCGTCGGGCGTTATCTCCGCTAGCCCAAGTCCAGCCTGGCAAGCCATACAAAGGCCTGAGCGCTCACTCGACGTGAGCGTCTCGGTGTGGTCATTGGCCCAGCACCGCATGCACTTGGCACGTCGGGAGAGAGTCCCGGTCCCGCTTGGCGACGACGACACAGGCACCTTCCAGTCCTGCTGCGGCTGCTGCTGCTCGTCCTCGACTTCTGCCTTCTGCTCGAGAGCAGCGACATCCCCGCCCGGGAAAGACAGCCCCTGTGACCAACACGTCATGGAACAGACGCGCTCCCTCCGGCAGAGGGGGTCGGCCTCCCGATTCAGGCCACCGCAGAACCGACAAACGACCACGCATTGGGCTCCGCGTCCAGCAGCGCTGCCTCGCGTCCAGATTCCCTTTCCCCAGCCACAATCGACGCAGAACCGCTTGGCGTGTTCCTTGTGCCCGAGGCTCCGAAGGCCCTTTGTCTGGCCAACGTGGAACTTACCGCGCGGGAGCGTGCGCAGGCAGGCGTAACAGTTGAGATGCTCCACGGGCGTGATCCGGTTATTGTGCAGGTTGGTCACGCCCTCATTTGGGCCTCCCGGGCCAGCAGACCGGGGGAAGAACGCCGCCCAGTTGTGCGCGTTCTGCCAGGCTTCCACACGCCGTTGGCTTTCGGCCCTCTCGGCGGCGAGGAGGCATGCCCTGAGGGTTGCGCGCTTGACGGCCAGGTCCTTCTTGAAGGGAATCAGGTCACGGGCGGACCTGCATGTTAAGCGGAAGGACGTTGCGTCGTGGTAGTCCACCTGGGCTGTAATCTGGCTGGTCAGTTCGGTGGGGAGATCGAACATTGTCGTGGACTGGGCATCAGCACGGGTGTGAGCGGTGGTGGCGCACTGAGCTGCCATCAGTACTCGGTTCATGTCCATTTCGGGTGCTGGTTCGTGTGGAGAGTTTTCGAGGAACACAGGCTCCCTAAGCATGTTGGATGAGGTCGCCGGGTTCGCAATGGCCGCCCTGGATGGTAGATCGATGCGGTGGAGGGATCTCAAAGATCCAACGACAACTTCTCTTGGCGCTAGCATCGGCGGAGTGGGTTGGGGCGTAGCTTTGATCTCCGCAGGATAATCGAGTGCGTTTGAAGAGCTGGGTGCTGAAACATCCATGGCCTGTGCACTTGGAATCAGCTGGATGCACTCATGCACTCATGCCTTTACCGCACGGTGCTGAGGTACGCAGGTAGTAGCCCACAGGCTTGTAGACTAGAGTACAGTACGGAATGAGTCGTCGTCGTCGTCTCTATTCCTGCTGTGTATCCGACCATGCCGAAATAGGGGTATCAATGTCCAAGGTGAGAAGGGATTATAAGACCCATATATATAGTACCGCCATATGCGCGCAGGCACTGGGATCAAAGACGCCCGCACAGTCAGTCACTGTAGTTGAATGTCAGGAGGCAGTGGCAGCGTCAGTGAGGTCGGGTGAGGTGATGCCTCGCGGTCACGGTCATGGTCGCGCGGGGAATACTGAATCCTTGGCCCACGATTCATCGGCATGACTCCTTGGAGACTCGAGGCTTTGGCCCCTTTTTGAGGCGTTTAGGACTCATCGGCGTCGGCAGCGATGTGGCGATTTGGGCGACTGTCATGCACCAAGATATCAGGATCGTTCAGCAGGTTCTCGGGCGGCGTTTGTGGTCAATGCATGACCGTCATTCCTGTGTCTCACGGTGGCGTTTGGCAGTTTAGGGGGGGATCATATGGAAGGTAGTGAATTGGACGGACGGAATGGTTGGAAGTGATCTAAGTACGGTGTAGGCCGTGTGATACTGTATTTGGCTCAGTAACACAGTCACACACAATCATACAACCATACAAGCCAACAAAAAACCGTCACTTTTGTCACGGCAGGCATGGCATGGCATGCATGTTCGATATTGGCAATATAGCAATGATTGCGCCGGTCGCCGGTTGCTCCATAACTCACGCAAACTGTTTGACCTATTCTGCCTATTTGACCTGCGTCTGAGCTGCGGCCTTTGTGGCGGAGTGATTGACGACCCAGTCGTCCGTGTCCTGTTTTTCATTCAACCCCCAAGCCGTGCTGCTGTCATCATGCACGGTAGTCCTCCGCAGATCTCGCTTGTACTTGCCCTCGAACGTGCCCCCGTTTGCGCGGTGCAGAGTACATCTGTTGTCCCAGATGATCATGTCCGACGGGTTCTTCCACTCGACGCTGGTGGTGTACTTCTTCTGCGTCACGTGGTCGAGCAGCTTCTTGATCAACGCGTCGGATTCCTCCTTGGGCAGACCCTCGATCGAGTGGGAATGCGCGGCGATGTAGATGTTCCGGCGGCCGCTGGGTTCGTGGGTCTGGATGAGGCGGTGCCGGGCCATCACGCCGCCGTTGGTCGGGTCGAGGTCCTTGAAGAACTCCGGCGAGCCCAGCTTTCGCGATTGCGCGATCGAGTGGTTGACGGTGTAGTCCTTCTCGAGCAGTTCCTTCTGGAACTCCGGGTCCAGCTCATCCCACGCGGTGCGGGAGTCAGCAAAGTCGGTGTTTCCGCCGTTTCCGGGTGGAGGGATGTGGACCGCGCGGAGGAGTGAGAAGCTCGCACGTCGAGGGTTGAACGAAGAGTCGACGTGGAACAAAGCATTTCCCTGAAGGAGACCATCAGCGTCATTTCAGAGACGGACTAAACTTCGACCGTCGTACCTTCCCGTAGTGTGCTCGCGGACTGTTGGGATCTAGCACGCCGCCTTGGTCGTCAATGTTTCCTGCGTCGAATAGTTCGTAGTGCCCGTATCTCGGCTTGCGGCCATCAACCATGTACCGTCTCATTGTGTCTAGATCACCAATCCGTTTGGAGAATGCAATATGCGCTTCGTCGGAAAGACCAGTGCTGCGGAACATGCAAACGCCATACTGTCGTCAGCGTCAACAATGTCAGTGCTGAATGAAGCCAACATCGCCCAGCAGACCACCAAATGTTGCAGATGCATCGGGAGGAGGTAGTGCCTACCTTGGCCATAGCGGCAAAAATCTCCTGAAACTGTTCATCGGACAGGTTCTGGAAGTTGACGCCCTCGACCTCGGCCGCGAAGGTAGGGTGAAGTTTCTTGATACTAAGAGTTTTGAACTCTGGCTCTTCAGAATAGCTGCCCATTGTGATCTCGAGTTTGGGCGGTGCTTCTGATCACAAGCTCTACTATGTGAAGTCAGATGATTCCCCTGAGCTGATCTTGTTCTTTTGCTTTTCTGTCAGAGTTGTTTGATGTGAGTCGTCGATTTCGATGTATCTCGGTGACGCGCAGTTACAACGGTCTGGTATTGAGATTCTCGTGTCGTGGCGTGGTCAAGCACTGCCTTTTGTGCTTGGCTACGGAGATGGGGCTTCGTCGAGTCACCTACAAAGGAGCGTGGGGCGCGAATGTGGAGGACCCGTGTTCCTGGCTGTAAATAAGCGCATCAATGACCTTGGAATCTTATAGGCAACATGAAACATCACCGGCCTGGTCTGGTTCAATTGCCCATGGATGAACAGCACGCAAGGAGCCGCGTTAGCCGGAGTCGGCGGGGCAGTTGGACTGCGATGATGGCTTGCCAGCCTCGGGAGCAGGATCGACGTGTGGGAGTTTGGAGACCTGGGGAAAGTTGGGGTGGAGAGGAGATGTATCGCTTGGCATCACGCTGCTCATCCAGGTCCCAGGTCACAGCTCAGACGCCATAGCTCTCCTCCCACAGTACAGGACTACGGTGGTATGCGTGGAGTGCTGTCCGCTTGGAGTACCCTGGCATCAGAGTCTTGGCCTTCCTTGATACTCAGACTGGGCTAGCTTGAGATGTAACTCTCTTACCAATTACTATGTGGCACCGGTGAGATGATTTGACTGCCGATATATCGCGTCCGATCGTGCAATTTCTGGGCACTGGTGTCTTGGCTATTGCGATACACTATGCTTGCGCCGATCACTAGAAGCCACCGGCCGTTATGTGTTGCGGACTTCGGCGTCTTCAAGCACTGACTCGGCGCCGAAAGCGACCTCGAAGCTCCCATGGAGGTTCTTGGCTTAAGGCGTGGCAGTCCTTGGGCTGACTATTTCCTGCGGTATCGGTAGGAACAGGGAGCTTGACGAGCTTGTGAGCTGAGAATACTTTTCAAGATCTTGGCTTCTGTAAATACTACCCATGTTTTTGCGGACAGGAAAATCATCATGCGGAGCTTCGAGTGGACACATACTCCACGGAATCTGTCATGCTTTCAAAATCACCTATCGAGGCGTCGAAGCACGTAGAGATCAATTCTTGCCGGATTTTTAGAGTGTCTGGGATGGACACGACGGATTGTGAGCGCGAGGGTAGGCGTCTCGCTCGGCAAACCTGCCGTGATTCTAAGATACCAGTTTACTCCACTTTATTCATTGCAGTCTCAGACATTCACTTTTTGCGTTTGACTACAGACCATAGTCACTCAGGACCATGGAGACCTTGAGCGATGAGCTGTGGGATCTGGTGATTGCTGGGACCAGCATCCCACAGTCCCTTCTAGCCTTGTGGGTTTCCTCCCACCTTCGTCAACCAGACCCTCTCGACTGACTGACCAAGCCATCTGGTTTAGGTCACTCTCGCGTTCGGGCAAGAGGATTCTACATGTTGACCGCCACAGCTATTACGGCGGCGATGATGCCGGCTTGAGTTTGCAAGACGCAGAAAACTGGGTGCAGGAGCTGCGGAACTGTGGGCGATTCCCGCTTGTAGTCTTCCTGCCAGACCTCATTGATGACCTTTACTACAGCCAACAGCACAGTCTACAAAGATGGCTCTATCTTCAAAGCCGCAGCTGAGGCGACGCCCTCCGTCACATCACTGGGACCTTCACGATCGTACACCTTGAGTTTGAACCCCCAGATCATATACGCAAAATCCGACTTCCTTCCCACGCTGGTTTCGTCACGGATCCATACTCAACTGGAGTTCCTCGCTGTTGGGTCATGGTGGGTCCTGCGAAATGGACAGTTGCACAAGATTCCGAGCACGCGTGAGGACGTATTCAACGACGAGTCACTGTCAATGAAGGACAAGCGTGGCCTGATGAAATTCCTTCGATACGTGCTTCAAGAAGAGGAGGAGGGAGCACCAAGCTCCGAGGAGGAAGATACCGGCATGTCACTCAAGGCAGCCATATCAAACAAGTTCAAGATCCCAGTGTCGCTACAGTCGCCTCTACTCGCACTCGCACTGTCTCCTGTTAACGCTGAGTCGATGCCGTTCAACCAGGCGCTGGCAAGGATCAGAAGACACTTGAGGTCCATGGGCTACTTCGGCCCTGGATTTGGTGCTGTGATACCAAAATATGGTGGAACCTCGGAGATCTCACAGGTGGCCTGCAGGACCCAAGCTGTGGGTGGAGGAGTCTACCTGTTGGGTCACGGAGTGAAAAGTCTGCACGTACCTCTACAAAACGAGGAGGACGCTCCAGCGGTCGAAATCTCTCTTTCCAACGGCACACGAGTCCGGTCTCGCTACGTGGCTGGCAGTCTAGACGATATTCCGTCATTAACTGATTCTTCGACAGGTCAGCAATCACCCAGCACGACTTGGAGATCCATCAATGTGGTCGCCAGTCCGCTGAGCTCACTTTTCCCTCCAACCTCTGAGCATGGGCCCAGCCCTGCGGTCGCAATAGTCCTCATCGACGATGGTCTTAGCAACAATCCCATATATCTTCAGGTTCACTCAGAGGACACGGGGGAGTGTCCGGCAGGTCAATGTGAGTCCAATAGCCCTTTACTTACCCTCCTTTCTCATGATGATCCAAAAATCGAATACTTATCTACATTGCCTGAGCACTCTGTGCCTTGCTGATAATCATCCTCTGACAACCTGATGGATCCATATTTCCCCTGATTTACTCGCAGCCACCGATACGATGAATTTTGGCTGATGTGTCTGCTTCTAGGTATTGTGTATGCTTCCACGGTGTCGGAAGAGCACGCTGCCAAAAGTCGACTTGAAGCTGCGGTATCGGCATTCCTTGAGACTGCCAGTGCGACAGATGCAGTTCTTTGGTCTGTGTCTTATCGGAAAAGTGAGCCCTCTCCTGGTGGGACTCCTAGACCTCCATCACTACAGAAACCTTCGCCGCAGGTCTTGGTGTTTGGCCGGCGGGCGCACGATATTGCGTTCGATGACAGTGTGCTTGAGGCTGTTCAAAAAGCTTGGGAGTGTGTTCTGGACGAACACACCGCTGCCGAAAGCTCATTCCTGAGATTCGAAGAACGAGAGGGTGAGGTCGAAGACTAAATGATGCTCATCTGGCCGTCTCTTGCGTTGCGAACCACAACAATTATCCCCGGCGGCGCTGATACGTTCCCATTCCGGGATGCTTGGTAACTAGCCAGCCAGGTGCCAGCGAATCGGACCGTTGTGTGCGCAGATGCATGCCTGTGTCGCTGCAGGCTTGACCCATTTCCTGGTGAAAGAGCAATGAATGCAGGTGTGGAGCACCAGCCCGCCTCACCTCTGCTCAGAGAAGCCAGTTTAGGGATCATGCCTGTGTCTAGCTCTTCTCAGTCGAGCCAGCGCTTCGATGCTATATGAAGAGCAAGTTGACGGCTCCCTTCTAGGGCCTCCAGTTCTCATTACGCTATCTCGAGGGAGCACTGCTCCCTGCAGAGCATTACTTACCCACCAAGAAAGATAGGCAAACGCCCGATTCCTCCTCCATCGAAGTCAAACTCCCACCGAGTGCGTGTGTGCTGCATTGTGATTAACGTGTGACCGACAGCAAAGGTTTGAGCTCCACGTAATGACTGGAACGGCGCAGGACCGTCGTTTCGGCTGTACCTTCGCGCAAACCACATATCTTGTGCAGAGCCTTTCCTATATGGTGTATGTTCCCTCAGGGCTGAGCACACATTGGATGAATGGAGTCTTCGAGGTGTACGATGCAAAGATGCAACGAGGTCATATAGCCAAAGAGGTTTCACGCTGATATTTGGGAATGGTGATTTCATATCAAGCGGGCTCAACCAACTATGCCGACAATAACTCGAGGGTCGTCACCAGCTCGACGCTGCTTTCTTCAATAAATCAACGCACGCGTTCCTCGCTTTCTTTTCCAGCTCGAGCGTCGACACCTGTTTCTCCGTAACGTGTGAAGCTCTCACAGCTCTTATATAGCCAGTTCCCGTGCTAACAGGACATGGAGGCAAGCAAGCTTCGTGCCTTTATTCCAGGGAAATCAGTGTGAAGTTGTCGTTGGCGATGCTGCAGCACCGTCCGTGGCGCTCGGCGAGATTTGAAAACAGGGCTGCTTCCCTATTGAACATCTTGACCAACACCGACCCGACCTAGACGTCCATACGCGTCCAGAAAGTGGTCAGGGCCGGAGATCTTTGATTCATGTCTTGAGAACGCGGTGACGCGGGTAACGCAAAAGTGCCAAACCCCGATAAGCGATAAGGCATTTCTTGGCAGATTTGCTTTCCCCGGGCCAGAAATTTTTGGTTCGCTTTCCAGACTGCTGGACCACCACCACTTACATCGTCCGTCCGCCACCACTCCTCTCGTCATTCTGTAGTTCCACGCCAGCTTCTCTCCCCGAACAAGCCAATATGTCGTCGGACGAGATAGTGTGGCAGGTCATCAACCAGCAATTCTGCTCTTTCAAGTTAAAGTAAGACCCATGTGCACACCGCTGGACCGCAAAAGGCATTGCATGCTAACGCCCCGTACCTCTAGACTCAGCAGCAAAGAACAAAACTTCTGTCGCAACGAATACAATCTTACAGGCTTCTGCAATCGTCAATCCTGCCCCCTCGCAAATTCGCGCTATGCAACGGTTCGTCCGGATCCCGAGAGCGGAGCGCTATGCCTCTTCATCAAGACCCCCGAACGCACACACCTGCCCTCGAAATGGTGGGAAAAGATCAACCTGCCAAACAACTACGAAAAGGCTCTTGCGGCCATTGACGATAAACTACAGTATTGGCCGAGATTCTACATTCACAAGTGCAAACAGCGTTTGACCCGGTTGACGCAAGTGCGTATTCGGCAGTCGAGGATTCTGAAAGAGGAGACCAGACTGGGTGAGAAGAATGTCAGTCGATTAGCCCCGAAGGTTCGAAGAAGGGAGGAGACAAGAGAACGGAAAGCGGAAAGTGCGGCTAAGGTGGAGAGGGAAATTGAGCGAGAGTTGATGGAGAGACTGACAAGTGGCGCCTATGGTGACCGACCAATAAACATTGATGAAGGCTTATGGAAGAAGGTGCTTCGCGGCTTGGAGAGGAAAGAGAGGGGTGACGAGTTGGCAGATGAGGAAGAATTGGAGGATGAAGCCGAGGAGGAAAGAGAGGCCGAGGTAGAGTACGTCTCTGACTTGGAAGAAAGTGAAGATGAGTTGGAGAGAGAGATGGAAGATTTTGACGATTGGCTTGACGGAGAGTCTCCTGAAGAAGATGAAGAGGCCGACGACGATACTGAGGAGTCCGACGGCGAGGACAAGAGCGAATCAAGCGAAGAAGATGAAGACACCGAAGCCAGCAGGAAGAGAAAGCGTGTTTCCAAGCAAACTCCCAAGCCGCAGAAGAAGCCTCGCGGGCGAGTGGAGATCGAGTACGAGATGGAACAGCCTTTGAAAGAAGCGATATTGGCGTAAGCGGTACTGATTGTGGCCAGCGTGGAATCGCCAGGCACCGCGTAGCGCGGCTTGCGGTCTTACAGAGAAGTATGCATAGTTTGTCGAAGGATGATGCAACTTCCAGCACAGCGACGGAGGGAGTCCACGTTACAGGTCCAGTCTCGGCACGGATTGCCTTGAGCGCTTGGTACACTGAAACACCCAACACAAGGCAAGGGGCAAGCATCACAGAAAACCTTCTGCAGCAGCCGAACCAAGTCGTGTCTCTCTCCCAAGTCTTCAGGAGGATGTGTGTGTATGTTGCCGGACCAGCATGAGAAAATCGGTGATGGAGTCTCCTCACGGTTCCTTTTGCTGTTTCATACACACAGGCAAACTGTACCGCTCAAGCCTTACGGCAGATGCCTTTGATATACCTGAAGACCTGGGTTTTGCTCGCATCAGTATCGAGCCCAGTCATATACCACGACAACGAACAGACATACCTCGTGCCCTTTGAAGTCCCCGACAGTGGTTATTGTCCTTTCCTCCCAGCCTCCCATTCCCAGAACGACCTTATCGAGCTTTCCATTCAGCCGACAGCCGCCCATGAACACAGGCCAGATCCAGTCTACGAGCCAGGCGTAGGATATGGTGATTGCGTCTGTGCTGTTGTCAACATGTTCGAAGAACAGGAACTCGCCACCAGGTTTCAGCAGAGCCTGGACCACGGCGACCGTCGCCGCAAGTTGTTTTTGGGGTGCTGAGCACAGAGACTTTACTGCCACGACCGTATCAAAGACACCTTCGTCTAGCAGACTTGAGGTGGTGCTAGGGATCAAACCGGCTCCCTTCAGTGCTGGTAACAAACTCCCGGGCTGAGCACCCGCTTCCAGAGTCACCATCTTGCTTCTCAGACCGTATTTCTCCGCAGCTTCACACAGTTTTCCGTGCAGGAAGGCATTTGGTTCTGCGGCGTATAGCATCTCAATCTGGCCGGCCTTGTAATGAAACATCTGATCACCGGCACCAGGCCCTAGTTCAAGGACCTTCCCGTGCGCCCCAGAAAGGAGCTCGCCGATATGCTTGACCTGGACTTCATTCGCCGCCATCTTGGGGCCCAGCACCCGCCAGAAGTTCTCGAACCATTTCGACCGGAAGGATGATGGAGACACAAGAGGCAGGAAGGGATGAGAAATGAATGTTATCGGCAAGTAAAATATTGAAATACTCAGGAGAAGGAGAGGTTCTATGTAGGCTTGGAGCCTCACAAGAATGGAAGCACCCATCCTCGAGGGATTATATCGGAATTTACGGGAGAGATGGTCGGAGGAAGGAAACGCAAGGGAAAGAGTCACGAGTGACGAAGCTTCCAGTTGCGGACGGAAAGGTTCATAGCTCGTGACCGTGTGATCATGTCCGTAGCCTACTTGGAATACGAGGTCAAGCTATGGCTAGAGCTTCATGCCAGCAGGAGAACATGTCAAGTGTACAGGTATGCTGACTAAGGCACTCACCATCTACCACCACCTCCATCACCACGTGAAGATAACGCGGAGGCGTGGAGGGGCAGGAACAGGGGCACCGCACGCCCAACTCCGTCATCGGCTTCGTGCCTGGTGCAATTTTCTGTCGCGCATTGAAGTTGGAGAAATATTGCAGACAGTTCGACTCATTTTCTCTTTGCTGTTAGTTACATTGATCATTCAAATTCGAGAACCAGCTTCGAAACCACGAATATGGCCTCTTTCATCACGACCATCCAGTCCAAGCTGGGCTATACATCCCAGAAAGCCCTCCTTCTCGGTGCCGGTTTTGTCACGAAACCTACGGTCGAGATCCTCGCAAATGCGGGCGTCGAGGTCACAGTCGGTCAGTGGACTCAATGCTACACCCAAGATGCTTGACTGACGGGATCCAGCTTGTCGGACACTTGAATCTGCGAAGAACTTGTCTGAAGGCATCAAGAACACGCGACCCATATCCCTCGATGTCAATGATGAGAAGGCCCTCGATGCAGAGATGGAAAAGGTGGATCTGGCAATTAGTCTGATCCCCTACACCTACCACGCTACTGTCATCAAGTCTGCCATCAGAAAGAAGAAGAACGTTGTCACTACCAGCTATGTCTCGCCTGCAATGCTGGAGCTGGAAGATCAAGTCAAAGAGGCTGGCATCACAGTCATGAACGAGATTGGCCTGGATCCTGGCATTGTACGTCCTCCACGCAACCGTGGTTGATTACAGGGGTAGCTAATAGCAGTCAGGACCACCTATACGCCGTCAAGACCATCGAAGAAGTCCACAAGGCCGGCGGCAAGATCAAGTCCTTCCTCTCGTATTGCGGCGGCCTACCGGCACCGGAAGCCAGTGACAACCCTTTGGGCTATAAATTCTCCTGGTCAAGTAGAGGCGTACTCTTGGCCTTGCGCAACAGCGCGAAATTCTACCAGGATGGCTCCGTGAAGGAAATCCCCGGTCCCGAGCTGATGGCCAGCGCGAAACCATACTTCATCTACCCTGGTTTCGCTTTCGTCGCATACCCGAACAGAGATTCTACACCCTACCGAGAAAAGTACAACATCCCAGAGGCTGAGACTGTGATTCGTGGCACACTACGATACCAAGGATTTCCCGAGTTCGTGAAGGTGCTAGTCGACATTGGCTTCCTCTCCGAGGCAGAGCAATCCTACCTCAAGCCTTCCCCAGACAAGAAGCCTCTGACCTGGGCTGAAGCCACACAGAAGATCATTGGCGCCACGAGCAGCAAGGAATTCGACCTCGCTTGGGCTATCAGCTCCAAGACCAGCTTCAAGGACAACCCAGAGAAAGACCGCATCCTTTCAGGAATTAGGTGGCTCGGCTTGTTCTCCGACACTCCCATCAAACCGCGAGGCAACCCCCTGGACACCCTCTGTGCCACATTGGAGGAGAAAATGCAGTACGAAAAAGGCGAAAGAGATATGGTCATGCTGCAGCACAAGTTCGAGATTGAGAACAAAGACGGCAGCAAGGAGACGAGGACGAGTACACTGGTGGACTATGGTGATCCGAATGGCTACAGCTCCATGGCGAAGCTGGTCGGCGTGCCTTGTGGTTTGGCCTGTCTTATGGTGTTGGATGGCAGAATTAAAGAGCGAGGCGTATTGGCGCCGCTGAAGTGGGATCTGGCGGAGCCCTTGCTGAACGAGCTAAGGGAGAAATATGGCATCTTCCTGACCGAGAAGACGATCGAGTAAGGGTCCAGCACCAGCGCGTTAAGCCGCGCCGCCGCACTGTCATGGCTATTCTGCAGTATTAAACCTTGGGCGCAAAGTCGTTTGTAGAGGCCTCGCTTGAAGGGCTGCGCAGGAGAGGTCTATGTACCCCTAAGGCAGAATCGGAGATAGATCAGAGGATCCAGAAGATACCGCAGCATTTGGAATTTGGGGGAAGCGGTTGCATGGACTTTTCCGGGTTTCCCATTCAGTGATCACCACGAAACCTCCAAATCCTCTTGAGGACTCAGTATATACCCTGGTACTCCATGGACGTTGTCAGCAGAGGGACTTGAGGGAGCGGAAGTACCTTCCAAAGCAGGCTATGCGGGGACAAAAGGATAGTTAGCGTATATGTTTTTGTTATCGGCAATTTCTGTCCTGATATCATCCTCAGATCGAGGGGTTCAAAGCGCCGATAGTTTAAGGGTAGAATTCGAGCTTCCCATGCTCGAGGCCCGCGTTCGAGTCGCGGTCGGCGCAAGCAGCCCACTTTTTTTTTGCCGTTTCTACATCCTGTATCCTTTTGTTTTTTGACGTATTTCGCATCCAGGTCGAACCAGAGTTGTACTCGGCCGAGGCCGCACTGAGCACCACATGCCATGAGGCCCTGGGATAACGGGTCTTTTACTTCCACAAATGGCAGCGTATGCACCGCCACCGCAGAGTGTCATATACTGTAGCTCTGCTTGCGCAAGTTGGACTCCTTATTGAATCATACTGTATACCCTCCATACTTTATCTTGCCTAGTAATATGTCGGACGCTGGCAGACCTGGACGACACCATCGGGTATGCTCATCTCATCTTGCAGGATCAAGATACTGTACAGTCGGGAGCGGCCCAGAGCGATAGTCTCAGTGTGGCGATGAGATGCACGGAACCCGTCACCGTGCACTACGAGACTATGATTCAGCTTGTCGAAGATGCCGCCAATTTAAGAAAGCGCCGACTATCCGGAGTAGTTCCTCGCTCTCGCGGGCTACGCATCCCACCTTTCTGAAGGCATGGTGCACTGCTCTCTGACTGAATGAGTGCAATGCCTTTCTGAATCGACACTCAACAGCCGAGATGCATTGTAACAGAGTGAAGTTCTAGCAGTCATCGTCCCACCGGCCACTGTCCCTTCAACGTCCTGGTATATCTTCCGAGGACATCTGGCTTCGCCTGATCTATGCATCGAGTCATTTGTGATGAAGGTGGAGCACAATACTCCGTACCAGCATCACGTTTCTGACCACGTGTGGTGGTGACGGCTGTTGACGCTCCTCAGGACAGTAGCGTGGGTGAAGCCTATGAGACAGACCTCCAGCTTCTTACTGAACGCAAGCTTAACTAGATGAAGGGGTGACACAAGGTAGTGCAAGCATCAACACTCCTAGCAAGGCGAGACAAGTTAGGATAGCCCTTCGTTAGCTGTGGATGGATATGATAGTGCTAGATGGCGGGGAATTGTGACGCAAGTCTCTCGTGATCGCGATTCTGGAAGAAAGCAAGTTGATGAAGTCGAGTCAGAGGGCGGCGGAAGGGATTGAGCAGGAGCAGCTCGGTCGCGGCGAAGCAAGGTTGAAAAGGTTGCTTGGCTTTCACATGTACACAGTGAGTACTTTGTCACGAGAAGACCATACTGAGTAATAATGCTGCCTCAAGCGTGCAAGAGCCGTGTCGAGGCCCATGGCCAAGCAGGGAGATTCCGACGGTCCACGTGATTGGCGCGGCCATGCTTGCTGAGGGGGCGCATGATTGGACCGTGTGACTAGAACCTTCGCCGCCTCGCCCGGGCGCTGCGCAGGCGTCACCGTCACCATCCGCAGCATCAACCACGCCACTATTTCTATCCTCCTTTCCTACTGTGTCCGCTCCTTCCCATCCCACAACAACCCTCGTCGATACCTCCACTGCGCGTCGTCGGCAGCGCCTCTCACCAAGATGGCATCCAGCACCAAGTACCAGCCTGCTCCGCAGCGCGACTCGTTCGATGAACAACACTACACCCAGGCCCCTCCCGGCTACCAGGCCGCCGGACCCAGCGATGTCGGCTACGGCACGCCCAGGGCTGAGGACGACAATGTCCCCGATGACTTCAAGGTACGTCTGTTTCGTTTCCGCGACAGGCATCGATTGCAGTACTAACGCTTCGCAGTTCGGCGGCTCCGTCTCTGAGGCGACCCTCGACATCCGCATGCAGTTCATCCGCAAAGTCTACACCATCCTCACAGTCCAGATCCTTCTGACCGCCGGCTTATCTTCCCTCTCCTTCTTCTCACTCAGCTACAGGACCTGGATCCAATCCAACAGCTGGATGATGTGGGTGTCGTTGTTCGGCGCCATCGGCTTCATGCTCCTCACGTTCTGGAAACGCAAGTCCTACCCGACAAATATGCTCTTCCTGGCGGGCTTCACAGCGTTGGAGGCATACAGTATCAGCGTCATCACATCCTTCTACGAGTCTCGCATTGTCATCGAAGCGCTGGTCATCACGCTTGGCATCTTCGTCTTCCTGACGGTGTTCGCTTGCCAGACCAAGTACGATTTTACGAGCTGGATGCCTTACCTGTTTGGCGCGCTGTGGATCCTGATCATCTTTGGTTTCATGGCTGCTTTCTTCCCTCACAGTTCGACCATGGAGACTGTTTATGGCGCTGTTGCTGCACTAATCTTCAGCGGCTATATTCTGGTGGACACCCAATTGGTTATGAGACATTATCACGTCGAAGAGGAGATTGCTGCGAGCATCAGCCTGTATCTGGATGTTCTTAACCTGTTCTTGGCAATCTTGAGGATCTTGAACAGCCAGAACAACAACTAAATCTGGTGAGGAGCTCGAAGGTGGTCAAGGACGGTTTTTTCATGATTGGGCAGACTGGCAGGGGCTGGATGTGGATGCATTTTAGGCCTAGATGGACAACACGCAAGGACCAGAGAGGAGAAACACGACGAATAGCTTTTTGAGCCTGGCCTTCACTTGATCCTGTACAACACGAGCTTCTATACTCTCAACTGCTAGCACTGAAGGGGGATGCAAGAGGACTCAAATCGAGGGCGCAAAAGTCTGGTGTTACGGGTTCATCCTTCTTATGAGCTATGGTTGCGAGCGGAAAGCACAAGGAATTCCACCCAAATGAGTTCGTCTTATATGCCAGGCAGAAATGGCACGTACTTTTTGGCCCAAGTGAACAGTATAATTCTCACTGAGTATTCCAATCCCCATCCCATTCCCAATCTCATCCCATAGCGCCCGCCATACAAATCAAACTCCGCAGCTTCCGCTCCCAATATATCTCATTGAGATACTCGCTCAATGTGCGACAATAAAAAACGTGTTCGTGATCAGACATACAATCATTACGACGATGCCGTATATTGCCAGCGCGAGACTCAACCGCCGGAGTATTTTCCGGCGAAAGTTCTTAGTCCGCTTCAGCAGGCTCACCCCGCCTATGCTCAGGATGCCCGAGTTCGAAAGCAGGCCCTGCCCTTCGCCCTCTTGTGGATCGTCAGTGGCAGTGGCCCTGTCGTCGTCTGACTTGGTGCTTCCTGCATCGTCGTTGCCCTCCCAGTCATAGTCGTCTTCTTCCTTGATGAGCTTTTGATGGAGCGGAGAGTCCGGCGACGAGATCTTATAATAAAACAGCCCGGGCAGGATAAAGGATATGGATGTGCTGCCGGTGGAGCCCACGTAGGCCAGCACGGCTTCGAGGCTGGACACGGTCATGGCCACGATGTAGCTGAGGATGATGATTGCGGTGGTGATGGCCGCGAACCTTGCCTCGCCCATCTCCGTGTTCCGCTGTTGCCTAGCAGGGTGGAGTAAGGGGATATTGCGTGGAGGGCTCGAATCGACTGAGCTCGGTGTGGCCGATGGGGTCAGCTTGGCTCTCAATTTGGCTGAAGGTCTCCATTTGAGGACCGCGTCGACACTGGCTCGGCAAGGGTGGACTTGCAGCGGATAGGAGAACATGACCAGGACCACGATCATGGCTTGTCCGATCGTGGTGGACACTGACGGGGCATACTGAGCCACGATGTTGCCTCCGATTTCGTTGCCGAAGGACAAGTATCCTGTGATGGCGACTAGGATGTAGATTGAAGCCGCTGTGCCGTTGGAAGCGGTCAACACGGCTGTTGTGCGGAAATGGGAGTTGTCTTTGATCTCGTTGAGGATGCTAAACATGTTTTGGTGGCAGGTGTAGGCGAATACGATGACTGGGAAGGACGAGAGAGCCGGGACTGCGCCAGCCCACTTGAAGATCCGTAGTGGTGTCTTGTAGTGCCCATCGGGCAAAGTGTCGTGTGCCGCAAAGTGGTACACCACCAAGATAACCAGATAGCCGATCGATATCAGTGCGATGACGGAAGTGTACTTCAGGGAGTCGAGCCGTCGCAGGAACGAGAATGGGATCACCACCAACATGAAAGCGGTGACCCAGAAATGGCGATCGAACATAAAGGCACTTAGGTCCTCCTCTCGAGCGAAACCCCGAACCACACCCGGCATCAGATCCCCAATAATGATCAGATAGCTGACTCCCACTCCAAAGCACTTGACAGCAATCGCAGCATCGAAGATGACGGCGGCATTAGGATATGTAATTTGCGATAGGGCGAAGAAGCTCGACGACCCCCGTTCCAGATATCGGGCGCATCGTGTCTGTAAGTAGAGTCCGAAGCCCGCCGTAGCTCCTGCCCACAGTATGACTACTGTTCCCAGAAAGATACCCATATGTGACATGGCAAGAGGCATGGCGAGGACACCGGCGCCCACGATGGTATTGAGGAGGTTGATAACGCTGGAGATCCATGACGCTTGGCCTGCGGTACCTATGAGGTCGCGTTTGCTGAGGGTCGGGGTCCCTGGCCGCCTATGGTCTATAAGCATACTGTCGTTCTCTCATGATCACCAGAGATCACATACCGCCGAGCGCGAGACTGTGACCTGCTCGAGGACGCAGGCACGGGTAATGACATGGTGGCTGGGGATAAGGCAAGGCGCAATCAGGTCGGCCTTGCTAACGTACTCATGTCTCGTAGGACTCGGAACAAGGTGACGATGTACCGTGTATGGATATCGTAGCACGTACTGGGGACAACCGTGGACTTGACGGCAGAGCAGTCGCACAATATCGAGGCGAAGCGGAAGTGAAGCGGAGGTGAACTGTGTCACACAAGTCCGATTCGATAATGACAGCAGACAAGGGCGGATACCGGAAAAGGTGTTTATCCGGACGGAGATACCAGGCGATCACGGCTATTACTTGCATCATAGGCGTAATTAGGTAATTAGGCAAAGTGTCTCTCGAGTCTCCCCACCAAACGCGCCTGGTCACGCGAAAATTGGGGAACGCTCTCCATGACCATCTCAGGTACGAGTTACCAACCGACCACCGCTAGAAATGAACGATCCCCATTCAAGCGAACCGACTAGTCAAACTTTGCTATCCTTCCTCATAACTGATGAACCCTTTTGGTCCCTGTCGCTCACAGCTCTGACACGCTCATCTGCTTGGAACTTGTGCGGCCACCCATTCTGAGAATTCGTCCTGATTCCTGGTCTGAATATAGATCCTCCCTGGGCCTGTGAACCTGCAGACGAGTCCCTCTCCGGTTTTCATGCCAGACATTCTTGAACTCCCGGCCGCTTCGATCGTGTACTGACAGCTCCAGGCAACGAGGTGCCCATTGTCGACGATGTGTTGTTCATTCGCTTGGAGCTGTGAGTCTTGTCAACGCGGTCCCCGAGCACATTCAGGGCGGCCAGGGCGCTTCAAGAAGGGCAAAAGACCGCATTGTACCCGAGGCCGGCCAGCACTTACATCTCGTGTCACTATCGCGCCGAACGAGTACACCCAGACCGTGCCCCTTCCACTAAGGCGCCACACGAACAGGTCCTCCCCACTGAAGAGAGCGTTTCCAAGCCCTTGACCCTTGCTTTCTTTGACGACTTCACCAGTGGACGCTAGGAAAGCATCCTTGCCCAAATTCCATCCCTTGTCGCCATTGATGGGGATAGCTGTGATGTCACCAAACAGCGATGGGGCCAGCGACACTTCTCCTGGTCCAGTATACAATGATTCTGCCATCTCGCTAGGGTTGAAGATCTTCCTTATGCTGAACTTGATCTTTCCCTGGAGATTAATACTCGGGGACATTTGAATCATGGCCCCAGGTTTGGACTTGATCACAACTCCTTGTGGAATTCGGACATTTAAGATCGAGTTTGCGTCGCGGTTGGTTATTGAATAGGAAATGCCATCCACGCTCTGGTGCCAGCTTGAATCAAACGACGTCGATTGTCCTCCCTGAGAAGCATGGCGCTGGTGAAGGTATTGCTGTTGCTGCTGGTGGTATTGTTGCGGCGGCTGCTGTTGAACCGGATACTGGCTCTGGTCCTGGTAAGGGACTATCACACTTAGTCTTAGTGGGATGATGTTGAGCAAGCGCCGACTCGCTTACCGCTAACATATTGCTGCTGAGGATAATAGTCGCCTGGACCTTGATTATACGCCATTCTGTCACTCGATTACGACAACCGGTGGGCGGAGGAAATGACAGAGAAACTGCAGGAGAATTCTGGACAATTTTGACTTCGTCTCATGAAGGAGTTGCACTTGTAGGTCTGTCTAGGGTGGCCGACCGTTGTGCTTATAATAGCCATGCATACTGGGTCCCGCAACAGGAGAAGAAGCCATTTGGCCTGTGGAGCGTGAGGTGTCCGCAGCTGATCAGAGTCGAAGCTGCCAGTACTGGTCCCGGTTCCCAGCTGGAACGGTCCCTGTCTTGGGCCCCAAAGAATTCCCGCTCTTCTATTGCCAGGGGCGATTGACCGTCATCAAGAACGAATCCTTCTCTGAGGATAGCCTGCCGAGGCTCATACAAATGCCCTACTCCTATTGGCTATGCAGAATCGATCTGCGCTCTCCATCGTTTAGAGGATACCGTCCGGGAAATACGACGTTGCACACGAAATCCTCGTCAAAAGTTCGCGGCTTGTCGGCCAGTGACTGGGCTAATCCGACTCTGGCTTTCACAATAACCAGATCCGTCACCTACCGGGTACCTGAGCTTTGTTCACTCCACGAGGTAGAGCTCCACAGGTAAGCCCGGAAATATGGCGGATGATTCAGCATATGCGGTCCACACTCCCCCACTGGTCAGCAACAGCGCGGTAAACAAGAGGAGCATCAACACATCTGAGCGTTTGCACTCGGCCCTTCACAATCTGTCCCGGATGTGGTGCAGGCCGACCGTACCGTTTCCGAGTGCTGGGGATATGCTTTTTCAACGCCATCAGATCTACAGGAGGCAGGATTGTTCACCATGCCAGGCCGCAGAAGGCAAATGGAAGCATCTGAGCAATCACCGAGCCTCAAGCGATGGCACCTACAAAAGACCAATCGCCTTTTGCGCACGCCACATACTACACCATTGCTTACGCTCATGGCATGACATACAGATTTTCGGTAACCAATACTCCCGCCAGGCTTAACAGCTAGCTGTGCCACATACTAGGCTCATCTCGGTACTCTCCAATGTCCTCTGGCAAATTGGCATTGCAGCGGCTGATGTCCGTGCCACCATATGATCTCCAGACTCTCACGGAGTAGCTTGACGCTGTCGCTGGGTGACCAGGTTGAGTGGCCACGAAATTGTCGGACTGTTCCGTTGGTGGCTGAGGCCGGAGCAGCTTCGAGCTTTCTGTTTTTGAGCTGGTGCCGCAGCCTACGGCGGGTCCGAAAGCCGCGTGTGTGAGGCTATAGCCGAACAAGGTGACCTTTAGACCTGCGTGGCTCCAATTTAGCCCATGGTCAAATGTGACAACCCAGTGATGCCCAACATGGTCTGCCATTCTACTCGCCAGCTTTCATTGAAGGACCGAAGGATGCACGTTGCGAATCTGGAGAGTCCCCAGCTGAGGCTCTTGTGTCATTCAGGATCCTTAGGGGCAACATCACTTTACAATTTTCTGGGGCAGGATTTGTCGATTTACTACCACGGACCCCTGAATATGAGCGCGGGACTATAAGGAACGTACCTTCCTGCGTCGGACCCGTCTAGGGGCACCAACCCTCCTCGCACTGATCGCACATGGTGTCCCTTACAGCCTTCAAGACCCTTTGGGTACTTCAAGTTGTCCTTGTTGCCACAGCGCGGTCGCAGTCGAATACCACAGGCGCCGATCCAACGTTTGCCGACGAGCCCTGTGCTCGAGTCTCCGCCTTGCAGAGCCAGTATGCTGCCTCCAGTGGAACAGGTATGGATGCTACAGCACGGCCTTTACTGACGGAGAAAAGTGACCGGGTTTCGAGTGTCACCAGACCTCGCATATGCTTGTCAACAATTTGTCCCTTTGGTCAAGGAGGATGCGATCTCTCTCTCCTAAGTGGGCTCAGGGCTTGGGTTTAGTGGCAGAGTAGTCTCGCCTGGTTGAAAGATCTACCCCCAGACTGGCCGTTTCCTCCCGTGGGTTTGACCGAAGAACTACAAAGCTCGGCGATAAAGTGCAAGACGGCAGTATCACGAGCGAGATCGATTTTGAATGGCAGCTGGTTGACATAATCACTTCGGCTCGAGACGGTCATTCCACGTTTGCGCCAGACGCTTACAGTGCCTTCGCGTACTTCAACCCACTCGGGAGCCTCGTCTCTGTCTCGGCGGATGGCAAGAAGCTGCCGGAAGTGTATCTGTATGGTGAGGGCTTTCTTAAGAACTCGATATGAGCAGGTGACTGATGCAGACGAAGACGATCTTCAAAATAGCGCAGCGGAAGGCTGGGATCCATCTCCTGTTGTCAAAATCAACGGAACGGAAGTGGCAACATGGCTAAGTCAGAAGGCTTTCAACGAGACCATGACACACCAAGATTTGGATGCACTGTGGGTTGCTTGGACGCCTCCAATTGCCGCTCTTAATTCTGCCCCCTAGGTACCATCGACTGTTCTTCTCCATCAATGCACCACCTGACGGCTCCGGTTTCGGGTACTTCTACATCCCAGTACTGCCACGGTTCTATGGATGCTTGATCACTGTTGAATTCAAGAACGGGAGCGAAGTTTCTTCTCCGCTTGAAGCGTTTCCAATCTATGACTTCTCGGGGGCTCGTAAACGGTAAGAGCTTCTACCAGTCCTTCTGCAACGTGACAGCAAAGGCGCCATGGCGCAGGAAACGTCGTCCTCCCCCACTGCCACACAACCTTCGTCGAGTGGAGTTCAAGACCCCAACAGTCTGCGACCGCAGTATCCCTCAGCCATAGCGATCAGCAGCGACGCGTCTCTTGCTGGGTATTTCTTGGAAAATGAGCCAAGTGTGGCCGTGTTGTCCGTCACTGCGATATCTGAAACAGCTCAGCTCTCCGTACAGCAAAGCCTCGCCAAGTTCTTGGATCTGTGCCGCGAGAAGACAAGACGCATCTGATCTTGGATGTCAGTCAAAATGGCGGCGGTACTGTATTAGTTGCATATGACATCTTCAAGCAGTTGTTTCTGATAATCGAGCCCTATCTGGGTGCGCAGTTTCGTGCAAATCCCCAGGTATGTCAGCTGATCGAACCTTGGAAATGCACTTCACTGACGGGACAATCTCCAGATCGACGTCCTCGGGACATACTTATTTTACTCCCCGGGCCCAGCAAGCCGAACAAGAGCAACCTGACAATGCCACATTTGCCCTATATATATATTGGGGCATACTCATTGTTCGATGCCAGGTCGGTTAGCAATGACAGCGGCCATCCTTTTAAAAACTGGGACGAATTCTTTGGCCCCGTACAGGTGCACGGTGACGACTTCACCCACCCATCCAGTTGAACACCTCGGATGCTCCCAACGACGAACAGAGTAGCTCCATTGTCGTCTCAGGCTACGCCAACAATTCCGTCATTTCGCCGCAGCCCTTTGGTATCGCGAAACATCATCGTCTTCGGCGACGGATATTGTGGTTCGTCGTGTACAGCCTTTTTGCATTTGCTCAAGTACCAGGGAAAGGTGGAATCAATCGTGGCTGGTGGCCGACCTCAGAACGGGCCAGGACAGGCCATGGGCTGTGTCAAGGGCAGCAGAGTCGAGCCCTTTGCCGACGCGATACAATACGTCGAGTTGTTCTACGAGGAGGCCCCCACGGACTTGCTCGAACAGGCGAACAAGACAGCATTGAAGGACCTGTGGGACAATGCACAGATTCTGCAGCTCCGCAACGACGTGAACAATGGTCACGTTCAAGTCAACATCTTCAACGCGATTGCGCAGTACGATGACACTCAGACTCCCCTCTAATTCGTCTACGAGACAGCCGATTGCAGACTATGGTATCAACCTTCTCATTTGCGCGACATTAGCTCGCTCTGGCGGACGGTCGCCGAACAAGCATTCGGATTGAATGGGCAGGAGAAGTTCTCACTGTGTGTTCCGGGAAGTACGGGCCACCCGAGCAGCTTGAGCGGCAACCAGACTCTCTTTGACGTTGGCCAGATCGCCAATGTCACCGGGTACAACCCCGAAGGCGACGGAAGTGGCAGTGGTGATGGCGCGGATGGCTCTGCTGGTCAAGAGAATGGTTCTGCGGCTGCTTCATCCGTCGGTCTGTCAGGCATGGTCCTGGCGTCCTTTCTGGGTCTGGCGACGCTGGTCGGCGATGTCTTTTTCTAGAACTTCGACTTCTCGTTCTCTGTGACGAGGGATCCGACGTTGGGGAACTGTTCTTGTCAATGAGGGTCCTCGCCGGACACTCCTCTTCGACTTGTACGAAAGGTGACGCTCCGGACAGAAGAAGGCGATGGTCGATATCCGGAATCACGCCTGATGGTATGCGTGGCATTGATTTCTTCTAGAATTGTAACGTTTTCACCTTCACTTGCCCGGCTGTTCACCTCGAGCAAATGAATGCATTGAGGAATGGCACGCGTGTCCTATCTATCCCCTTCGCATTGATCAGAAGCTAGCACACAAAAGGACCACCATCTACACCAGTCCTTGATCTGCCTTTCGTACATGGTAAATTAAAATGTCATGAGTTGGATAAATCATTGCAATGCCACCTTCAAACGCAAGTTGATTGAGAATGTCTCCCGTGTCGTCGCTCCGACCGACATCTTCGCCGAAAGCCTTGGTGCTCAATGGGACATACTAAGTACGGTACAGTAGTAGGGACTTGGACTATATCGCTAGCATTAAGCCCGTGTTACCAGCATCTCCGTCGGAAAGATGAGGGCTGAGAGATGTTCACCACGTTCAGCACCGAGATGAAATGCCCTTTCAAAGCTGCAAAAAGACGTCATGGCAGGCAGGGCCGCTGCAACGTCAGTCGCTCTTGCCTCAAACGGCTCAAACATCCTGTGAGCCTTGTAACCGTGCTTGGTGTGTCGAGAAACATTGATTTTCAAGCCAAATCAAGAAGGTAGACTTCCTAATTGGGCGGAATTCATACCGCATTCATTCACTAAAGACCCGGATACTAAGTATGTACTTTAAGATCTACTACTAGGTTCCAGTTCGACACCAGCTCGATCCCAGCTCGATCCCAGTTCGGTCCCCGTTCAACACTCGTATCAGGGTAGCATTAATAGTAGCACGACTACATCAATGCAGATTGAATATGTACTAGTACAGTATAAATGTAGGCTACGTCTAGTTCTAACCAGAGCTCGGCCTGGTTTAGTGATTCAATGCAGTCTGAAGCAGGCTGGCCTGGGGTGGCCTGGGCTGACTCTGGTTGGACCAGATCAGGCGATTCAGCGTGGTTTAAGCACCGGAGTCGGTTGAAGCCTGAGTCTGATCCACTGCTAATCCGGTTCAGAACCATTTCTAGCCCACCTGAGCCCACCTCAACTCACTTCCAGCCCAGGCTAGCCCATCTTCAGGCCCGCCCGAGCCTGAGCTGAGACTGAGCTAGAACTGAGTTGAGGTGGGCTGGAACTACTTTACTACCACATTTACATAGGCTGACATTTGGGGGAGACGAAGGGCACTCTTGTACAAGTTGTAGTATTGGCAATGATAACAAATGTTCTGAAACTGCTAGGTGGGCAGTTAGTATGTAGCACTCCGTAGGGGGTAGTAGTTTGCGAGTGTCGCAATCAATTGAACTTGGATTCACCGACACACGACGACTGCTTGGAGGATCGTCAGTAACTTGAACCTTCCAGTAGTACGTCCATATATAAGTATAGTATGTACGGGGAACAATATGTGAAACACCAACCAGTCATCTGGCTGATGTGTGAATTTCATTGTTTTACTGGACTGAATGTAAGATGAACCCCCTACGAAGCTGCGGAATTTGGCGCGAGGCAAATGCGAGGGTGTAACGAGGTGTATATGAAAGTGCCAAGCCCAAAAGGCACAGTGCAACCGTTTCTCAAGATGAATCTGGAAGTCCTAAGTTAGTATTCAGGGTTGGGAGTGGACATGATCACGGCAGGACTCGGTCGGTCACAAGCTGTGCTGGCCACAAATAATAGGGAACTTGAACTTGAAGACGTTAGATTCTAGGCCGCGCTTTTACAATTTGGATTCACCGGCTGCACAATGTCATCTAAAGCCTCTTGATCCAGAGTGTCCCCGTCCCTGTTGTGACGCGTTGCGCTATGCACGGCGCTTTCCAGCCATAAAATCAACAGTGCATGCAGCGAACATTTGCCAAACGTGCTCGATTCGAAAGCCTGGATCTACGTACTGGTATGCCGTCGCTGTGGATCGCCACGTAGCCACACAGAATCCGCCGTCCCAGGCGCGACACCTATGAGGTACTGCCCTCGTGCACGAGAGGGTCTGAGCAGCGTCCTGTAAGTGCATAAGTGCTTTGATCCAGTTCAAGCTTCCCGTCGTTTGCGAACAGAGGAGGTGGTTAGAGTAAGTCCCCCTTTCGGGACGCGGTCGGCTATTTTGACGCGTTCAATGGGCTTGCAGGAAACCTGCAGGTCTTCCCGCTCCTATGTCAGCAGTCGATAAATCGATAGCGACCTGTAGACGGACCACGACGCCTGCCTGTGAATCATGTCATTCTATCCCTGTCGTTGAAAGTACTTGTCCCCCGGAGTTTGTGGCCACACCCCTTTCCACCCCTATCCCTTCCCGATGCCCACGTGCGATACATAAGTACTAAGTATGTACCTGGGCGACATCATGCCGCCCCCAGCGGTGGTGGCTTACTTTAACGAGCCGTCGAGTTGAACCCTCCCTGCCACTTTCCCCCACGCTCGTCGGACGGCAGGCCCAGACGCAGCCACGTTGAAAGAGGTGCACTTAATATCGCCACAAGAAGGAAAACCGCGAACGGCACACCTACTTAGCACGCTGTACGCTGCACCCTGGACAGTACGCGGGATGTATGCGAGCTAGTACTGTACGTTTTGGGCAGCATTGCTTAAGACTCTTGGGAATCTTGGGACCTGCCTGCACTGCTGAAGCCGCTTGCTAGCTACTTAGTATGTACCGGCATATTCGCCACAGTATGGAGTAGACGTGAGCCCTTCCCGCCTCACACCCATTGCGAGCATGCATCTACAAGGACAGACTTGAGGAAGCAAAAAGGAGCGAGCCGTGAGTACGGTGAGTACTACTGGGAGCCAGCCAGGCACCAGCACAGACACCGATGAGAAACCGCACTTTGTAATCCTTATGTACATACTTCAAGTTCCCCGGGCCTGCCAGAATCAGTACTTTCGTCCCTTGTGCTATGGATGCGTGTGTGCTGGTGACGGTTCCTGGAATTGGTATCTTGTCTGGTACACCTCCTCCGCGGAAACGTGTTCCTCCAATGAGATCTCACGTGAGTGTCAGGACTCTGTTGTTGTACTACAGCTGTAGTGCGGATATATCACGTCGAGATTTGGATACCGAGCTTGTTGGGATGCTGTATTGTACTCATACAGTGCATGCTGTGTGGCTACTTTTGCGATCCGCTTTGCATTTCCGGCCAAGACGAGGAAGAAAGGTGTACCTGTAGCCGACGCTTGCCAAGCCCGGGTGTATTTGCAGCATGCATATCCGAACAGGAGGGAGTGATTGACAGGGGAATTCTCCGGGGGCAGGTCCCGTCCAGAACGCCTACTGTACCTCGTAAGGCACCCATGCATGCATGCATGCATGCGTACGATGCACATGCACGGCTCCTTCGTGCGTGCTGCGCAAGGACTGCCTGCCATTCTGATCACACCGCCAGTCGAGCTTCAGCTCTATCGCATTCTGTTCTACATGGAATTGTACCTGTCAAACATGTGCTTCGAAGTGGTTGTTCAAACAGCAAGGAGCGACGAACGTCCGTGTCGACTCGAACTTTTTCATGTCCAGAACTTTTTGGTGACCATTGTCACATCCGACACAATATCCCCCAGTGACTTTTGGTAAGCCTGTAAAGGCTGCCTTCTATCGTTAGCGCTATACAGAGTCGCTGTCCCACCCCGGGTCAGCGACTCATTTACACGTCCAGTTTCCGCCACCGGGCTGGGGAACCGAACGTCCAATTTTTCCAAGTAAATTCGTTCCTGCGAATCCGAAGAAAAGGTCTCATAAGTGATTCATAATCGTTCATGGTGGTTTGAAAATACCACCCAATCATTAGTCGTGATAGAAGGGTTCGAAGAGGAACAGCTCGAAGGAGAGGCCGCTCGCGGCCCAAAATCTAGTGAAAGGTACAGTATAAGCCAACGGCTTGGGTGGCCTGGCCGTCAATGTGTTGGGGGCGCAGGGAACAGCGAGTAAGAAATCCGAGTGTTGCGTCGAGGACGGGCAGTACCTGTAGTTCGTTTGCGGCCAATTTGCAGTTTCGAATAGTCAAGGGCGTCTGCGACCGAGGACGTCCTTTCAGGGATACTGGGAGTCTGAGACCGAGCTGCTCGGAAATCACACTTGCCAATTGGAGACATGGACAAAGGTGAAAGGACACCGAGGTCCGCCAGACCCTCCATCGACTTGGGGTGTTGACTATCTTCGCGGATCGTGTCTTGGCTGCCCTCTCGGATGTGCTTTTCCGGCGCTGGAACAGTAGGGAAGTCCTGGAGATCCAGCTTGAGGTGCTCCATAGAACCCCCAAAGCTACCACCAGCCAAGTGGGCGAAGTCGGATAAGGTTGTGCTTGAGTTCGATGACCTGTGGGTGCCAAAGATCGAGGCGATGAAGCTTTCTTGTGAGCTTGAAACGCTCATAACAGATGCTGGACTCCGCAGGTCCCGAGAGCGATAGATTTCGTTCGAAGAGAAATTGTCCTCTGCTTCTTGAGGCACGCTGGCCACACTCTCAGTAAAGAGTACACTCGGGAGTGGCCGGGACGAGTCGATCCCAAGCCCGAGGAGGGGAGATGATGACTGGCCCTCTGCTCTGGCTTCTGACCGAGCAGGTTCATCTCGTGAAGGCTTGTTGGCCGCATGCATCATCAAGGGAGTCGAAGCCGATGACGACGCTTCGTCGACAACGCTTTGTTCCACGACCAGAAAGTTCTCCTGAGGGATGTCGAAGCTATATGGATGCCGAGGTAGGGTGGGCGACATGCCCATGTCATCTTCCGCTTCAAGCTCTGCTGCGTGCTCCCAAGAATAGTCAATAGCGTCCTCCCAGCCTTCGATATCGATTGGTTTCACCCCAATGGAGATGCGGTTCTTGCACTTTCGGTTTGCTTCTTGTCCCGTGTTTTCGATGGTGGCTGCGCCCGGAGTACAAATCCTGGGTGGAATATCGTAAGAGATGACGCCGAACCGGACTTCACCAGAAGACTGGCTTCTTCGCTTGAGCTGCCTCGGTGTAGTCTCGGGTAGTACATGTTGGGCCGGTGGTGGATGACATGAAAAACCTGCTTCTAAGGAGGCTCCTTCTTCCGCCGTCTCTTCTTCGACTACCTCCATCTTGACTTTCGGCGGCGAAGGCAATGGAGCGGTGCGCAGAGGAAGTGCAATGTCATCCCTGGTCGACACAGCGTGCACAACGTGATCACCAGGTAGGTGTGGGAGTGGCTTCGCTAGAGCATTGGTTTGACTAACGGGACTCATAACTGATAATTGCTGAGTTGTCGCCGTGGTTGGAGAAATGTCGAGGGCAGTCACAGACATCCTGGTGGGACGGGAAAAGTTCTCCATTGACCGAGACATTCGGAAATCAGAAGGACTGGATGGTGACATCAAGCCGTCCTTCGGTGGTGGCCGTGGCCGCGTCGGTGTGGTTGGCAATAACGGGATGGCATCGGTGGTCGGCGATGCTGGCTCGTCCAGGCCGATCTCGATATTTGCATCGTCCTGCTTAACAGGCAAGTCCGCAACGGGGATCCCGCGGATCTCGCTGTCTGGTTCCTGACCCGTCTGGAGTGCGTTGAACTCGGACGTCAAATCAGTCTTGCCAACAGAGTCCAGGTTCAGGAAGCGGGCTTGATCACCATGGGTCACGTGTTGAAAAGCAAAAGGTCCTGATATGCTGCGCTTAACACCGGGCCCTTGAGACTGTCAGCACAGGCGACACGATAGAAGAGTGAAATGCTTACGCCTTGAGCTTAGAGTGGGCTGGCGTTGGAGACTCCGAACCGGAGAGGGCTCGCCAGCCCTGACGTCGGGAAGGTCATTCGACCTGTCTTCGAGCTGAGATGAAAGAAGATTGAGCTTGCTGCCCTGTCGCTTCAATATGCGTGTCCCTTTCGCTAAAAAGGCCTTGGCGGTCTTTTCGTGGCGCTCATGCAGCGGCATTCCGCCGTCCGCGGAGCTCTGCCGGGAGGAGGGTCGAGAGGCCAAGTCGCTTGAAATGTCCGACAAAGAACGAGCAGAAATGGAGAGGGACGAAGCCACAGTGTCGGTACGTGATCTTGCTCGCGGCTTGGGGAAGATATCGCTGCTACTCGACTCCAAACTTGAAGTCTCCTTCATCGAGTCGATCAGTGATTGCCTTAACGGCTCGCCATGTGGCCGGGAGGGCCATTCATGGGCAGCTGCGTGTGCCTTGTCACCGGGTTGCTTCGAGTGTCCCTGGCTCCATGGGAAGCGACCCATTTGGGCTGTGCCTTTGCTCCGTCCTTAGGAGCGAGAATGAAGCAAGTGACCTGGGTCTGATCGTTTCATCAAAGCGATGTCGGGCAGTGACCTTCCGAAGGCTAATGGGAGGTGACGTAAGATTTGAGTACAATGAAGAGTCTGTCGGTTCCTTGGACGAGAGGAGAGACGAGCGTGATGGTAGGGCAAATTTCAGGCTGTTCGCAAGCCGTTTCAGGCTGTACCTCAGGTTAATTATATAGCCGTCACGTGAGGGAACTCATTGCCTCAATCTTACAGCCAACAACATCTGAAGGGGGTCAGGTTTCGGATATGCCTCCCTTCAGCGTCCTCAACCTTGCGAAGAGCGAAACTGAAGCCAGACGCCTTTGAGTACCCGTCGTCCAAGGATATAATAGGCTGCTCCGTATGCTGTAGTGCAGAGAATCAACTGCCAATTCGGGCAGTTTTCCGATCGATACGACACATGAAGGACAGACGCGGGAGAGGGCTGCACAAGCAAAGGTGGTCTCACGAGCTTGAAGGCGTGACGGCGGGAAACCAATCTGAACTGCCAGAAGTACAATTTGATGGTATGCAATATCTGGAAGAAGACGAACCTGGATAAGAACGACTGGGAGAAAAGATATTATCTGAGCCCGACCCTACCATTGGCATGTCATAACAAGGTACTCCGTAGAGAGGTGGAGCCAGCATACTTTGTACAGCAGAGCGATCCTCGTCGTTCGCGGCATGAAGGCGTTCTTCATTCGTGCAGGCAGTGAAGCCCGACTAGCAGGGGATCCAGTGGTCCAAACTGCCGGTTAGGCTTGATGATGGGATACCGGGGGAAAGCAAGACCCTAGGCCTCAGTGGTAGTATCTTGTTAGTGTTGGCTTTGGTGCAGACGCGACTGAGACCGACGGCTTGCGCAGTGTCCCCATCTTCGCAAAGCACGAAGCAGGGGCCGTGGGGATAGTTGCGTTATAGTGGAGGTGGGAAGGAGCAGGCGAAGGAGATTTGATGGGGCTGTTCACGTCAGGAACAGGTGGATCCTCGGGTGGGACACAGACGAACTCTGACTGGATCAAGCTGGCTGCATGGGCGGAAGCCACAAGCCGGCACTTTACTATAGTGCTGGGTATACTCGGGGACTAAGAAGGGTCTGGTGAACGAGCGTTCTGGTAGTGCCGTGCTGGCGCCACGGCGTCGTGCTCCGGTGCCGAGATAGGCTAGGCTGCCTCTCCCGCTTCACCCGCCTCTCGTCATTTGTCCGTCTTTTGCTCAGGGCTTCCCCGTCGCCGGCATTGAGATATTGGCACCAGCAGTTTGAGAAGGTGAAAAAAGGGCAGCATGGCCGTGATCTGGTACTGATACTTTGGCCGCAAGGTGAAATCTGGTCAGGAAGAGGTCAGTTGTAGGAGAGGTGTATTTGGTAATCGGCTTGGAGGAAGCGTCTGCTGGGGAGCCGTTACATCTTACACCAAACAGGATTAGCTCGACTCTACCAAGGAAGGAGCCTGACTTTCCAGGCTCCCAGCCAGGGACGCCCTCCAAAGAGCGACCCCACGAGAAGAAGCTCGAGACGATGTGACTGTACGAGGTACGGAGTACTGTATGCTCGGTAGCTCGTAGTCGCTTGGGCCGGTGTCGGCGCCCTCACCTAGAACTTGTTTTCAATCGACACAGGTCCAAGTCAGACCCAGCACCTCCGTCAATGATCAGTCATAAGGAGCTACCACGCATACTCCGCCAGGACTGCAGATTCGGAGGGCCACGTACGAGTAAGTGTACGCCCTAAAGCATCTGGCTGAATTGCGCGAGCGTGTTGCTCTCCGGTGGGGATAATGTTAAGCGACAAAGAAGTTTGCGCAACACGTCTCCATCTCGACGCGGAGGAGAGGCACGTAACAGAGGGAAGAGACCCGGTCAGAAGATGGGTCGAAGCACCTCTCGGTTGACGGCGACTAGGCGTGAGGAAAGAAGAGCCGCGAAGAGCTTTACCGGCACGAAGACACGAAGGTACAGCGGAAGGTGTGAGAAGCGACCCGCCCGCGTCACCTTTGTTTGAGAAAATACTGGATCGGTTAGATTTGTGCGTAGATCTGCTTCAACTAAGCCCTTTTGCGGAAGGGCGCCGGCTAGGCGGAGATAGCCCCCTGCTACGGCAGCGCTAATGGCTGACGCAGTAGCGATAAACGAGTTAGTGCGGCGCTGGCCAATTAGCGGCTTAATTGCGTTCTCCCTGCATCTCGCACAAACGCGCAACCAATAGACGTTCGTTGCTCTTCGAAGGCCAACACCTGACAATCTCATCACCGACTTCAAGGCTTCAACGGCGATCGTCAATGCTGCTGTCAACCTACCTGACAACCTTTACGGCAGATACCCTTCGCCCGCCTCCTCCGATTCCTGTCAACGAAGTCTGTGCACTAGTGCCGAAACTCCCCAGAGCCACATCGCGGCTCTCGAGCGGCTATACGGAGTACACGTCGGAATTAATACTAGGATGCGCGTATGTGTCAGCCAGCTTGACGGTGTGGGCACTTTACACTTTCCCGCAGTGCTGGGGAGAAGGACCAGTACTCGGTACCTTTCGGGTCATGTTCCATAAAACCCTCCTCAAGGCTGAAAGAATCTACCCCGAGGCACGAGTGGAAGTTCACTTCCTGACCCACAGCCTCGGACATCAGTGCTACACGGTCCACGCCGGAGATGGTGTCGATAAGAGGGCAATTTCGTGTTTGGGTTTATCTACCGCGTCCTGAAGACAGTGTCGATCGCAAAGAAAGCAACAAGAACCACGATGGCTAGCGCTGCGATCCGCTTAGCCTCAACAGATGCTTCGTCGCTGTTGCCCGGAAATTATCACGTCCAGTTGGGCAAAGTGTGATATTTGCTTTGACGGATCTCGAGTTTGAGGGCCATGTACAGACACAGTTGGGCTTCCAGCCCATTTGAGGAGGCCAAATTCCTGATAACCACGTAGCGCCGAAGAATCCTCATCTGCAACAGTCATCTTCAGTAAGCGAGTCGAGATTGGATCATGTCTTGCGACTAGACCGCTCCATATGTCTTCGGTATGGAGACCAGTAGTCAGGCGTGAGAAGATGGGCACTGTATCTCTCCAATTCACGTCGAGTAACAGCCTATATATCAGAAGAATTGCAGCAAGAGCCAGATGATCGACGGCCACGGTGAGGAAACCGCCATCTGGAAGAGCCAGGGCGAATCGATCCCTCGGAGAAGCTGGACGGGAGGTTCCCTCTCCTTGGATTTTTCTGCACATTATTCACATGTCCTGTGATGCGGAAAAGCCTTCTGCACTTGCGATTGACCGAAGGTAGCCTGTGCTGATACTGTCTCATCGTCGGTTATCCTTGCTCTGCTGCACTTACCACCTTGCTATATCATCAAAGAGATACTCACAGTACGAGTATTAGTGGCTATCTCGAGTCAACTCGTCTCTCAAGCATGCGTGATAACCACCTTCATTCCAGCCAACCAGGGAGTATCGGGGAATCTCCTCAGTATCTTGTTCAGTAAGTACTGCGTAGTAGTCAGTAGCCAGAGGTCGGCCCCTACTGCCCGTAGATAACAACCCACACCATCATGACATTTCTCGCTTATCTCGCTCGCTTGATGCTACATTCCCAAGATCAATTTATGACAAGCTACTCGCGAGTCACCTGTGGTCGACGCAATTCAAAGGAACAGTACTCCGTAGCAGGGTTCCCGCAGCGATTATCACTTGGCTGGTTGAATTACTGTAGCAGCCGTACGGTGTCCATCGCATGCACAGACAGGGTCGGAACATTCACCTCCTCCATAGACATTCGCGCTGTGTAACGACCCGGACGTGAGCCGTGCGTGCAGACGTCTCGCTCCGTCGAGCTTGAACCCTGCATCAACCCGTATAATTTTTGGTAACAGTAGGGAGTACTCGTCCTGATAACAACCTGCGGCGCGGCTCGCTTCCAACTCCCAACTCTCAACAGCGCTCTTGCTTTCTTCTGAGAGACATTGATCAGGGATTTCCTTACCGGTGCGCTTCCAGCACCCCGCTAGCCGCCAAGAAGGGTGCTTCGGTGCCGGTGCCGAGGCCCTTTTTAGGCTTCAAGGCAACCCGCAACCAGTCCCTGGGCGCTGGACATGCCACCTGAACCTTGCGCACCGCGTCTTTGGTGACCGTGTGCAGCAGAGTTTTGGGCCCTTGAACCCTGACGCTGGTGATGCTTTCCTAGCCTGATTTATCTCGAAGCTACACGGGACACGCTCGCGAACTGACGCAGGTGCAAAGTCCATATCAGTACATTCCGGAGTATGTACAGTACCTCGGACTCTGACAAGGTGCTCCAACCTTTCAAATCCTCCATTCGGCGCGTCTGTAATAGCGCTTCCAGCTACCTACCTTAGCGACCTCGCTATGGCCGGGGACTTTGTCTTGATTCTGCAGCAGGATCCGACGCGTTCTACTCAGCCCGGCTTTCAATAATAACCCACGGGCTCCAGCCACGAATGCACTCATTCCACATGCGAGACGCGCAACCTTGCAAGCGGGACGCACAGTTTGGAATTTTCCCTCACCAAGTGTCCGCACCCATTTCAAACACTAAGTTCTCCTCTACAGTGTACGAGTACTGTGATACAGTCTGTCGGACCCGAACATTCGAGCTGGCCCTCACTTTCCCCGATCCCAATCCTGCTACTGTGTGCACACCAGCCCTTGCCTTGCAGTCTCCAGGACTTACACTCACCATTAATCCAAGAGTTGGTGCACAATACGCTGGGCAAGAGCGCCGGCAAACTCATGGGTTATCGTATGGGCTGCCTTGCCCTGGCGATGTCCACAGTGTGTGTCCAGGTCTTCGCCTAAACGCGTTCAACCGTGGTCCTTGCAGGCTTCCTATCGACATCTCCATCTCGAAGCGACATTCTTCCACAGGTCTCAGCCAACGAAGCTGTGCGCAACCGCAGAGAGAACGCCCCTGGAGCTCTGTAGAGTCGCAGACATCATCCAACTACCTACTGCAGAGGTCAGGACCATCGATGTCTGCCGAAGTGGTCTCACCCTTCGAAGCCGTCGATGGTTTTGCAGGGTGGATTTCATTCCTTGGAAGCTGCTGATTGGTGTTCCTGATTTCTTTTTTCCCGTTAATCATTGCCTTAGAGACTCGTCGGTCTCCAGCACTATCCCATTATCCTGCAGCAAGTGCTTACATTGACGTTTCTTCATAGGTCCATTCGCACGTGTAACCCTTGCAATTCAGCACGGCTTTACGTACACGGTACAGCATGAGTACTTGTCCCCTGTCTTTGCACGCATTTGCGTCGAATGTCCCGGACTAATCTTCCCATCACAACGCGAATCCTGCAAGTTTGTCATCCTAATAGCCATACGCACGGCGGCACCATTGCTGTCAAATCCTGGGCCCCGGACAGCGGCACATGCAATTGAGACATTAGGCCGACAGAGTCTGTTTGCCCACTGTTCCCTGTTGGCGGGCTGACAGCCATTTCGTCATGCCCAGCTGAACAAAACCCTCGATTCTCCACCCTTCTGCTCTCGAGACGTTTCCGATCAGTTTGCCGTGTCTCTCGGTTGGGGTCGGCATGTCTTGTATACCCACTGTCCTCTCCAGGTCTCCTGCATATCGGCTTGAGGGAGAATGTTTGCATACCAGAATATAGCAAGGCCTCCCATCGACTCGCCTATTTGCCTGGCATTGACTATTGTCTCATACGTCCACTTCCGTGTGCGCTTTGGGCTCCGTCGGATGCAGCCTCGTGCACCCGGACGCCGCTCACGCTTCGGCAGTTTGTTACTGCCCGTGGACAAGGCTTGGATCGTCCTCTCCGGTAACAACGCAGAGGCCAGAGCATGAGGGTGTCGCAGAAAGTCCCCAACAGCTTCAAAAGAAAGCACCTCAAGGCATTCTCCTCCTGCTCTGCGGATCACCGTGGACGCTTCTCGTGCAATACGCGCTCTTCAGGATGAAGGTCTCGCAGCAATTGTTGTCATTTTGCAAGGAGCAGTCATCCAAACAAGATTCTGTTGCCACTTTCCAGGACTTTCTGCTCGCCTTCACTCATCGCCGGGCTGACATCCCAGCACCGGTTTCCCAATCCCATAGCCCTTTTGCCCTCCTCACTGACTTGGGTCCAATCAGTAGCTCCTTCAAATCCGATCTCACCGTTACCACCAGCCCCTGGGAAGTCAGGAGGTGGGCTGTATCTCAATGCACTCAAGCGTTGTCTCTTCAGGAACTGGAGATTCGGTTTGGTGACGGCGCATGCAGGAATATACATGACGCTACTGTCACTTGTACCACGATGCTCTTTGTCGACAGCATGGATCATGTCACAGTGCCATGCGACATAGTCACCCGGTTCGACCTGTGGCATGCTCACCATGGTTGTTTCTAGCTCCAGACCCGGATGGGAGACTGGATCGTACTCTTGACAAGCAGCCGGTACTGAGTTCGGAAAGGTGGCGTCCAGGTTTAACTTGCCAGTCTCCAAGTTGATAAAGGGTCTCAACATCAAGTATGAGGTTGCATGCCGAACCAATGGACAAACTTTCAGTGTTCCTTCTCCGGGCCCCGTTGAAGACATCGAAAGCCAGCCCTGGAACAAGCGGAACATGCTGCAAGCCCCCGCACCGTTGTACAAGTCCATTCTTGCTGCGATGCGGTGACGGGCATCAAATGGATCGTACTCTTCCCACCGACCCTCCAAGATGGCCTGATACACCCGGGAATACTCAGGGTCCTCCCAGCGCTCAAGACTTCCGCCATCTGTATGACAGCCCAACGCGAACTTTGCATCCCCGGGTTGACGGATGCGGAATCGATCGGCATACGAGAGAGGGTAGGTTGTCGATATCTCGGACGAAGGGTCCGACGAGTGCCAGAAAGAAGCCAGAAAAGACTGCGCCTTCAGCATGTTTGGGTGTGCCCGTGCCTGGACTTGAGACGGCGTCCAGTACAGCTCATATACAGCGGGGTCATCAGCCGGGAACGCCCTAACTTTGGGCCGATTCGCGGCGATATAATCCCTCGCCTTTTGTTTGAGATCGAGCGCCTGTTCCCGAGGCAAGACATTCCGAATCACAGCTGTGCCTCGACGTCGAACCGCGTCCAGCTTTGATTGAGGGACCGTGCCCGCGGCCACATGCCCGAACTCGATGCTAGGAATGACCTAGATTGCGCGTTAGCAAGTGGTCACCTAGTTCAAAAACATAGGCCATGCCACGTTGTACGACGTAGAGGACTCATACAACTTGGAAAGTCATAAGGTAGGTGGCCAGCATATGTGCATACCTCACTGCCCTGTTCTCTGATCTCGGCAATCTCCCGCTCCAGACTCCCCATAATTCTCTGCCACGAAGCCACCACCGCATCTTCATTGCCCTTGACAAGCGACTTCTTCAGGTCACTGAACCGCGGTGCCAACGGCTCCGGCCTCTTGCCCGACAGGGACGGGAACACCGAGCTGATGTCTCCCGCTTCCTTTGTCAATGTGGACATGGCCCGCCGAAGCGTGAATGTAAGAGTACTCTTCATTGTTCTGAAATGCAGCAATCCAGAAAAGGCAAGTGTACAACAGTTGGGTATATATTCGGGGCTTCGAGGATTTGGTATCGAGCGTCTAAATCAAAAAAAGTATCAAATATGTAGACGCAGGTGAATACTACGATTTATCTTCCCCCCTCCCGACAAGGTGGCCGGGTAGAGTTCTGGGATGGGAATGGCGTGGTGTGGCGTGGATACGGCGAGACATAAACTCCTCGACGCAAACACGTGAGTACGTAAGCTTCCCATTCCCAACGGAGTTGGCGGGCTGGTTTCCGAATGGGGAATAAGGTACTTACTATGGTCCTCGAACACTGTCAGTACAATGCCAGTACTCGGAAAGGTGAAGATGAACACATCTACGCCGTGTGCAGGATTCCCGCGCCCGTAATCTTGTCGCTCGCACTCAATGGACTACCGTTTAGTGCCAGATGAAATTCGCCTCGGGCCAAGTGCTCCCGAAGAACACCGCCCCTCACTCTTTCTCCCACCCGCGTGAGGGGAAACACAAGGCGGAGGGGCCTAGGGCGCGCCTCACCCGCAGAACTCACTTTGGCACGGGCACGGGCACTGCCGGTGGTAGTTGGTCTTACTCGTACCACGGCGAGTCAAGTCAGCGGTTACTCGCATGGAGTCAGCCGTGTAAGCTGGTGTTGGTGGCCGAGGTACTGAGTGGCCTGGACCTGTTGGGGGGAAGATATATACGTACGTGGAGGGCAACACCCACGGTCCATATATCTCTCTGTGCCGAGAGAGATACAGAGCGAAAGTGTGAGGCATCCGTATACATATACACGCATCTACTACATATACACGAGGCACGCCCAGAGACCACGCCTGCCTAAAGAGAGAAATATTCGCACTCGCACACTTGCAGGCGTACACCTGCTGCGCTGTTTAAAGAAAGAGGCTTCGCATACACGCACTGCACTGAGTACGTTCTTACATACCTAGTACTCCGAACATATACCGCGTACGCGCTTCGAGATGGCTCAACAGGTCCAAGGCAAGACGGCCATCGTCACGGGTGCCGGGTCAGGTATGTGTCCCCTCTTCCCCTACCCGACCAGACAAGCCACCTCGACCACAGAACTACACACAATACATGTATTCTATGTGACCTCACGGTGATATCACGTATATCATCGTACCGACAAGCTGACACGCCCACCCACAGGCATCAATCTCGAATTCGCGCGTCTCCTCCTCCAACATGGCGCGAACGTCCTGTTCGCAGACCTGGCGCTCCGGCCCGAGGCCCAAGATCTCGTGGCAAAGTATGCGTCCACGCCCAACAAAGCGGTCTTCCAAAAGACAGACGTGACCTCCTGGCCAGAGTTGGAGGCCATGTTCTCGGCGGCCACGCAGCACTTCGGGGCCATCGACATCGTGTGTCCTGGCGCCGGCGTGTTCGAGCCTCACTGGAGCAATTTCTGGTATCCGCCCGGGACGGCCAAGTCCGGGGACGACCCGGCCAGCGGGCGCTACAAGCTGCTGGACATCAACTTGACGCACCCGATCCGGACGACGCAGCTGGCCATTTCGCACTTCCTGGCCGCCCAGCCGCCGAGCAGTCCCCAGAACCCAAAGTCGATCGTGCACATCGCGAGCATTGCCGGGCAGACGGCCTCGTTGCCTTTCCCGCTGTACCACGTCAGCAAGCATGGCGTGCAGGCGCTGGTGCGGAGTATGGCCGATCTGGAACCCTTGCATGGGATCCGTGTGACGTGCGTCGAGCCGGGGGTGGTCAAGACGCCGCTGTGGATGGACCATCCGGAGAAGTTGAAGATGCTCAAGCTGGATGGCGAGGATGCCGATGCATGGGTCACGCCCGAGGAGGTCGCGCAGGTCATGTTGAGCTGTGTCAAGGACGACGAGATCCCAAACGTCATCGAGGGGAGTCCGAGCGCAAAGGACGTGGCAATAGAGAGAGAGACCATCCGGATCCAGGGCGGGTCGTGTCTGGAAGTCCTTGCAGGGTCCATCAGAGACGTTCCTATGTTCAATAACGTCGGCCCGTATGCGCTGGGGAGGATAGGCGCAACCGTGACGGACAGGGAAAAGATTTATGAAGAGATTTATGAGGTGTTAAAGCCAGGGTGGGGCAAAGCACAGTGAGAGAGAGGTAGAGACTGAGATCTGGCATTTGCGTTGAAGTATGGAATGACTCTCGCTGACAGGTCAAGATATATGCCTCTACGAGCTTGTGGAATCCTGATACTCGAACTCCATTGCCATGGGCGTGGCCGCGTTTATGTTGTCTTCTTCGTCGACTACCGAGTAAACTCCGGCGGCAGTCTTCTCAGGCTGACTGCTTGAGGTAAGGATAGGATCCGGCAGGTGAACAGTCTTGCGTCAAAGCTGCTCTCTCTCCCAAGGTTTTAGTATCAGCCCGAGAACCACTGTTGGCTGGGACAGGAAAGCTCCCAGTAACCAACCAGGGCTGAGGCATACCTACTTGCACGGTCAAGACCACAAGATCAGGCGGTAAGAATATGAGCCCCCAGCAAGTCCATGTTTAATCTATCCTCGTCTGAATGATCTTCACCGGCCTGGCCCTGAAGAGCGACGTTCGGGTCATGGTGGGAATCTCAGGCCAATGGCAGTGGCAGTGGCAGTGGCAGAAACAGCATGACAGCAACTCCTAAGTATTCACACAGAAGTAGACGTGCAAGAGCTGAGTGTCGTGCATTCTACACGGTACGTTGTTAGTGCTTCATGAGCAGAGAGTGAAGGCGAAATGAGCGCTGCTTCAAACCATGGAATGCTCCACCGAAGCATTGACAGCACGTGATCAGACGTCATTGTGAAGATCGCGCAAATCGCATCCACCGAGTCGATCTGCGTCGTCGGCCAGTTTGTCGCTTGCGCCTCTTCGCGCGGTGAGTCTGCTGCGCTGTCCGTTTGCGACGACAAGATGCTCGACGCTTTCGAGATCCTAACGACGTCCGGGGTCGTCTTGTGGTCGCGATCCTCGTCCAAAATCGGGCCAACCGCGGTCAACAGTCTGATCAACGATGTCTTTATCGAAGAGAAGGTCCGTCCCACAGCGACGAACTCGGGCAAACCCACATACAAGTACGACAAATACACCCTCAAGTACACTCTGGTCAAAGACTTGGGACTCATATTTGTCGCGGTCTACCAGTCTCTGCTTCACCTCACCTGGGTTGACAAATTGCTCGACGATGTGCGGACTATCTTTGTCGAAGTCTACCGTGGTCAGCTGGAGGAACTAGACTACGCTGCCCTGAAGTATCCTTTCGACAAGTATTTTGACGAGGAGTTACGTAGACTGGATCAGAATACTGGTGGCGCAGTCACCACACAGCCAACCCAGGTCGCCACGGCGCAGGAGGACAAGAAATTAAGTGCTGAAGAGGCAGACACTGGAGGGCCACCACCACCGGAAATACCTTCGCTGGTCAAGGCGCAGCCAAAAGCTGTGCCAGTGGTGAACGGAGATTCCGCCCGGGAGACACCTGTTCAATCACCTGAAACCTCTCGTCCGTCAACACCTATCCCAGGCATCGCGCCACATCTGTTGACAGAGAACAAGAGACCGGGAAGTCGTGGTTCCAGGAGACAAAGAAAGGCCGCCAATGCTGCTGCGTCTCCAGGCGTCTCTAGTGGGGACGAAGCTAGGAGACCCAAAACATCCAAGGGGACCGCAAAGAAGGGTCGTGTCTGGGGTCCTGACGGAATCGCAGACGACGCCGATGATACCAAGCTCGATTACTCGAACACCGGCGATGATGTCGACGATAAGGGGGTAGCATCTCCGCCACCGGAAGAAATAGCTCAAGAGAGTTGGGGCACGAAGAACAAACAGGGTCAATTCGTCCTCAAAGACCTGGGTGACGAAGTCAACAATATCCTGAAATCTGCAGATCTGAACAAGCCTGCCACCAACGGAGCCGGAAAGTCGACCTTTGGAGCCATTTCGGGCTATTTCAGAAATATTGTCGGCGGCAAAACCTTGACAAAGGAAGACCTTGACAAACCCTTGAAAGCCATGGAAGAACATCTGATCAACAAGAACGTCGCACGCGATGCGGCCATCCGATTGTGCCAGGGAGTCGAAGCTGAAATGCTGGGCAAGAAGACAGGCGCCTTCGAATCCATTGATGCGGCATTGAGACCTGCACTAGAGAACTCGCTGCGACGGATCCTTACGCCTAGATCATCTTTAGACCTGCTGCAGCAAATCGAGACTGTGGCAAATCCCACCGGCGCGAAGGCTCAACCCCGGCCATTCGTGATCACCATTCTGGGTGTCAATGGGGTCGGAAAATCCACCAATCTCTCCAAGCTTTGCTACTTCCTCCTTCAGAACAATTATCGCGTTCTGATTGCAGCAGGAGACACCTTCAGATCTGGCGCCGTGGAGCAGCTGAACGTCCATGTACGCAACTTGAAGGAACTCACCGCCCGCGAACGCCTTGGCGCAGTTAGTATCTACGAGAAAGGCTATGGAAAGGACGCGGCAAACGTGGCTCGAGATGCGGTGGCGTTCGCCAAGGAGAACGACTACCAGGTCGTGCTCGTGGACACGGCCGGGCGAGCCCATACGAACACCCAACTCATGGCTGCGCTGGAAAAGCTCGTCGACTTCGCGAAGCCGGATCTGATCTTGCAGGTCGCCGAGGCCTTGGTCGGGAACGATTCGGTAGGCCAGGCCCAGAACTTCACCAAAGCATTGGGCAAAGGCCGCAAGCTCGACGGGTTCATCGTCTCAAAGGTGGACACTGTGGGCTCGGGCATCGGAACAATGATCTCCCTCGTGCACGCCACGTCGGTGCCTGTCCAATTTATTGGCGTGGGTCAGCATTATGGCGATTTGAGGCAGTTGTCCGTTCCATGGGCGGTGAATATGCTGATGAGTTAATTGGGGACTCTCGTGATGCGGGACCAGATGACACCTCTGGGTGGGTTGGCTGTTTCCAAGGGCCACCAAGATATGTCGTCCTACATTGAGGCAATGAAGACATGACTGCACGATCACGTCCAGGTGTGCGATGAAGAACGAAGAAATTTCACATAAGCGAGCCTGTACTTCTTCGAGTGTCTTCTCGCAGTGGTTCTTAGAACTGCCTTCTTGGTGATAATTGGCTTACGCGTGTTCCTGCTACGAGTGACCGACTTCTTTCCACCTTAGACTCCCACTCCATCCCGTTTCACCTCAAGACACGTGTCAGCATGCGGAAGAACTGCCGCGTCATTCGCGGGACACACTCAGGCATCGTCACGATGACTGACCGGAAAGTGCAATGTGTAAGCAAGAGGTTGTGTGGAAGAGGGTTTGGAATTTCCTTTGCAATATGAGAGAGTCACTGGGTCAACAAGACCGCTCGCTGTAGACCAATGTACAGACCACAAGAACAATAATTGCTTGCCATGTACGTCTCAAATTGGACTATCGTCAGGCTGGGAATCTCGTAAATCATGGGGATCGTGCCAACCCAAGCGGCACCGCGCAAAAGCCCGTCTCGGCCAACCGAAAGCCGACCCCTTCCTCATGCTGCAATATCTCCGTTCTCCTCCTTGTCGTGTCGCAGCTCTTCAAGAATTGCTTCACGTGTGTTCGCTTCTCGCATTGTATGAGTCAACCCCCAGTGCATCTGGCCGTCGACGGGCCCGGCGGACATTGGATACACAAAATGGGCCCAGGCAAGCACATATGTGGTATTGCGTCTGAAGAACCGAGGGAGGCAGGGATCAAGTTGGACAGGAGTGCAACGCATGGCGATCGTGATGTTGCCGTACAGCACAGGCGAACCTTCTGACCATATCCTTCGGCAAACACGGAGAAACTGAGCTGATAAGCCACTGCTGGTGATATAGTAGCGATCATCGTAGAGCTGTGTCCAATCAAGTTGGTCGTGACGGGGAGATTGGTGCGCGGCTACCGCCTGTCCCAAGTGGAAAGACTGGCACGCGGAATCCGAGGAACACAGAAAAGCGAGGACCTGGCTGTTGTCCACGAATACCTCTCGGTAAATTTTGTTCATTATCTCAGGCGGAAAGTTCAAATAACCCAGTGGACCAGTCGGTGTGCGAGGCCGAACGATAGGAAGGTGGTCCATCCCGACGCATGTGCTCTGCCTAGCTAGACGGTGGCGGAGGACGTTGCCAGCAACGGACTGGTAATACTGGAAGGGAAGGCGAGTAGATGTCGGCTTCTGTAGTAGATGCGAGATAAGATGCTGCTGGCGAACGATAGACTTCGGAACGTGGCGATGTTGAGAATGTGGCTGGTTGACGTGAACACGACTCCCGCGAGAGTCCTCACACCGTCCAAGAGCAGGTGCCACGAGCCGGGCGTAGGGTGGGCAGGTGCAAGTCGTTGTCCCTTCATCGCTTAGCCTTTTTCAGGGCCATCTTCTTCCTTCGGGCAATTTCCGAGGGGAACACCATAGAATTCCTGGGCTTTTTCTTCGATATCTTGTGGGCTTTGCGATTGACTCTGTTCTTTCCTGGGGCTGATCTGACGGTCTTCATCTTCGCGCCTCGCGCATCAATGTCCATTTCTACACTACTGGTCAGTGTTGGATGTGGCTTCAAAAGCTGGAAGACCAATACCCTCATTGTTGTTATCTCTAGGCTGGTCTTCAGCGTCTTCCCCATGCCCCTCGTCTACGTTCATAGCCTTTTCAGTTTCGGGCTTCGGTTTGGCGGCCAGTTCCTGCAATTTCGCGGAGAGTCTGGCGGTGCGGGCATCGTGGGCGGGACCGAAAACTGTGGCTCGAAGGGCACGGTGGTTCTTCTTCACAGACAACGCTCTTGCTGATTTAGCCATACCTGCAATAAACGAGTGGGACGCAAGAAGAAAGTAGAGGTACGTACTGTCGCAGAAGTGAGGGAATGGTGAATGTCGAGTAAAGAAATTCTGTAGCACAGCCGGAGTATTGCCGATTCGCTGGCCGGGCTCAACGACTGCGACTTCTTTACGAGGGCAGCAACATCACTTCTTGGGGTTTGGACAGCGGCAGTGTTCTTCACTGCCTACAATCGAGTCTCAACCTCGCTCCTCCCTCCCACCCGCCCGTCCGTCCCGTCTTTCATCGCCCACTCCGCCGTGAAGACAGTGGCAGCCTGACCTACTCATGACCGTGGTTGACCGGCCCTACTCGATCCGCTCCGTCGCCATGTTCGAACAACGACGCCAGAGATAGCCTCATTACGGACTCGGCAGCTTCCGTTGTTTGGTCAATTGTTAAAGGGGATTGAGAAAACGCGCCTCCCACCATGTCGGGCTACCCAGATACCCAGGCGCATGACGATGTGCGAGCCATGATTGCCTCAGTCAAAACCCTCACTGTAGAAAAACTGAAAAACATCCTTCGAGGCGAGGGTCTCCCTCTGTCTGGAGTCAAGAGTGAATTGCAAATCAGGACAATAGCCCGTAGGTCCAACTGTTCCCGAAATCTCAACTGTTTCTCTTTTCCCTCCTTCCACCCTGACATTCACACGAGCAGATATCGAAAAACTGCGCAATGGCGGCGACGTTACGGGCCTGAATCGGATACGAGGGTGCGTCAGAAGCGGCTCTTATCCCTACAGCAACAACAGCAACGGTTCTTACCCTTCACCTTATTCCCGCCACACGCCTACCTCCTCGGCGTCTCCCTCGTTCTCTTCTCCTACCGCTCACAGCTCCTTCAACATGTCCTCGAATTCACATTTCGGCTCCGGTATGGATCATGCATCTGGTGACAGGAGAGCCTCCTCTGACGAGAAAGCAGGCCGAATATCGTTCAAGCCCTCGCCTTTTTACACGATCACACGATCACTCACCCAGATTCACCGATGCGGTCGTGAGTTCTGCTTCAACCTCACGTTACCGAGCAGTTTGCCTGACCAGATTTAGCACAAGAAGGCTCTAGAGAGACCGCCAGGCTTGTAGTCATGCTATCACCGGATGTCATCGACAAGCTCACCAGCGACCCATCATGCCGAGTTATGGTCTTCTGTGCCGCAGAGCCCGTTGGCTCATACACTAATGGCCCATCCGATATTGCCTTCCCCCATAATGTGGAGCTGAAATGCAACGGGGATGATGTTAGGTCGAATTTGCGGGGACTCAAAAATCGGCCGGGATCGACCAGGCCTGCAGATATCACGTCCCTGGTGAGGACTAAACCGGCCAATTACCCCAATGCGGTCGAGATGGTCTACGCGTTGACTACGAAGGTGAGCCAGTATTTCAGCTGACGCTATGTAATGCGTTTTTTGTTCTCGTATTGTGGAATCTTCATGCTGAACTGGCCGCATGGACTGCAGGCATTCTTCCTCGTGGTCAATCTTGTGTCCAAAAAGTCGATCGATGCTTTGGTGGGCCAGATAAGGCTCGGCCGAATGATCAGCAAAGAACAGGTCATTCGAGAGAGTATGTACCCTGCCCCTTGCCGTGGCTTTGACACTTACGTGGGACAGTGCGGCGCAAGGCCGAAGACCCGGACGAGATCGTAGCGACCTCAACAGTTCTGTCACTAAAGGATCCTGTCGGTTACACGCGTATCACGACACCCTGCCGCGGAATTGGCTGCAGCCACGTACAGTGTTTCGATGCGGCCTATTACCTACAGCTTCAGGAACAAGCGCCTACCTGGATGTGTCCGATTTGCAGCAAAGCTGCTCCATGGGAATCGTTGGCTCTAGACCAGTATGTTAATGACATACTGAATCTTACGCCGAGAGACGTTGAAGCAGTCACTCTTGAGCCCAACGGCTCGTGGCATCTTCCGAGTCAAACCGATAACGCTGGTGGGCGGACGTCAAATCCCACGCCTTCAGACGACGAAGATGATGATGATCTTGTTGAGATTGGCGATGGCTCAGGTCATCGCCCACAGAAACTCGAGACGCTGACACCGCACAGTGTCAGGACACCACCGTTATCCTCTAGAGAAGAATCCACAGCACCTTCAGCATCAAGACCGTCAACAAACAGCAACAAGAGATCGCGAGATGTCATTGACTTGACATTGAGCGATGACGAGGATGGCAGACCGGCACCGAAAGCCCGGAGGACAGAGTCGGTCTCGTCAGACAGGGTTATTTCTTCGTCAAGAGCACGGCCTTCTGCCTCATCAGACCGGTATCATTTTAATCTGCCTCCTCCACCAGGGCCACCTCCTTACAACCTTGACAGATTCAACCCGGCGTTATGATTTTATGGTTTTCAACCAATGTGTTCTTCCACTTTCAGCATGGCGCTTGGAAAAGGTGGTAAATATGGGCGGCTTCTTGTGGTTTTGTCAACAGAGAAACCCGCGGGCGAGGCAGGGGCTATGGGAAATGCTGGGATCTTTCTTGAGCCAGGCAGGAGTGTATGCATGCAAGAGTGCTGAGCCTTGATGAGGGCTTATGACGCCGACATGCATCAGGGACAGATGCGCTGCTTCACGACTGACGATTCCCTTAATGTAAGGCAGGACTTCATTCCGTCCAAAGCTAAAGGGGTACAAAACACAGACTAGAGCTGAGGGGCATGGCAATGTTAGCACGAGCCATGCATGAAGACTTATGTGTGTATATGTTTGCCACTGTAGAGAGTAGTCTACACGCGCAGGATATTGAATATCAGTCGACTGCTGGCGTATTAGTCTTTGTGCAACAGCGATCTGCCTTCGTTCTTCACTCAGATGGTCTGGCCATAACAAGTGGCCATTCGCCCGCTACGAACGGCTTCTTTTCCTTGGTGTGGAGGACGCAGACCTCCTTTACACTGAGCTTGTGGCACGAATGGTGAGACTGAAGTATCCAAGCAAGCCCAACAGGTAGCAGACATGTCCAACTAGCCGTGCTCGGCATGCCGAAGCTGATCCAGGTTTAGGCAACTGCCTCAGATAGATCCCCATCGGTCGACACAAGACAGTCCACCATGGCTGTGTTCATTTCCTCACGAGCACGGCCACGACGCACCACCTCTTGGCCCCATCTTTTGTTTCCCCCAACCTCGACGGCTCCCAAGGGCGCCGGACCCCATTCACATCGATCTCGAATATCTCCGCTATCCGAAGAGGGGATCGCACGTCTTCTGGGTCCTTGGTGTCCTTGTTCACCCCGTTCTCCGTTTCCTCAACTCCGTTTTCGTCCTCCAGCGATGACGGCAGAGCATATTGGCCCGTCGCGACTTCGAAGAACTGCCTCACGATTTCCCGTCCGGTATGGAACCCCGCCACGACCAACGCACAACTTCCCGGCCTCGACTCGTCGAGGTAATCCACGATCGTTTTCACCAGGTTGCCGTGTTGGGAGGGCATCCAGAGACAGTCCGCGACGATGATGCGGTCAAAGGCGCGGGGTTGCTGTGGTGACGGTTTGCCGTAGGATGATGGGGAGTAGAATGTCGTAGTCCCCCACGTGTAACCGGAGATGGTGATTTCGGGTGACGATGACGATAACGATGGCGATGAGAAGGAAGAAGATGCACAGGATGCATGGTTATCAGTTCCTCCGCGCATATCGCGCTCCAGGATGTTGATCCGGACGTTTTGCTCAATGGCGTTGGTCGTCAAAGCCGGTGAGGAAGGGTGGTCTGTGATCGTGGTCGAGGCGGCTCCGGACAGCGCGGCCACGATGCTTGGGAGTGCGGTCCCTGGGCGGACCCGTCAGCGACATTCCGTCCGGCGCGTGCGTCAAAGATGTGGAGTGGTGGGTGGTAGGGTGTGTGGGCGACATACGCGCGCGACGAGCGCCTCACGGTCTCTCTCACGGTCTCACGTACCGGCGCCCAACTCCATGACCGTTTGGCCTCGGACGTCCCAATACCGCTTGTCCCACGACGCACTTGCCGGGCGTTCCTGTCCCGGTTCCAATTTCGGGCTCGAGTACAAACCGTGAGGCCGTTCATTTCCACCGTCTTGATCTTGACTCGCCTCCTCGAGTGCGTCCGCGCAGATCACGCCCGCGTTCCACAGATAGTGCGCGAAAAGTTTCCGCCCCTCCTCGGCGTCCGGGTGTTGCGGGATGTGTAGTTGCAGGTCGCCAAATCGCGGACTGTGGTAGATGACGTGTGAGCCTGGGATGCCGTGCGAGTTCTGCACGTCGTCCGTGAAGAGGGCAGAGAGGGCGGAGGAGAAGGTGTCTTCGATCTGAGGATCCGTGGGGGAGGGCATCGTTATGCGGGAGGGGAACATCGTGCTGGTTGCTGCCAGGCTGGCCGGCTGTTCGGTCGTGGGAAGTGGCTTGGATTGTCCCCGTCGTGTGCGCGGCTTATCGAACGCGGTTTCAAGGAGAACGGCCCTTATGGGTTGGCCCGGCACTTGCTCGTGGGTACTCCGTGCGAGGGAGAAAAGTACCAGGTAAAAGTGATGCCCGCGAGGCTGAGACGCGGGGTCGATATTGTCGTTGATAAGATTAGATCCGAGCCAGACGAGGCTCCGTCAAAATTGTTTCTAGAATCGTTAATCTAAGTGGTGAGTGCACCGTACTGTCAACAGCCGAGCCGAGTGTCCTGAATTCATTGGTAGCCTTTACCATCGGAGCAGGTCCGAATCCCGCGCAGGAAAATGCCCGAGGCCTCACATCCTACTCATCTTGACCCCAGCGAACTCGGGACGAAGGAGTAGTAAGTGCGTTGGTAACCCGTGGCCTCGGAGACGTTATCTCGAGTGACTGACGCCTTGGACCACAGCTGGGACGAATACTACGAGCGAGATCTAAATGGCGGCGATGAGGCAGACGAAGATGACAGTGGCGAAGAACCACCCGACCCATCAGAATTAGACTCCTGGTTCGACGACGTCGACGCTCCAGCCAAGACACTCGCGTTCCTCACATCAACGACGTTCCCTCTGTCGCCCAACTACTCTGGACGGGAGAACGACGAACTAGACCGGCTAGACAACGCCTCCCCTGCAGTCCTCGACCTCGGTACGGGGAACGGCAGCGCGCTCTTCTCCCTCCATCTTCATGGAGGATACACTGCCGCTCGCGTGGTCGGGGTCGACTACTCGCGCAGGAGCATCGAGCTGGCAGAGAAGTTGCGTCTCCAATACTCGGCGCATTGGGCCTCGTCACCTACCCATGAGAATGAGACTGCATCCGCAACGGCAGCCGCCCCGCTACACAACATATCCTTCTACACCTTCGACGTGATAAACGAGGATCCGAAAGTCCAAGAGTGGTGGCCGCGAGGCGACTCCGACTGTGATCCCGACTCCACCACGGACCCAATCCCGAAGGGCGCGGGCTTCGACCTCGTCCTCGACAAAGGCACGTTCGACGCCATCTCGCTCTCCTCGGACCGGGCTGTAGACCCCACCAAAGGCCTGGAGCGACGGATCTGCGAGCTCTACCCTACAAAGGTCCTCGCCATGACGCGCCTGGGCGGGTTTCTGCTCGTAACTAGCTGTAATTGGACGGAAAGCGAGGTCATTTCGTGGTTCACCGGCGGCGCGGATGGCGCGAATATTGTTGCCCCGCAGCAGGAGCAGCGGGAAGACAGCTCTCCTAGATTTGAGGTCTACGATACGCTCAAGTATCCGGTCTTTGAATTCGGGGGGCAGAAGGGCCAGGGCGTGGCGACTGTGTGTTTTAAGAAGGTGGCGGGACGTTGATAACCCGTGGATGTAGTAATACGTAGTCCGGCATACTATGGAGTATGTACCGCCACGAACTGAGTGCTACATATCACGGTTAAGGCGAAAGACATGTCTAGGCTGGACCTACCGAACGAACGGGCCGAGGGGGTAGTCTGGATTGACGGAAAGGTCTGACCGCCCTTTCCTTGCCTTCCCATTGCGGAGGAGACATTTGTTTACAGCCGACGGAAGTCTTCGTCGTATGGGAGGATGGACGCACCTAAGTGCTGCCTTTTACACCCGCGTGCTCGGATGCCTGATAGCACAAGAGACGACGAATTCCACGGCCTTGGGCGTAACTTGGGAACCGAACCGGACAAGACAGAACATACCAGAGTACCATCTCACGCAGGCTACGACAACTTAGATACAGTAAGACATAGCATAAGATAACCCGGGCGGTTTTTTTCTTTGCTTCAACCCCGTCCTTGTCTGGCTCCCCTGTCTGTTCACTGTGTTTTTTTACCACACCTTGAACCTCAGACCCCTCTTCCCCGTCTTCGTCGTCGAGTTGGTGTTCGCGACAGTGGCACCCGCGAACCTTGCACTCCCACTTCCACTCTTCAACTGATACACATTCAATCGGCTCCCCGCACCACAGTTCTGTGTGGCATTACCCGCGCAAGTGACGTTGCAGCCGGCCTCGCCCTCGGGGGCCAACACGGCCGAGTTGATCGGCCCCGCGGCATTGCAGAAACACAGGTTGCCATTCTCCACGCCCATCCAGCTGTAGCCCTTTGAGAAGCAAAACGCCGCGCACACCTCGACGGTCAGCGACGTCGACGCCGGCGTGGCGGCCGAGCCGACCTTGTCTGTGGGGCCGAGGGCCCGCGCGCCATTGCCCTCCGTGTAGCAGCCCACGTAGCCGTACTGGCTGCCCGGCTGGTTCGGCACGTTGACCGGGTTCGGGTTGGACGGCTTGATGTACTGCGTGTTGTTGTACAGGCTGATGGCGTTGGAGCCGCCGCACGTCTGGGCCGAATTGCCCGCGCACTTCATGCTGCATTTTGAAGACGCGATGGGCGTGGATGCGGGATTTAGCACGCTCCCGGCCAGGCACTGCGACGCGTACTCGAGGCCGAAGTACTGCAGGTTGAGGGCCTGGGCCTTTTGCGCGCACAGGTCCACGGACATGGTCGAGCCGGAGGTGTACAGCGCCGTGAGGGCGCGGGGGTTGCCGGTCTCGCCGTAGCAGCCCAGGGACGCCACGTTGGTCGCCGCGGGGATGGCACTCGCCGTGGCGGAGGACGAGCCGCCGCCCGAGGTGCCCGTGCCTGTGCCCGTACCTGTGCCGGAGCTTCCAGCGTTGGCCTTGTACTTGTCCAAGCCCCACACAGACAGGCGGGAGCCTGCACCGCAGAGTTCGGTATTGTCGCCTTTGCAGGAGAACGAACAGTTGGATTGCGAGGTCGTCGCAGTCGTGGTGCTGTTGCCGCAATAGCATTCTGAGAGGAAAGGTAAGTAAGTTGGGAACAAAGTGTGGTCAGAATGGCTTACCTTGAGAATACTCGGTGCCGAAAAAAGCAGACTGGCTCTGCGAGCAGAACGCCGCGCACATCTCGAGCGTCATGCCCGTGGTGTTGGAGAAGGAAGGGCCCTGGAGCGCTCGGCTGCCGACACCTTCCAGGTAACAGCCGGCATAAGTAGCGGTTCCGCCGTTGTTCGGCACTGTCAACGTGGTCTGACCGGGCACGGGGACACCCTTGGGAGCGGGACCGGTGTAAGAGGTGTCATTCCACACCTGCATGAGTTCCTTGCCACCGCAAAACTTGAACGTGTCGCCGCTGCAGGTCATGTAATTCTGCTGCGAGCAATTGAGCGGGGACTGAATTGGCTGCTGCAGGGTCCCTCCGCAGTAGCATTGGCTTGAAAACTCCAAGCCAGCGTAGAAATAGCCCTTTGACTTGCAGTAAGCCGTGCAGGTCTCGATTGTCATGCCCGTTTGAGTGCTGTATGTCGCGGCTGACAAGGGTCGGGGGTTGCCGGCATCGAAAGCACAGCCCATGTACTGCCACGCGCCCAATTTATCGCCGGGCTTGGCCACGGAGCGACTCTTCCAGTCTTGGTTGGCAATGTAGTTGAGCTTGGGTTGGATAGGGCAGATGTTTTGAGTGGCACGAATTGGACCTCCTGTCGGGGGATTGCAACCGGGCAGAACTTTCAGCAAACCGTGGACGGTTTCGTTGACGATCGGAGCTTGTTCGGGACAGTTCTGGCTGAAGTACGGGTCGACAGAAGCCTGCAGCGGTGGGCAGAGACCGATCTGTCCATCGTTGGTGGCGCCATCACCCATGCACTGGTCAATGGCCGCGCCGAGGACGTCAGGGTCCCAGCCGTTGAGGAAATCGCCGTGAAAGCCATAGCCTGTTGTGTCGCCTTGGGAGAAGACAAACATGCCACCGCCGGACTGATCGACGCTCTTGACAGAGTAGATGACTTCGAAGAACAGATGGGGCAGGAGGATAGGATGGGTTGGGGGACAGATGCCATTGTCAATCCCAGAGAGGTATGCAACGTGGGATTGATCGCTCTTGTACAAGTTCACGCCATCCCAGCAGCTCTGGAAGTGGATCTGGGCTCGAAGGCCGGAGTCGCATTTGGTCGACTTGAAGCCTGGGGTTTCTGGTTGCGGGCCACTGCTGTCCAGGCAGGCAAAGCTGGCACGATTGCCCACAGGCCGGCCACCATTCAACTTGTCGCCGTACGTCAAGGTTTTATCAAACGATCGGGCAGCCGCATCACCCGAAAGCATGCGGAAGCCCTTCGGGAAAGCTTGCATATTGGCTACATCGACACCACGGTCCAGATAGTATACCACAGTGCCGTCGTGGGGGACTTCCTGGTACGAACCATTGCGGTATCTGTAGTACAAGTTCGGGGTCCAGTAGGCGCTCTTGTCCTTCTGAATGCTGCAGGAAGTGCAGTAGGCGGCCTGAAGACTGTCGAAGTCCGACGTGGTGTTGATGTTGTTCGGTCCGGCAATGGTGTGACAATGACCGGAGATACCGCCAGGGTTAACTATAGGGTCGATCCGGCCTACCTGGACAGTACTGCAGACCATACGCCAGAAGGCATCGACATGGCCGAATGCCAAGCTGAGCACTATGGTCAGAAAGGCACTGTGGAAGCTCCTCATCTTGATCACGTATGATAGACCTCACGCAACGAAATGGGCCAGCCTGGGGACCAGGACGTGGAAGAAGGCGGACAGTGGCCACCTTTTGCTCTTTCAGATTATGTGCAAAGAACTCGTCTCGCTGCTTTGGGATGTAAACTGGCCGCAAAAGGCCGAGGAAGGCATTGTTCGATGATGTCGCCGAAGACATGATGCTACAAACCTATCACATGGCAGCGAGCGTGGACGACAGCTGACCGGGAAAGACACAGAACAAAGACGCCAGACGAACATTCGCAAGCAGCAGGATGCACGTGGTAGGAGGATATGTTGCCAGACAATGCAACCAGATAATACCTTTGTTTGCGGCAACGAGGTCTGGATCGTGTGACCGGGGCGGCGAAACAATTGGTGCCCAGCTGCCGGAAGTGGTCCGCCTCAGCTCATGGTGCAAAGCAATATCCCTGCCAGGACGAAAACAGAAGATGGGTTGGATGAGCAGCAACGCATTAACATGTAGAGGAACAAGCCCAGATCGGTCGAAGAATGTGCGTCGAGCGCAGCCTTGCAGCCTGCAGCCTTGTGAGGGGACATGGTCCAGGCGCTGCGAACCTTTCCGTTTGCGGCTTTAGCGCGTCGGTTTCGCGACTTCGCAGTTTTCACGCGTCGAAGTGGGCCACAGTCGAAGCACCAAGCCCATAGTCCGGCAGCTCATCCCTCAAATTGCGTTTCCTTATCGATTTGCAGCACGCTCACCAGTCTTGGGTTGGCTCAACTGCGCTGTGGGCTTCGACCAGGTTCGCGATAACAAATCTCCGGCGCCAATCGATACGGTGTAGCTCGTACTTATCCAGTAGCGGTGATCGCTGCATGAGCGTTGGACCTTGCAGTGCTAGAGTTCAACGTGCAGGACCCCGCCGTGTAAATAGGAACCCGAACTCCAGGCCTGCGATCACAGGCAAAATACTCGATCCAAGGACGGGAACCAAGTACACCTTCACAGAACACAGCTTGAAGTAGGAACCACGCGTAAAGGAGCTCTCACCCAGCGACTGATGGGGCTTAGTGAGGGATTTAGATGACGACGGAGGCTTGACGCGTTCCCTAGACCGGAACTCGCCAACGCCGACAGCTTGTCTCACCCTCCCTCGAAGCTCGAGCTCCCCAGGCGTGGCCCTGGACTAGTCAAACTGTGCTTCGGGCCTTTCCCTTTGGCTTTGACAGCGGCCGCCCACCTTCCTCCCGGCGCATTCCTGTAGATCCTCCCGCATTCCTCTCACCTGCAGCTTTCGGTGTCCATCTCACACCGCCAACAAACGCCCCCCCTGCGTCGAGTCACATTATCATCAAATGATAGATCCCCAGCTCCAGTACTCCGTGCACACCTCAGGGAACTTGCGCCTTTCTTTTCCCCTTTGCCGCGCCTGTTCGCGCGTCGTTGACAGCTCCGGCGCATCGACATAGACTCACGAATCAATACGCGCAATCCGAAGCGCACCGACCATGTTGCTGCCATCCGCATTCTCGTGCGACGGTGGTGGCCTGCATCCTCAATCGAGGCCATCTCGACCCAAGCTTCCATCTTTCGGCGCATATCAATCAGCATTGTCCATCAACACGCAGCCACATCCGCTCTCGTCGAGTTGTCGCGCGCTTCAAGCAATCCTGGGCGCGCCCGGCGCAAACCAGTCTACGGCACCAAAACCGCCTCGAATGCTATCCAATCCTTTTGCGCCATCAGAAGAGCGCGTGTTATCAGCAAAGGTGGAACCGCGACCACAAAGGGGCGCAAACAAGAGAAGGCGAAGCGAATTTGAGGATGTGGGCTCAGACGTCGTCATGGAAGACTGCCAGCGCACACCAGAACCCGTCCGGACGCCAAAAAGGCGGCGGAGGATACCTTTGTCAATGCCGCTTGGCTTGTCAGCCGATGATTTTCGCGCACTAGAAAGCCCTGTCGAGGAGGTGGAACTCGACATGCCAACCACCAGTTCCCCCACGCGTCACTCGGACGAGGATTCGGCGTACGGGTCGTCTCCTTCACCAGATGACGGGATGTGGACCGATGCCGATGACCGTGTGTTGGTTGAGACGGTTCTCGAGAAGCTCAAGCTATCGAAGCGCGATTGGAACGACTGTGCGAAAATACTGGGTAAGGACAGTGACAGTCTTGAAAGACGTTGGTCTTTGCTGGTGGGTGAGGGCAATGTTGGATTGAGAAGAGGTGGAAGAATCTCGAGGACAAATTTGGACATGTCGAGTTGGTGATGGCACTGCGTGCCACCAACTGGCCCGCGACCTTTCCCGGCATCATTCTTGACTGTATAAATAGCTTCTTCGGCTAGTTCCAGCGAACTGGCACTTCACGGCACATCACGGTTGCTCCATGACTGAACCTCAAGGTCGCTTGATCGTTTTAGACGTCCAAGTTTCAAAAGCCTACAAGCATTCCACCGCCTAGGCCAAGTGACGCTCCGAATCTGCTTAGATGCGTGTCCGTGCTTTGAGCTTCATGTGCTGACCGATTCCATGGTCGTATCAATGATCGAGTGAGGTGCACACGGTAGCCATTCGAGCCATTTCCCCGGGTGCCCGAAGTGACAGAGCCTGGAACCATGGCCGTACAGGATGCCGGCCCTGATACCGGTTCGTACTCGGGCTGACCATCACCAAATCCGGACATGCCGATTTGGAACGCTGCACTCGAGCACAATGCAGACCAACATTTCTGGCTGGTCATCTGCCCGCTCGTAGCGCGGCTCCTTCAGAATCGTATCTCGTAGCTTCCGGCCTTGGTCATGTAGCGGACCCATTTGACACTGCTGTAGTTGTTCTTCTCGAACACCTTCAAGTAACGCACCAGCAGCCCAGAGCTGGTAAACATGAGCAGAGAAAAGTTCATGCTCAAGGGAGGTCGTGACCAGGCTTTTTGATTCGTCATGCTGGTGAGATGAGCTTCGGCGCTGAGGACGAACTCGCTGCCCCCAACGAATCGTGCAATTTTCCACACAATGCAGTTGCTTTCCGGTTCGTACTTGGCCTTGCCTTGCGTGGTCCTTTCTGTGATGTTCGCCGTGTTCAAGGGTGTCGGGATCCTCACCACGACATTGGTCGCGAACAGTTTGCTTCCATAGTTGGCTTTGACGGCAATACTGTATTCGACCTTTGTAGTCCCCACTTCGCGAACAATAGCATGGACCTTGAACGGGAGGTTGACGTTCTCAACGGCTCGATAGCGCATCATTTCGAACTCTCCATCTGGCGGAACGAAGGAGATCGTCCTGTCCGTCTCGAACTTGCCGAGCTGGACGCATTGGTGAAACTGGCAATCCTCCAAGGTCACAGAGCCAGCCGCAGCTCGGGTGGCCTTTCGTCTCGTATTGGGATTTCCCACGGGCCCGTCCATGCCTGGTGCAATGTGGCCCACCACGAGTTGATCATTGAGACCAAATTTACATTCTGGTGTGCCGCTGAGGTATGCCCTCATGACAATCTGACCCGTCACGTCCGCGCGCAGGACCGTCCCGGTGGCACTCATGAGCAGATTGACGTCCTCGATTACGTCCACAAACGCCTCATTCTTTCGGTACTTGATGTCCCCTCTACGCCACGACTGTGCGCCCGTCGCCTGCATTGTGATTTTGGAGGTGTCGGCGGCAGGTGCGGAGACGGATCGAATAGCGGATGAGATGTTGTCAGGAGTAATGTACAGCTTGAGGACGTCGATGTCGGTGTTTTGAGGGTAGCCAAAGTCGAGAATTTCTGTAAGTGCGTTAGAGAGTTGACCAGGGCATCCTTGTCCTCGTTACCGTCTAGTAGCTCGTAGATGAGCACAAAGTTGTTCTTGACTGCTTCTTCATCAAACTTGCCGAAGTACTGCTTTCCCAGCGCAATGAATCGGTAGACGAATTCGAAGATCACGGCGGCGTTGGCGTTGCTTTTCGTGACAGCCACGATATAGATGTTCTCGTGCTTCACATGGCTGAATGTGGTTGAACCCAGGGTCAGAATGGGTGACCTGACCTGCGCATTGGAAATCACTTGGATGCGGAAGATGTCTGCCAATCGCGGCCGACAGTCAGGACGAAAAGCGCGGAAGATGAGGTTCTCGCCCTTCTGATTGAAGAGCAGTATCCCGCTCAACATCTTGCAGGCTGTCTAGGGGCTCAACGGCCGACACAAAGGAATGCTTGTCTGTGGTCGACATGGCGAAGTGAGATGGAGGTGCGGAGGGTTGTCACGTCCATACGACATCGGACCCCGGAGTCTATTTTTCCGACGCCTGTCTTTTGCGACAATGTAGCAGCAAGGCCGTGAGCACTTGATCAAGATCAATAATGGTGGACACTCTATGATCATTCATGTCTTGTGAGGAAAACGTCGTTCCTATCATGCGCCTTGTCTATCAAGATATTCTTACATATATCATCCCGCTGTCCATTCCTTTCATCGTATCCAAGTCTAGTGTCCGTTGATGCTCGCGAGGGTATAAGATAGATGCCCACAAACGCCTGCAAATGCTCACAAGTCATGCTATGCATCCAGAAAAATTAGTACACGTATGGTGGCGGAGCGAAAAGAAATTGCTCCTCAACAAGTCCCAGAAGAAGGTCGAAGGTGCGCAGGCTGACCATCGAATTCGCCTGCGAAGCACCAAGTGCGACTGGCAGACTGAAGTTGGTGGTGAAAGAACTCCTCAACAAGTTGTCCCCGCTGGTCTCAAACTTCATGTTGAGGTCGAGTGTGTGATTGATGTTCAGGATGTCGGTGGAGATGGTCGGTGTTAAGATGGATTCGGGCAGGAGGAGGTCCAGCTCGACTGTGGTTGTGTATTTCGAGCTTTCGGTGCTGGACTTGTACAACGGCGGCAGGGTAACAGCGTAGTTTTGAGTCGAGACCCGATCACTGTGGATAGTAGATTCCACGGCAGAAGAGCCGGTGGTGAACGTCCTCCTCGTGAACCACTTCGCCTTCACAGAAAGTTTCAGCTGTTCATTTTCTAAGAGGGATTGCGACTGCCGCCGAACGTTTGACGGCAGCGAGACGTTGACCAAGATGGGCACCGTGAGCCGCCGGCAGCCAGTGGATACAGTTGAGGCGTCAGGGACGATGCATCCAAGCATCTTCGGTACCTCGATCGACAATCCTGGCTGCGACTGAGTCCCGCGAAACCTGTTCAGGGACCGCAGTTGCGGTTTTGCAAGTTTCTCTACCCTGTCGGATGGACCCGAGGATGTCACCTCGGCACGCAGAGGAGCCAGGCTCGATGAGATGTCGACGGGACAGCTGATCCTGCGTACCAGCTTACTGGTCTCCGATCGCAGGAAGTCCGCCTCGAGGGTGTAAAGCACCTCACAGGAGCCTTGCAACAGCTCTCTGTTCGTCAGCGCTGTGACTTTAGTGAGGTATGTGGTGCCGGACAGCGTCATTGAAGGCACGAATGCTTCCGGGGCGCCATGTCTGGGAGTCGGAACAGCACATGTAAAGTCCAAATATTGTTCTTCGGTCAGCTGTCGAGTTGTGGAATAGACGGGCTTGAAATCGAGGTTCGTCTTGGTAACGCTGGTGGCAGGAATCTTCTCAAGCGCAACCTGCGACCCTATCTGGGTGCGTACAGCGCCCTGTAGCCGTATGCGGACTGTGTCGAAAGTGCCATCTTGGTTGTAGACAGTAACTCGTCCATGCAATCTCAATGTCGACCGAGAATTCACTTTCTTGTCAGTACTCGACCCGGATGCCTCTGCCACAGACACACCCAGGACTTTGATTGTCGGGGTAGACATGGCGTTCGGTGGGAGTTGGTACTGAGCGTGTTGGAGCACCTTCTTTACTTGTGCAATGATCTTCTCCTAAAATATCTGTTGACACGTCAAGAAAAAGCGCGGCTGTGTTTTTGTATGAGGCGCGTGGTCCGAGGGGGCTCTGCAGATCTGTTTCAAGGAGAAGGGTTTGACGCCTTGATGCCCAAGACTCACTCTCACCGTATCGACCGCCTCACTTTATATTTGACTTGCCCGCCCTGACGCCCAACATTAAGTGCGCGCATCCTTGCCTAATTGCAATCCACCTGCTATGCGACGGTGAGAAAATTAGAATCAGTCTGGCACCATGTCAAATTGTGCCTGCTGCGCATAAAATGGCGGGATCCTCGGGAATTGACGGCGCCAGGAGTTGGATTTTCACCAATCTTCTTTAGAGCAGCGCTTGCTGCTTGAACGCGGCCTTGGCGCTCGCTTCCGAACTCCCTAAGAGGCAATTCCGCTCACTGATCCGAGCTCGGTGGTGAATGCCGCTTGTGGTAACGGACAGCGACTGCGGAATTGGTTTCCTTAGCGGCCAGTCGTTCTCCATGCCATCAACGGGCAGAGAGCCATCAACAACGACATCGCCGCCTTGCGAACGACATAGTGTGTCCGTTGTGCTCAACATCGAGTTCTCCTCTGGATACGCAATGGCTAGCAAGCTTAGCAATCACAATGCAGTCCGCAGACTCGATTCCCTTATTCAGCAGTCGTCCCTGCCAATAATAAGTGACCGACAAGGGGACAACAGTAGTAGGTGTATCGACGCATTCCGAGCAACGACAGCAGTTGTCTGAAGACCGGCAATCCCGCAGCACGTCATTATGCCTGCTCAGTCGAAGCTGGACTGCCCTGGAGGGCTTTTGAAAGGCACATATCTATTGATCGGGACCACAGACAGTTCGAAAGAAAAGGCAAGCAGACCACCGAGAACAACAGAACCCAACAATAGAATCCCCTACACAGCAAAAGATATATAGCAATGGCAGCGACTGCAGGCCCCATCTACACCACCTCCAACGGTCGTCCAGTCACCTTTGCCACTGCCTCCCAGACAGTCGGCCCCCATGGACCCATCCTACTGCAAGACTTCCACCTCATTGACCTCCTCGCACACTTCGATAGAGAACGTATTCCCGAGCGTGTAGTCCACGCGAAAGGTGCAGGTGCATTCGGGGAATTTGTGGTCACTCATGACATTACCGATCTGGTACGTCCCATTGCTCCTTGACCAGGGATTCATGCACTAACGTAATTCTCAGACGTCTGCCGATCTATTCAGTCACGTAGGCAAGAAGACGAACGTCGCTGTCCGCATTTCCACGGTTGGTGGTGAGAAAGGCTCCTCGGACTCGGCGCGTGATCCTCGAGGCTTCGCAATCAAATTCTACACAGAAGAGGGCAACTGGGACTTAGTCGGCAACCACACTCCCATCTTCTTCATCCGCGACGGCGTCAAATTCCCCACCTTTATCCATACCCAGAAGCGGAACCCTCGCAACAATCTGAAAGATGCGACCATGTTTTGGGACTTCTTGTCCAGCAACCAAGAGTCCGCTCACCAGGTGGTTCAGCTGTTCAGCGATCGGGGTACACCTCGGACGTTCCGGAATTGCGATACCTTCTCGGTGAGTACTTTCTGGTTCCCGGCGCTACAGAAGCTGACAGCCGTTCACAGGGCCACACCTTCAAATTCACCACGAACGACGGCACGTTCAAGTACGTCAAGTTCCACGTCAAATCGGGCCAAGGCCATGCCGACATGACGAACGAAGAGGCAGTGGCACTCAGCGCTAGCAATCCCGACTATTCCACAGAGGACCTATTCGACGCCATCGAACGGGGCGAGTTCCCGACATGGACACTATATGTCCAAGTGCTGGATCCCAAGGACGCCGAAAAGTTCAGGTGGAACATCCTTGACGTTACAAAGGTCTGGCCTCATTCGGAAGTCCCTCTCCGCCCTGTCGGCAAGATGACCTTGAACCGCAACCCAGAGAACTTCTTCGCCGAAGTTGAACAGCTGGCATTCTCCCCGGCGCATCTGGTCCCCGGGATTGAACCCTCGGCCGACCCAATGCTCCAAGCGCGCCTGTTCTCCTACTCGGACAGTCACCGCCACCGGCTGGGCGTGAACTACCAACAAATCCCGGTGAATCGCCCTCTGCATGCCTACGCTCCGTTCCAGCGTGATGGCCCCATGGCGGTCGCGTACAAGAACTACGGCGCCAACCCGAACTACCCCTCCCCTCTGAAGCCCAACACCTATTTACCCGTGGATCGGCCCATTGACGCCGCCCATGAAACCTGGATCTGCCAAGCTGTCCACAACCTGCAGCCCGTCACGGACGAGGACTTTGTGCAACCAAACATGCTGTGGGAAGTACTGGGCAGGACGGAGGGCCAGCAGGAGCACTTGGTGCACAACATCAGTGTGCACCTCTTCGCAGCCGTCAAGGAGGTGCGGGAGCGCACGTACGGCATGTTCGACCGCGTGAACAAGAATCTTGGTGCGAGGGTGCGCAGCGAGACGGAGAGAGTGAGGGCGGAGAAGGGGTTGAGTCCAGAAGAGTAAAGACCGTCCGGCAGTGGCGGCAACCTAAATAACAGAAGCAACGGAGGCAATGGACGGGCCAATCAGACTGATAAACGAGGTAATTGATTACATCCATCCAATACATACATAGTCTCGTGTAAGAATAGCAAGGTTTGGTATCATCCATCAACCGATATCCTATCGTTCCTGATGGCTCGACAATCAACACCCACTTGTTCACCTACATGTGCTGTACGCTGCGGCGCTGCCTCCAGGTGCGTGAGCGCGAGAAAGTCACCGCTATTGACAGCCTCATTTCCAGCTTCACTTTCTTAGCCTCGCCAGCCTTGTCGTCCTACTTCTCTTGACAAATCACAACCCACAACTCACAACGCACATCCTCTACACAGGCTCGACAGGGCAATCGGCCGATCAGAGTCAAGGCCAGTGCAGCCCGGGCGTGGTGCCGCGTGCTCTGCTCTGCTCTGTCTCGCTCGTATCATCCGAAAGCAGCGAACCGTGACCTTGCCGTAATTAGGTATTTATTTCGCCGAGCCTGTCTTGCGTTATAGCCGTGGCACTTGTCTAGGTAGGTACTGTAGGGTACATTAATACCGTGTGAACGCGACCCGTGCACTTCCATGTCTACTTAGGTACATAATGTGCGCGCGTGTCCGGTACAGCGTACAGTTAGCCTACTGCGCCCCTCCCAGGGTAGAGTCGGCACTAATGTAATCAAGGACTCAAGACGCACGGCGCAAGACGCGAGCGGTCAAGGATGTGATTGTCTATCAGGTGGGGGTCCTAATCAGCTAGGAAGGCGGGTGAAATATTGGTTTCCCCCAGCATGCACGTATGCACGCTCACTCACGGCCCGGCAAGTCGCCGCCGTGTGTACAGTAGTTGGGACATGTAAAGAACTTGCGGCACCCTAATCTGGTTGCTGAAGTGGCCAACCATCGACGCTTGGCCTAGACAAAATGTGGTGATTATGAGTCCGGTGCAGGTCGAGCGGCATGTAATTAGGTATCTTCACCGGTATTATGAACATTTTGCGTCGTCATACCCAGGTAGGGAGGTAGGTACTCTTCTTCTGTGCTCCGTACCTATGTTTCCCTGATTCGTGTGAGTGAGTCAGGATGCGGATATGTGGATAGCACTTTCATGGCCCGTGATCCAGGTCCTGGCTCCGAGCCGCCATATGGATGTACTTAGGTAGATGGTTGGTCATCAAGGCATCATTATCATATATTCCTGGTTTAGTTATTTGAAATTGGCAGTACTGTTCCACATTTTCCCAGAGCGTGCCGCTTTGTAGAGCTTGTGCTTTCCGTAAAGGAGCATGCATCATGCATTATACTGTACGCCGTACCCCTTGCTGCTTTCGCGTTCGCAGTGTTCTTCCCGTTGTGGTGGTGGTGAGATCTCCCGCACGTTCTTCCCGTTATAGTCATCATGAGATCTCTCGCACGTTCTTCCCGTTGTGGTCATGTCATGATATCTCTCGCACCTTGGGCTCGTCCTGCCAGCCCCATTGCTCCTTCAGCTCCCTGATCCGAGGAGCCGTCGGACTGCCGGCCTCCTTGGCGATGTTTGCCAGCAATTCCAGCACGACGGCCCGATCTTCCTTCTCCTCAAAGCAGGATCCAGCCAGGTAGAGCGAGTGCACCATCTGTCTGCTGACAGCCGGGGGTGGCTTGCCCAGGGCGATGCCGCAGATCTGACGGCTGTGATGCTCTGATTCTTCGGCTACTTGTCGGAACATCCGAAGTCGGTTTGCGGGATGTCTCGCGTCGTGTTCGTCCACGGGTTGGTTCAGAAGGAGGAGGATTTGGGCAAAGTGGTAGAGTTGAAGAGCAGCCGCACACATCGGGACGCTGAAAAACAATCTCGCAAACCGCGGTCTCCCATCTGGCAGAAGATCCGAGGGGTGTTGTGCCCCTGCCGCCGCGATCGCGTACGGTTGAAAGGTGAAGGGCAAGTTGTCGTACCAATCTTCCAGCTGTCGGCGTAGCTGGCGCCACCGAGCCACCCGGGGCTGGATGCCGCTTGGCGTCCCCGGCTCTGAACTAGGCCTGCCGAGCGCTGCAGCGGCGGGACTGTCGAAAGGTCGTGGCGTGCCCGTCGTACCGCCTGGCATATCGTCTTGTGGCGCGATGAAGTTCATCGTCCGGAGAACGATCCATATCAGAGTGCACGACACCAAATCCTCTCGGTCGCCCGGTTGGTATGACACAATCGCATTGATTGGAGTCGAGGGATCATTGTAATTTAGGGTGCCATCATCCATGACGGGCAGACCTGCAGCTTTCCACATGGTCAAATTATCGGGATCAAGTCGAGTCTTCGAGTGGTTGACGTAAGCTGCCAGGTAGTCGGCACGAGCGAAATTCCAGAACGCGGCTCGGCCGGCCTTCATAGATATAAAAGGGTCGGCGCGGGGACGAGGCACAGACTGCACTGCCTGTGGCAGGATCTTACTCTCCAGGAGCGCCTTGAACCCATCAAGATGTCTGGGAGCCAGGTGAGCATATTGACACATCCACGAGAAGAATGTCCCGAATGCCAGAAGGACTTACTGTGACCAGTCGTCTGCAAAATTATCCAACGACTCATACAGAGAAAAAACGGATATTGCAGCAACTAAAGCCTCCATGTCCGCACCATCCGAGGGTTGTCCCCGGCTTATGCGCCGTCGCTTGTTGGGAGTAGCGCTGAGGGCGCCGCTATTGCTACCTTCAGATAGATGTCTGCCCGAGTTATACCTCGACGCGTGCCCCGTCAGCCCTTCGTTACTTGTATCGCTGAGCCAGCGTTGGAGAAAGATTCTCAAGTATGATATGCCGCGATCGTAGTAGTTCGCAGCCTTGTAGAACCAGTCAGTATGTTGCAGTGTACCACCTTCTCCGACAAAGGGTAGGAGGTGCTGCAGGTCTTCCAACGGCGAGTGATTGGCCATCATCTGACCGATCTGATTTGCTGCTACCGCAGCCATCGCGGATCGCAGCATGACATTCTGAACAGCCTTCAGCGGCACTATCCGACTGAAGTATGTATCGAGATCGAAAAGGTCCATGCTGGTGGCAGTCAGACACACGGTGGCACAGAATCAGCGCTCGTCAACTCACGATGGTGAGACCGATTGCACAAAATGCCGTGTCAAGCAGGCCAGCTCCGTCGTCTTTTCGTGCAAGTATTTTTGGCTGTACTCCGAGCGGCTGGCCCGGTTCCCCTCAATGCTAGAGTTTGATACTTGTCAGCACATATTCGCTGAGGCGCGCTTCGACCGCAGCATCCTGAATAAGTGGACTCTAATTTGCAGCAGCTTACCCGTCGTAAACGGAAGACCTTCCACTGACGGAACCAAAGTCACTCGTCAGAAAGTCGTCGTCTGTTTCAGGCGGATTGGCGTCCGTGAGGATCACCGGCAGACCCGGGATGAAACCACAGGCATTATTTCCTTTGGAATAATAGGTTTCGATGTCGAGATCGAAATAGTCTTCGTCGACGCTCACGGAAGAGTCCAAGTCGGACGGAGCATACTCTGGCTTCCCATGTAGCAACTTGGCCGTGGTCTGTTCCTGATGTACGTTGTGGGCATATTCTTGTGGCGGTTGAGGAGGTGGTGGTGCATATTGAAAGTTGGTCGGAGCTGTCAATCGTGGTGACAGACTGGCCTGAGGTTGAGGAGGCGTGCCTGGAAATGGTTTAGAGCTGGGGCTCTGCTCATTGAGCACCCCAAAGGCAGGGAACTGTATGTTAGAGGCTGAAGTCCCGCTATCCTCCGGGCCTGCTTGTATGCTTGGCAGATGATGTGCAGAAGAGGTCGGTGGTGATATTATTTGGGGGATGGCCGGAAGGCTTGGGTTGAATTTGAAATCTCCTTGTATCGGAGGGAGATTGATTCTCTGTCCATGCACGGCACCTATACCGGCAGCCGCACCGACACTGGGCGGAGAGGCTACTACCGCCCTAGCAAAGTCCGGGGATTGGAAGTTCCCATCGTACTTTCTTCGGACCTTGACTCCTTCATCGAGGAACTTTCGCTCCAGGTCATAGCCGGTACAGGGCCTTCCAAGCTTCTCACACCGCAGACATGCGGGTAGCCTCTTGTCACACTGGTCAAGTGTGAGCGAGCCAAGCACCCAAGAAGAGCTAGCGGGCAAGAATATCGGATTCAAAAAGGCGGAGAACCTAGGGACAGCCTACCTTGACGCGACGCTGTCTGCAGGCATTGCAGGCACGATCTGCGTATTCCACACCTGGGAGTCTGTTCTCCATGCGCCGAGCTGGCTTCGTCGAAGCTCGCTGTCAGACTGAGATTCGCCTGGATGAGGTTGGAATTAGGTGGCGCGGAAGAGCAGGGATGCGTCCGGTGAGTGGTAGCAGGACGAATCCTACGCAATCGGACACATGTCGCTGGACCCTCCGGTCTCGATGGGATACGTAAGTGGGCTGAAATAAGACTCCGCGACAGGATTAGATGTGATTGTGGAAAAGACAGCGAGAGCGAGGGCGACGGGAGCAGATGGCGAGATGGATCGAGGTGGCAGAAAATGCAGGCCGAGAGAGGCAACGCTCTCCGCTGACAATCCGAGCCTTCGGGGCTGCAGGCGCGTTATGGCAGCATTGATCAGTGGTCGCCAGTGGTAGCGGGGACGCCTAATTGGCTCGATTCGGGGGACCCCGCCGCACCTCGCTGCCGATCTCCACTGCTGAAGAAGGATATGCACGTCCGAGCGAGCGGGCTCCAGCGCTTGGGGTGCGCTTGGGCGTCCGTACCACAGTATAGTACCACAGTAATACGCGCCCACCGCGAGGCACGTGACCACCTTGCTAGGCTGGCTGCCTGCAGCAAACGACAAAAGATGACACACCAGCTGCGCAGGTTTTCGCCATATGATCAAAAGCGCCAGCGAAGCACTCTCGCTCTGCCTCCCGACGCTCCGAAGTCGCCGGCTCAAGATCAGTGGAGAGACTCAAAAGTGGTCTGACTCGCCCTCGCCTCCCTGTTCCGGCCTCTTTCTCCTTTCTCTCCTCTCCTCCTGCTTGTCGCCCATGTATCCCCGATCAGGCTAAGTAAGACGCGAGCACGTCGTCGCGCGATCTTCCAATGTCAACTCTCACCGTACAGCGGGTAAGTGAGCCCAAGTGGCCCCCCGTTGCGACGGGTTTCCAATGGCAACGGCTCCGTCATTGACGATAACAAAGCTGTTCATCTACCCCGTCAAATCACTCCCGCCAGTCCAGGTATCGTCCGTCGAGCTCACCAACGAGGGTCTCCGCTTCGACAGAAGCTTCGTCTTGGTCAATCCACCAAAAGACGATTCGCGACGTGCCAAATTCCTCACCATCAAGAAATTATACAAGCTCGCTCTCTTCAGACCCACCATAGTAAGTCTTTGGGACAGGGTGAGAAGGTCAGGCACGACGGCAGGGCTGACAGACGGTCTGTACTCTGATATAGGATGACAGCTGGACCAAGCTCACGATCCACCATACGAGGGCGACTCCCTCGTCGTCCATCACGGTGCCACTGACGCCCTCGCCGCTGTCTCTGTTGACAAACAAGACCTTCGAGGTGAGTATATTTGGCACGACCGCCATCGGCATTGACCTTGGGGAGGAAGCCGCGGCCTTCTTCTCGAAACACTTGGAGCAGGATGTCCGTCTGCTCTCGATAGGAGGCACGGGTCGTCGCGAGATCCCGGGCGCTGCCTATATCCCCAGCCAACGGAGCGCGCTGTCTCTGGCGTTACAAGAAGGCCTCCAGCCTCAACGCATTCGATTCGCCGACGCTGCACCGTTGCTCATCACGTCGACGGCATCCGAACAAGATGCACGCTCGCGCCTCCCTCCAGCGCATCAGGATGAGGACGTCATCATCCGCTTTCGCCCGAATATTCACATCGACGTGAAGACTCAGCTGCCGCCATACGACGAGGACAACTGGTCTTCGTTGCTTGTTCGCTCACATTCGGACGAAGCACAAGAGGTCACGATCAAATGCATCTTCAGAACGGTGCGCTGCCTCAGCTTGAACGTGGATCCTGACACTGGCGACATGATCAAACGCGACCGACAGCTCTATGGACTCTTGGCCAGTGACAGAAGGGTCAATGACAAGTTCCCTCGTAAGTCATACTCATCTATTTCGTGATGCTGGATCTAGTACGTCCATTGCCCTGACAGGAAGCACAGACAAACCTGTCTTCGGGCAATATGCCTTTGCCGGCCCGTCCGGCGCCATCCTTCGAACAGGAGACACAGTATATGTTACAGAAAGGATCCAGAGGACCTGAGTTCAAGAGTCCAGATCCCGTTGAGCTCGGCTCGGTCCTAGAGGGACATCCATCCATGCTTGCATGCCGTGCTCGCGACCCGCTGACTGCCACCATGATGGTGGGCTGGTCAATAGCGGGTGTTGGCCCCGCGGCCAAAAGCGGCTCCTAGATGTCCTTCAAGGGCGCAGGCTTACGCTGGAAAGTGGCACAGCGCTTGCGTAACTCTCACCCAAATGGTGTCTCTGGTCTCGAGGAGCCTTGGCCATTTCTCCACCTTTGCTCTTTGTCCTTGTCGAATCTCCAGCACCCATTCGTTCCGCGCATCCGTTCGGCGTCATGGTCGTCGAGCTGATCAAAGAGTCTTTTAACTGCATCGTCCTCGTCGACGTCGGCGTCGCATCGGGTAAAGAACATCGTCTCCCATCGCCGGCCCTCCATCTGCTCCTGCTTTCTTAGCTGACGCTGAGCATTCTCGAGCTTCGATTTCTCCCCGTTAATTTTGGCGTGATCACCTCTTCTTATGGCGTCGAAGGTGGCACCCCACGCACGCCTTGCCTCCCAAGGAGACTGTTCTTCCAGCGGCTTGACGGTCATTGGCGCCGGTTGGTTTTGGGCATCTGCCAAGTCGAAGAGCTCGATCTCCTCGCCTGACGCGTTGGAGATCGAGAATTTGGAGCTCCAGCTGCCAGAGGCCGTGAAGATGGCATTCTTCTGCGAGTCCGCCGTGCGATATATCGAAGCATGAAAGCAATTTCGGGAACCGCCCCACATTCTCTTGCCGGTAAATGTCATCTCGGCGGTGAAACCGCTGGAGCTCACGATCTTATATGTGTCATTGAGTTCGGGCCACGGCGCCCCGGTCAGGACACTCCGAGCCTGTACATCCGGCAGTGGCAGGAGGTACGTCTCATTGTACTTGTCAACTTTCAAGACGGCGTGACCGGACTGGCGGATCATTACCGACGTCCCCGATAATGTGGTATATTGGGTAGAATATGCCTGGGCGTGGACGCCATGCTCATCCTCCGAAATGTATGCTGCTGTTGTGGGTGGATGATGCGATACCTGCTCGCTGATGACTCTGACTGTGGATGTCGAGGCTTTCTCTGCTGTCAGGTCATGGTCGCTGAATTCACAGAAGAACAATTCGCCGAGGAAAGAATTCATAGGCTTCTTCAATCCTTCTTTGACGGTTCGTCCGACATAATACTGTCGTTGCAGCGACGCGAGGTACAACTTGAGGACTAGGAGCATGCGCCTTTCTGCCGATGACTCCCGACTTGGGGCTGTGAACAGCGATGGTCGCTCTGCCCAATATGCCGGAAATTCTGTAAGGGACGATGGGGCTAAGATGAAAGGTGGAGCTGTGATGTGCGATATGTCACCACTGACGGTAGCAAGGAACTGTACTTGGTCAGCGACCTCTGCTCTGCGAAGGAGCAATGTGTCACATGGGGCCACTTACGGCAATGAAATCCTTCAAGGCGCTGAGGTTTCCTAGTCTAACCACCATACTGGTCGGATATGTCACAATCCCTCCACTTGTGCTGTCAAAGTGTATTGAATGCGGGTTGAATAGAGCTGGCGATGGAGTGGGAAGACGCAGCAGTAACACAGACGACTCTGTGGGATATCACAAATGGCTGACACAGTGACAAAGAACAATGGAGCCGTGAAGTGGTGGGAAGTTGGTGCAGTATATACTGCAATTCGCAGCAGGGCGGAGGAGGAACATGAGGCTTACTTTGAATCATCTGCACTCGCTTCGTCACTCGAGATCCCCTTCTCGGATCCTGAAGATAACCTGCGGCGGTCGGACTCAGCACCAGATTCGCTTTCACCACCACTCCCTCCCGGGAACCGTTTCACCGATCGCTTGATTTTCTGCATCGCCAGACGCCTCCTGGAAAAAGCGACTAGTCGCGATTCGAGACAGGAGGTGGGGGGTGAGCGCCTCAGCCTCGACGGCTTTTACGCGGCCGTATGGTCAACCCGGTGGCCGCTGCTCCCCGCTCAGAGCACGCGTCCTAACTGGGCGTAGTTGAGACGCAGTGCGTGTGGCCATAATGGCGTTTGGATCGCGGCGAAAGCGCTATCCACACTTGCCTGGACGTTGGAGAAAAGCACAAGAAATGAGGGTAAGTGGGTAGTGAGCAGGGCAGGATTCTCTGCCTGGTGCGCATCGTGTTTCAAAAATAGGAGTTTCCCAAGCGTTGGGCCAATGATGTCAATGATGTCAACGATGTGGATGAGATCTCTGACTGCAGTTCGCGACTAAATCTGTCGCGCGCCACGCTTGCGATCGAAGCTGCTGGCCATGTCATTCGCCACAGTTTGTGGGTGCAGTGAGTGCTGCGTGAGTGGAAAGTGAGCGGATTCTGAGTGGAAGTGAGTGCTAGGTGATAAGGTAAGCAGCCGGCCACGAATCACCAGGAGCGCCCACGAATCGCCTGCTGGGGTAGTTAGGGGCAGCCCAATCAGGTGCTGTAGGTGCCCCTACCGGCATGTGAAAGAGACCGCGGCGTAGCTTACATAGGCAACCTTACAGGAGCCCTGGCATGCACCTAGTTACGTGCGCAAAAGAGAGAGAGACAGGCTGCAGCAAGTCGTGCCTGCAGCATTTCGCGAGGTAGGACGCAAGCACTACCTCTCAAAACTCAATGCAAGACTGACCGCTGATGTCACCGCTGCTACTCATTGGCAGCTCGTCGGTGCTTGTGCTACTCGTACCGAATACGTGCGAAACCTCTCACGGCCGGCGCAATTTCGCGCGGAAGCAGGACAACTCGAGTGATCTCAGTATCTACAAAGGGAAAAGAATACGAGTTTCAATCGAGGCGGGACTCAGTGAACGATTGATGGGTCCGCCGTCCCCATGAAATGAATGTCTGGATTATTTTTAGGCAAGCGCCAGCCGTCAGTCGACGTCAACGTGAGCAGTCAGAAACGTTCTGAAATGCGTCAGCAGTTTATTGAACTCGGCGGCGCAAGACCGAGGACGAAATCCTGGGCTCTCCTTTGGCACGAAGGAGCATCGTCGAGCTATCCTACTGGCCAGTCTTACACTGGGCTCGGGTGCTTCGACCTGTTCACCAACCAGACGACGAGAGTCGATTGGAACACCGCTTCCTCAGCCAGACAGGTGCTTCAGCTGCCTGACTCTTGTGGTAACAGCATTCCTACGAGTACTTGTCAAGCACAGGATCCCGCTTATACCCCGTAGATGTATGCCACTCTCCCTCCAAGGCAAAGGGAGCTGCAGCGGGTACTTGTACAAGGTCACATAGCCAGTCTCCCACCGTCCACCGGCAGGTTGACGCCTGTTACAAAGGCCGCCTCGTCGCTCGCGAGATACACAGCCGCATTAGCGACATCATCTGGCTCCGACATGCGCCGCAGAGGGACAGATTGTGCGAATCTTTGCCTCTCCTCGGGCGTGTCAGGAACTCCACTGAACAATTCAAGCAGACCAGTTGCACTTCTCAAAGGGCAGATGGAATTGACTCGGATACCCTCCGGTCCATATTCCGCGGCAAGTCCCTGAGTTATCTGACGGAGCCATGAGTAGACGTCACCGTGATAGAGTATCCAGGGAGGACTCACCGTGTTCACAAAGCCCTTGGTGCCTCCATAAAACACTTGACCTGGACGCACTCTCATACCGGCAATTGACGAAGTGCTCAGAAAGACACCGCTCTTCCTCCCGACGAAATAAGGCATCACCACCGAGACACTCAGATATATGCTCTTGATGTTCACGGCCACGATCCTGTCAAAGTCCTCCTCGGACACCTCTATGCTCGGTTGCTTCTTGTACGTCGTTCCTGCGTTATTGACCACGATGTCGAGTTTTCCGAACTTTTGCTTCGCCAGTTCCAGACCTTGCTCCCAGTCGCTGCGCTTTGTGACATTCAGCTGCACGAAAATCGCTTCTCCAGGATAGCTCCTAGCTGCAACTGCCTTGGCAACCCTCTGCCCATTGTCCACAGCGATGTCCGCTATAAGCACTTTGGCTCCTTGCGCGGCGTAGGCATGGGCAATAGCTTCACCGAATCCACTGCCTGCTCCAGTGACGAGGGCGACCTTCCCATCGAGGCGGCCCATTGCGCTGTATCTTGAGACGGACCTGATTGACTGAGTAGCTTCCACAGGTTGATTGTTTCGCCCTCTAGGCCTTCCTCGACCGGGAGAACTTTACAAACTTTGATGTAGGTGAGCGAGCCTGGCAACCTAACCTTCTGACGTGAGGAGCTCATCACCCACCACGGTGGCATGCAAGACGAGGCTGAGCAGTGAGGGGACACCGGGACTCCGTACGATGCGGAGGTTCCCCGAGGTGGCCGGTAGGCGACCCCGGTACTCTCCAACTTCACCCCTGCGAGGGATCGCCTTATGGGTAGCATGTCTCCATCTGATGCCGATAGCGGACGTTGCATTTGCCTCATGATTCACCACTGCTGGCCTTGTCTAGACAATACTGTCGTTACAATCGCCGAGGCGAACTTTGGACGGAATCAAGCACCGCGGCGAATATCACAAGTGGTCAGGAAACCTCTCTCTGCGTCTATGGACAATTGATTTCATGGTACAGCAATGGCTCCTCCGCAGCGCTGTGACGTCCTGGTTGCCGGAAGTGGCAATGCTGGCTTCTCAGCCGCCGTTGCTGCCAAACAAGCGGGAGCAAAGCATGTCGTACTGATTGATAAGTGTCCAGAGGAATGGGCAGGAGGCAACACATATTTCACAGCTGGCGCGTACCGGACAGTCCACGGAGGCATTTCCGATCTATTGCCGCTGGTCAACAACGTTGACGATGCGACGGCTAAGAGGATCGACTTGGAGCCGTACACGAATGACGACTTCTCCAAGGACATGAAGCGAGTATGCAGTGGCAGGTCAGACCCCCGACTATCCAAGATACTCATTGAAGAATCAAATGCCACGGTCAAGTGGCTCAAAAGCAATGGGATTCAGTTCCAGTTATCGTTCAACAGGCAGGCATACGAAGTCGACGGACGGTTGAAATTCTGGGGCGGTCTGCATATCAAGACAGAGGATGGAGGGAAAGGGCTGATTGAAGACCATAAGGCCGCAGCAAAGAACCACGGCGTGGAGGTCATCTACTCGGCAGCTCTGAAGCGTCTGATACCAGATTCTCAAACCGGCGCCGTGACTTCGGTCGAAGTGCAGTCGAATGGCAGAGAAGCGGTAATTGAGACGGGTGCCGTCATTCTCGCAGCCGGAGGATTCGAGAGCAATCCTCGAATGCGGTCGCAGTACCTGGGTCCGGGCTGGGATCTGGCAAAAGTCCGCGGCACGCCTCACAACACGGGCGACGTGCTGGAGACAGCCATTCGAGACCTCTCGGCGGCACAAGCGGGAAACTGGTCCGGTTGTCACTCTGTCGCATGGGACGCAAATGCACCAAGCGACACTGGCGACAGAGAAGCATCCAACGAGTTTACAAAGTCCGGGTATCCGCTGGGCTTGATGTTCAACATCCTGGGCCAGCGGTTCGTCGACGAAGGCATCGATCTCCGCAACTACACGTACGCCAAGTTCGGCAGAGCAATTCTAGCTCAACCAGGCCATGTGGCCTACCAGGTCTGGGACTCGCAGACCAGCTCGTGGCTGCGCTCGGAAGAGTACCGGCCTGAAAGAGTGGAGAGGATCTCCGCCGACTCGATCGAGGAGCTGGCAGAGAAATTGACCGCGTATGGCCTGGAAAATAAGGATGCCTTCGTCCGCAACATCAAGGAATACAACGACGCAGTCTACGCATTTCAAAAGGAGAACCCCGATAAGAAGTGGGATCCTGCCGTGCGCGACGGCATGTCCACGCAGTCCAGCACGACTCGATTACCGCTCGGGAAAACGAACTGGGCATTACCCCTGGACAAGGGCCCATTCCTGGCAGTCGCTGTGACGTGCGGCATCACTTTCACGTTCGGTGGGCTGAAGGTCAACCCGGAGACTGCCCAGGTGATTAGCTCTGCCACTGGGAAAGAGGTACCGGGTGTATATGCTGTGGGCGAGATGCTGGGCGGACTGTTCTACGAGAACTATCCCGGCGGCAGTGGGTTGACTTCTGGGGCGGTCTTTGGACGACGAGCCGGAACCGCCGCTGCGAAGGCCGTTGCTGGTGCCACGCGGTGAAGTGCGGCCTCTACCGCAGACAGACAGATCGGATACAAATACAGATTTACTTACACTTACCCGTACAGGCATATACACGTATAGATCGTAGGCATATTTCTCCATCAAGCCAGCGCCAGAAACAGTAGCACCTGTATCACATCACGTATCACGCAGGGTTGGCATCACATAGATCAGACAGGTATCTATCATACGTCCTACATCCTACGATGTACGTATCCCACCCATCAGCATCATATCCCCACCGTAATGCTCTTAATCTCCGTATACTCGTCCAACGCGTCCTTCCCACCCTCCCTTCCCACACCACTATCCTTGATCCCCCCAAACGGCTGCTCACACGCACTGATCAACCCAACTCTCACGCCCACCATGCCGGACTCCAACTCCTCACTGACGTGCCACACGCGCGAGATGTTCTCGGTAAAGAAATACGACGCAAGCCCCGCACTCGTGCCGTTCGCCAGCGCGATCGCCTCATCGTCCGTCTCAAAGGGGACCAGGAACGCCAAGGGCCCGAACGTCTCCTCGCGCATGAACCGCATGTCTTTCGTCGCATGCGTAATGATCCGCGGAGCGTAGAAGTTGGGGCCCAGATCGTTATGCCCGACCTGGCCCGTCTGACTCTGGTCCGTCTGGTCGGCGTGGAGTTTGGCGCCGTGGGCCAGCGCGTCGTCGAGTTGGGCGTGGATCTTGTCGAACGCCCTCGCCGAGTACAAAGGGCCGAAGTTGACGTTTTTGTCCCACACGGAGCCGTAGCGGAAGGTGCTGGCCAGTTTGGTGGCTAGGACGGTGGCGAAGCGGTCCATGACGCTGCGGTGGACGAAGATGCGATTCGCGCACACGCACGTCTGGCCGGAGGAGCGGAACTTTGAGGATATTAGGCCTAGAATGGATGCAAAGATGGGCGCTTAGCGTCAGCAACACAGACATACAATGAGTGGGTGGTGTATGGCGTATGGTGGGATGGTACGGTATGGTATCACTTCCTGGCTCCGCGTCTAGTAATCACTCACCCTCGGCCGCCTTTTCGAGATTTGCATCCTCAAAGACAATAAAAGGCGCGTTGCCGCCTAGTTCCATGCTCGTCTTCTTGAACGACTTGGCGCACTCGGCATGCAGGTACCGCCCGACGGCCGTGCTTCCCGTGAAACTGAGGTGCTTGACGAGCGGGTTTTGCGTCATCTCCTCGCCTACCAGCTTCGATTTCTCCGTGCTGGAGGTCACGATGTTGAGCACGCCCGGCGGGCCGCCCGCGCGCTCGAACAGCTTCGCCACGGCGATGGCGCACAGCGGCGTCTCCGGCGCGGGCTTGCACACGACGGTGTTACCCGCCGCGATCGCGGCGCCGACCTTCCGGGTGACCATGGCGACAGGGGAGTTCCAGGGCGTGATGGCCGCGACCACGCCCTGGGGCTGCCGGATCGTGAAGATCCGGTTCTCCCCCTTCGCCGCGGGGATTGTCTCGCCGTACTGCCGCTCGATGGCGCCCTCGAACCAGTCCAGGAAGTCGGTCCCGTATTTGACGGTGACGAGGGACTCGGTGTAGGGCTTGCCGAGCTCGAGGGTGCAGATCGCCGCGAGGTCGTCCTTGGCTTCCTTGATGAGGTCGGCCCATCGTCGCATCAGCCATCGGCGGTCGCGCGCCGTGGTCTTGCGGTATTTGGTAAATGCTGATCGCGCGGCCTCGATGGCCTGCCTGGTCTCGTCTCGGCCCAAGTCCGCGACATGGCAGATCTGTTCGTTGTCGCTGGGGTCTGGATAGTGTTGAATATCATGAGCAGGGGCGGGTACCATAATGTTGAGGGCTTGCGTTCTTACCGAGCACGGCAAACTTGTCGCCATTGCTGGCGTCAACCCATTTGCCTCCTATGAAAGAGCGGGTGTCCAGTAAGGAAGGGTCTTTGAACTATCGGATCTGTTGGTTAGCATACTGGGTAGATTGCGCCAAGTCAGGCAGGCGTACCGTGTATGGGATCTTCTTCAACAGTATGTCGGCCATGTTTCTGTCAAAGTATATTGAAATGGCCTATGGATGTGTATGTGACTGTTGAACTTGTCTCGATGTCCAAGATCACGGAAGTGCTTGGGCCGTGCCATGGTGTTCTGATACTGCATGTACGGAGTATTGAGCGGGGAAATCGGATTGACACCGCGTTCCCCTTGACGGGCAATGTCCGTGGGGTTTCAGAGCGGTCGAAAGTACGTTGCTCGGCATAAAGGTAAGCAATTCGATCTCCGCATTTCCGTACTACCCATACCCCGACTTTGTGGAGAGGTAGGGATATCTAGGCCCGATCTCGGCTCACTCGTGCCTCTTTCAGAGTTTTCTATCAGACATGTCGTTGTCCTTTGCATGTAACCATAGCAGCTCGGGACATGCGAGGAACGGAACCAGCCACGCCACTCTCCTCATGGTCTCGACACGATTGCTCCTTCTTCTGTACCACTGATGCCAGTGTAAACATGGTCTTGACTGACCATACTGCTCAGTCATCGGTCAGATCAATAACGACCTTTGGCTTCTTGGGAGGCGGTGGCATCTCGACTGGCCCGTCGCCATTGTCAAGCGTTACTTCTTCTCATGATCTCTTCACGCCGTTGCTAGGATTGGTACCCTCCGGCAGACGACGGTTTTCTTGCTTGACGTGGGCGAACAACGGCGGTGGCGGAGGAAATGATTATCGAGGCTCCACCTTGACTCTCGTAGGCCACCCGACACTGGCATTGCTCTCAAGACCGGATACGCTGCTGGCACGACTCCCAGATTTAGCCCGAGCCACACTCTCCTGTTCGGTATTAGGCCCTGCTTGTCTTGTGTATCACTGGAGGTCAGTCACGTACCCTCAATTCTCTAAGCTCCTGCTGCATCGTTAGGATCATCTCGTTATTACGTTGTATCATGAGTCCAGTGTCGAGAACGGGCGAGGGGCTTCTTGGAATGCATCCAAGACACTGGAGTGTTTCTGTAGACATCAGTACGTGAGCCATGAATGTCCTCCCTTGACTCACTTCTGGTTCTGTAGAGAAAATTGAACTCATATGGCACGCCCCTTTCGCTATTGATGGGGACGTAATCATAATGCTGTATTGCATTTGCTGGTGGACCGCTCGTGCCAATGACTGTGTATCTGGACTGTGTTGAGCAGGTACCGGATGACTGGGAGGGAAGACAAATTACTTGACATTGTTTTTGATCGCTTTGCCCTTCAGAGCCCTTTCCGAAATCTCGTCAAGCGGCTTGGCGGGATACCCGTCCCATACATATGGTTCGACTAGCCACTTCCTCTTGGCTCTGTAGACTGACACACGGAGAGATCCTAGTAGGTCGATATCAGAAAGGGTGAGGTTTTCCGGAAGTGGGGCATCTCCATCTGTCACCAGTCAGAGCTGTATGCAAGACCATCAGCACAGGAAGGCTTACCGACAGCGAGGGGACCGAACTCATGACAGACACTGACCCATTGTCCGGTAACTTCGTCTCTGACCGAGCGTAAGTGAAACCAAAACTCCTGACGATGTCGAAGCTCGCCTCTGTGGGCTTCGACGCTCTCGTATGGGCAATTGTGATAGCGCACGTCGTTGTTCTGGTCAATACGGAATTCGATGTGGACATCGCTCGCCGTGAAGAATTTGAAGCCTGGGAGAAGAACTACTTCCACCGAGAACTTCTGACCTGCTTTGACCTCGACATATCGAGTCACGTGGTGGTCATCTTCGACTTCACGTTCGGGGTCGGAGTATTCTCTCAGCGGGTTGCCGTCGACGCATACCTCAACATTGATGTGTCCTAGAGCAGGCATGCTTGCAGAACTCTGTTAAGTTCCTGTGGAGGAGAACTTCAGGATAAAGAGAGGTTACGGTGGATGAAAGAGAAATCAACGGAAACAGAAAGCTGAGTGAAGAAGGAAGTGTAAGTGTGGCTGCTGAAAATCACTTTTCACTCATCAAAATTTTGGCTTGACATCCATTCTTGCCTTGCTGCGCTCGAGAACTTCTTTGCATCTCAGCTATTCCTTTGACGCACCTTATTTAAAAGACGACGCCCCGACATTGGCGATCGAGTACGGTGTTCCAGAAGGTATTCTCACAGAAAGCCACAAGTCACGTTGGCACGGCTCTCCATGACCATGGAACGTGGAGAGATCACTGACATACCGTTGCCAGGACCCCGTAGCTGAACACTGAACCCCCAGCTCTGAGCGATCCGGAAAATCTATGTATCAGGCCTCGACGTGGTAGCAACAGGAGCCCTTCTCCTGCGATTTGAGAGTTGCGGGATCGCCGGTTCGGAATGCTGCCGGGATTGCAGTGGTCGTGCTCACACATTTATCCTGCCTCTTGTCGTCTTGCTTCGCATGCGACCTAGAAGCTCAAGATGATAGGAAGCGCGCGTACTGGCTTTTTGTCGAGTTCCCGCCATACCAGACATGCATCTTCTTCCGATGAGGTAAAGTGTCGTCGCCTGGATCCAGTCCAGAGCTCTTACGGAAGACCAATCAGCCGGGAAGCAAGTTTCGTCATGATACCTAGCGACCTGCTGCCGATGACCTGATGTTTTTCTGGATGACCATCTTACAGGCCGGCGTAGTTAGCACTTCGAGCCACCGCAATGAAATACGCAAGGCAGTCTCGAACATGGACTACGAGACCTCGCGACAAGGGTGGGATCGATTTCAGCCAGTTCGGATACCTATTCTGACGCAGCGTGACCGCCACAAATACACCACAAGATGCGATACGTGCGTAGCGTCGTGTCCGTTATCTCGTTCAAGTTCGGCGAGATCTTTCCCCGCAATTGTGCGATCTTGATCTCCCCAACTCGGCAGTCTCGTCCACATCCCTCGGGCGTAGAGACAGAAAGCATAAAAGATGATTCGATCTGATTCCACCGATAATGCTTGCTCGTACCACGCCGGGAACGGTACACTCCCAGTGCATACAACACACATACAGTGTACATAAAATACCTACCTAAGGCCGTATATATCCTCTAAACCACACCCCTGAAATAACCCCATTCCACGCACGTCGCCCCAGTCCCCAGGACATCCCAGAACACCGCCGCATACATACCGAGGTACGAAGTATTGTACGTAGTGATGGCCAACGACAGCGACAACGACTTCACCAAGAACAAACACAACCTCGTCGGCGTATGGAGCCTCATCTCCGGCGCAATGTACGACTCCGACAAACCCGACCGGACCCTCCTGGCCAAGCCCTACGGCGACAATCCGCACGGTAAAGTCGTCATCTCGTCGTCAGGATACCTGCTCGCGACGCTCGTGACGCCCGAGGGTCTGCAACCCCTCGCGTCCGACGACTGGACGCTAGCGACAGACGAGGAGGTCCTGCGCGTGGGCCGGAGTCTGACCACGTACGGCGGCTTTCTGACGGTGAAGGAACAGGAAGACGGGTCGCTTCTTTGGCATACGACCGTGGAGATCGCGAGTAATCCGAATTGGGTGGGCAAGCCGCAGACGAGGGTTGCGCGGTTCAGCGAGGACGACGGCGAGGCGTACATGACGTTGAATCCGGTGAAGTGGTATACTTTGAAGGTGCGGCCCAGCCCGGCTCCCCCTCTCTATGAATAACGAAGGCATGCATGCGACGGTGCGCTACTGATACTGACCAAGTGCTTGACTCTGTCTAGGATGGGACGAAAGCTCAAGGAGAGTTCAAATGGCGGAGGGTCGGTTCTTGAATAGTAACGAATGATCACTGTGTCTTATCCTGCTTGGCCTCCTCGACAGCCTTCTCCCCCTTCTGCTGCATCTGCTCCTTCGATCGATCCCACGGTTTGCCATCCCGCCAGAAGCCCTCCACGATTGACTTCCTACCTGGCTTCCCGTTGCGCGGTAGTTCATTCAGCCAGTCCCAGCGAGTCTTGTCCTTCCAGCCGCGACTCTGCCAGTCGTTGAGATCTAAACCTGGATTTTCATTCAGAGCGGGTAGGTGCTTCAGCAACGCTTCGTCGTGCGCAAGACACACCATCACATTGGACGACTGTTCGAAATCGAGGAGCTTGTCCACTGAGTGCTGCGCAGCGCGGGGGTCGACATACGCAGAAGCGCTGTGGGTGGACACTTTGTAGAACGGCGTCCGCTGCCGCTCGTGGGACGATGCGTCGTCTGACAGTTGCGGGTGATGATCAGTGAACAGACTGCACGGGCATGGTAGGGGAAAGTACGGAGGATCGTGATCCAGTACATCGGCCGGGATCGTGTCGGGAAGCGGATACGTGACGTTCGGCCTGATATCGCCCACGAAGTGGCATATGTCTCCACCCAGCAAGAGGAACGTGCCGCCGTCGTTGGCGGAAGTCGTGCGTGCAAGTCCGCACATATGCCCGATACAGTGGCCAGGCGTGTCTATAAGTCGGAACGGTGATGAGCATGGCCTCGGCGAGAAGGAGCAAGGTGGCGACCTACCCAGTAGATAGAACGAACCATCCCCAAAGAAGTCATACGCTTTGAACCCGCCCATCTGAAGGTTCGACTTGGTGAAGTCGATCTCTCTGAGCTCTCGACCCTCAAAATCAGACACGAGGAGAGGGGAGTCCACCTTCTGCGGAAACCCAGGTAGCAGCTGCGGAGCGATTTTGAACCCAGGACCAACCACGATCTCGGTCGCGGTCGGGAAGAGAGCCATATTGCCGACGTGATCCCAATGATAATGGGACCAGATCACGGAAGCTGGAAGGACGGGTCGTCAGAAAAACGTGCCGGATAGCATCCCACGCAACTTCGACTCACAAATACTCCCCAGATCAATCCCCTTATCCTCCAAGATCTCTGGAACGCCCTTGTCGACCCGCAGGCTCGGGATGACGGTACCGATTCTCTTCTGTAGGATCGCTGCATAGTTCCAGTAGTCCTTGCGCACGCCCAAGTCAAACATCACCTTGCGGCCGGATGGCTCATGCTCAAGTAAGAATGCGACGGCACTGAGGTTGAGGATCTCGTGGCCTGGTTGGACGGGTTCGACGAATGATTCGGCTCGCACAGTCATGCGGGCCGTGGTGTCGATCATTCGCACCCGGATGGTCGACGGCGAGCGCGGGAAATTGATGGAAGCGGCAGCCATTTCGAATGATGGTATCAGTCAGTCAGATTGCAGCAGTGGATCGTCCTGGTGTTCACACATTTACACAATATGACATTGGTCGACGTGACAGTTTGACATTTGTAGACAACACAACCGGGCACTGCCGGAGAAGCATTTTCGACGATTGTGTAAATGAGACGAATCTCTGGGAGAGTCACCCCGCATTCTGACCTTCGTGCACGCGTAACGGGTTTCTTCTCAACCAGCAACATTCTCAGAAGAGATACGTCGCTGCACGAATTGCGGCATTCATGAGACCTTGACATTCTGCACATAGCAAGGGAAGTGATGTTCGAACGAGAGACCAGGCTGGGAGATCATAAGTAGTGGTCGTTCAGATCAGCTTCACATGAAAGTACCGCTCCCGTATCGCCAGCTTAATTATACAACCGTCTTCGAGATCTTGGCGCATGGCGATCTCCCTCGAAAGCAACCGATGGTCTATGCAGGGTAGGCCATCTCTTGAGCCTTGACATAGCCCGCACCATTGAGCTTCTCGGCCAACTCTTGCTCCCGATGCTCAGCTTCTTTGTCCTGTTGAACAAGGGAACAACATGCGCAGCAGCATGATGTGAATAGATCCGTCACGCAGTCTCCCTGAAGGTTGTACTTCTTGCGGATGTCGGCGCGCTGGAACATCATCGGGATGAAATGCAGACCGAAGCAGGAGAATCCCGTGAACATGAGGCACTGTCGGTATCCCGTCAGTTAGACCCGCTTCACCATCTGCCTCCAGCCCGGACTCACCGAGGCGTTGATGAAGCTATAGCCATTCATATTTCCATGCTTTCGGGTTCGATGGTGTGTCTTGCCAAAAGTCACGCATGGCACGCAGCAAGTAATAAAGCCTGCGCAGGGATATCAGCTCATCTGATGAAATGTGACCGGTTGAAGACAGAGTGCCTACAGGTGTCAATTGGAGCAAAGCAGCTGAAGAAGGATGTGTGCCATGGTCGAGCGTCGGGCGCAGATGGTGCAGCAATGATGGATGAGTCGGCAAGACCCTCATTGAAGCGCTTCATCCAGTCTTGCACGTCCTTCTGGTCGATCATGCCGCCCTGGGCAGGAGCAGGAGCCAGGGGATCGGAAGCCATTGTTGGGATAACAGAAAGAGTGACTAGGGTGAGATGAACTGTAAACAAGACGGAATGAGCGACTGAAAGAAAGACTGGGTTGGGAGTAAGGGAGTCCAGTATCGATTCAATCCGGTAGGGACGCTGCAGTATATAACTCCAGGTACTGTGTATACGAAACCAGCAGCTTCAAGCCACGTTCTGCATCGAGTAGCAGGCTCGGTAGGCCAAGGTGAGCCTTGGTCAATATGCCTGCTTGTGCCACAGTCCTAAGCTGGAAGTGTTTAGTCTTCCAGCGAGCCAAGAAACGTGGTTAGAGATGCGTGCCCGACAGGCTGTTTTTCCTGACCATGAACCTTTCCGTATATCGAAATTCAGGCTCAGCCTTGCGCTGCTAAGCGAACAAAGAGTGGAGGCGCAGGGATCGGAAAAGGGGTCGACCACGCCTTGGGCTAACACGGCGCTCGGCCTCAAAATTCGAGGCTTGACACGGGCCATAGACTCTTCTCACTAGGCGCGTGGATTGAACGTGTTCGGCACGCGTCGCAAATTGAAGCTGTTGAATACGAGAAAGAAACTTTCCATTTGGGGCGAGGATTGACAGGCGGATCGCGTGTCGAGCGAAGTCAAAAGCCACCGTGGCGCGGCGCGGTGCGGAGCAATCTCAACATGATTTCCTCCGTTGTTTCTCTCTCGCGACAAGGAGAGTGGAACTGGTCCTGGTACTGTAGGTCACAGTGACTCAACATGGTCTTGATTCCTGATGAGAATAAGCTTGCACTCGTCGCAGCAGAAGAGGCGTTGACTATGCTGAAGCTTCGGGATGTCAAGAGAAATGCCCCTTTTACCCCGCGTCTCAGCATTTGGCGTTGTTGTACGGAGTAGCCCTGCAGACTTCGCTGGTGCCAAAACTAATTCAAAGTGTCCCGCCAGGTAATTACTGTGAAAGTAAGATACTGGTGAGACAGGATAGAAAGTGACATGAACGCCTGCGATGCGCTGCACGTGTTAGCGCCACCATGAGCGGAAGGAATGGACCGTTGGGTGCCCTCAACCTTTGACTCTTTCGATGTTCAGTCGGCCTCGAGACGTCAGGTATGCGAGCTTTGATGTCAACCGCTGCCTGCCTCCGATAAGTATTGCTTGGATTTAAGCACCTGTGATGCGTGGACGCATCCCTGAGCCGGCACCAGCATCCCGCGTACTTTCGCCGAAGTGCGGAGTACGCGTACAGTCCACAGTCTGGGGCGCTTGGGTTCCGGCAACAAGCGTGAAGCTGGGCTGGGCCTTCAGTAGGCCCAGAAACTGGCAGCGCTCCACAGCCCCTCGACGCAACACTCCCTCTTTACGAAGTACTGTTCCATAGAATGCTTTACCAGATGCCACCAGCTGGCGAGAACATCGTGGTTGGACTCGAGCAGGTTACCGTGAAAATGAATGCAACGGCGCTGACGCCGACTCCGAACTACCCGCGACATGGACCGCCGAGACACAAACAATGATATCCCATTCTTTGCCCTTGACCTGATTTACCTGCTGCAATATTTCCACAGTCTGGTCACCGTGCTCGGGGTCCGTCGCATTGGGGCCAAGGGACTCGCTGCTGTCTCGCTAGGGGTGACAACCATGAACGTTATCGGAGTTGCGGTTGTGGAAGGCATCACGAAAGTCTGGACACATTATGCGCGCGCAAGCCTGCGGGTCGAGTCATCTTAGACTTGGTGGATTGCGTGTCCAAACAATGGTGCTGTTGCTTCTGCTCATGGCTTGTGCCGTAAGTATAATCTAGCTGTGCTCACCATGGATTCTGGCCAGAGTAATCCCGCAGTCGCAACTTGTCGCCTGGCAGCCATGTTGCCTCGGTTGGAGAAATCATCCTGATATCGTGCACCAGAAGTTAGAGGGGTGCAGAGCAAACGCATGGAAGCCTAGCCCACGATAAGGACTGTGTCCTGTTGGATATTCCGATAGACTCTACCATGATATCCGAGAAGTGCCATTATCCCCAGTAATATCGAAGCCAATATGTTCCGGGTATGACGCTAGAATCGAGCCTCTGGGCCCAACCTTGCCGGAGCTCGTGGAATAATCAAACAATGCTGGGCCCGAGATTGTGCATTAGACAAGATCAAAGTGAAGGCACAGTTCGCAGATGAAGCGGATTTGCTGCCAAGACCGAATACGGCGGAGCACAGCAACGGGGTGACACTCGGACGCGGAGAAACTGCGACCGAGACACATTTCCAGATGTTTGTGGACAGCGAAGTCTCAAGATTCGGTGGTGACAGTTTGTCTCTTCGGACACTTCGACATCTAGGTTGCACAATACCCAGGCACATTCTGCCTACACATCACCGTCGAACCTCGTCAAAATGCAGCGGCAACCCTTCTCTCCGCCCCAGAAATCCCCAGAACTGTTCCATCCCCGACCTCAGCACATCTCCCAAGTACCCATGATGCGATCGCCGCCGCCACCTGCCTCCCAGAACTCATCACAACCCCAGCTAAACAGCTATGGAAATCCCTATCAGTCCCCTCCCGCAGGAGCAGGTGGAGGCGCAGGGTTTGGACCGAGCTTCAACTTTATTTCCGACCCAACGGCACAGATGGGATTCCAAGTCGGACAGCATGCAATGAAGGCCGGGCAAGAGTATATGGAGCAGAATGTACGTGTCAGAACAACGCTTTGGACAGAGAGATGAGGGCTATTTCCTAGCAAGAGGAGCGAAGGCTGACATTTTTCGGTACAGTTGAACCGGTATATTTCAGTCTCAGCTCTGAAGCACTACTTCAACGTGTCAAACTCATACGTCGTGCGGAAATTGCTGCTCGTCCTGTTTCCCTGGCGGCATAAGCCATGGACGCGGCAGCAAGCTCGAATGACCACCTCCTCCACCACAGCTGACGGCACAATGACTCAACAATCGTACTCCTTCAACTATCTCCCGCCACGAGATGACCTGAACTCGCCGGACATGTACATCCCGATCATGGCCTTGATTACCTACATTCTCCTGTCAACCGTGCTGGCCGGAGTCAGAGGGTCATTCCACCCCGAATTATTAGGTAGCATCACTAGCACGGCAATCTTCGTCATCATCTTCGAGATCATCGTTCTGAAAATTGCAATGTATATGCTCAGCATCACCAATGACTCGCAGCTCCTTGACCTCGTCGCGTACTCTGGCTACAAATTTGTGGGGGTCATAGTCACTCTTTTTGGCAGTGAGCTCCTTACGGGTGGCAGTGGTACAAACAACTGGGTGGGCTGGACTCTGTTCCTGTACACCTGGTACGCAAACGGGTTTTTCTTGGTACGTATCCGTCTCACTCTCCAGTCATCAGATTGTTGACCTGTTGCAGCTCCGGTCTCTCAAATATGTCTTGTTACCCGATGCGTCAGGGGACCCAACAGCCATGCGAGGCGGAAGTTCCTACACTGTTGCACGAGCGCAAAAGAACCGCCGCACTTATTTTCTGGCGCTTTATGCTTTCGTCATACAAATGTTGTTCATGTGGATCTTGAGCCGCGAGGAAGCTGCGGTCAAGACGGTCGCCACCCGACTCGCAGGTCCAAAAGCTTAGATATGTCACCTAGAGATACTCAGTGGCTGCCGATACCTGCTAGCTCAGATTTCCCGGCTTCGACTGGTCGTTTTCAGATCTCACCAGAGCCCAACTTTCATGCAATATATTACTGTCGAGAGTTGCAAGGCTGAGGCTGAGGGCAGTTGGGACGAGGACATCCGTGGCATCTGAAACCGCGGACATCAATCCCGGCTTCGGTTACCAAGCTCTCATATGGTATTGGACTGAAACGAAGCTAAATCGGACCTTTTATCGAACGTCAAAACCAGAAAGGGCAGATTCCCATCACCATGGAAGCCACAATCCGCTATTCGCACGTGCTTGACCAGCGCAAGACCCTACTGGTGTGACGCATTGCGAGTATCGACAGTCCTGGATTGGCTTCGTGTGCATATCTCGGCAGCCGCCTCCTCAGACGATCTTCCGCTACTAAGGACCTGGTAGCTGCATCAACCAGACCGATGACGCTGAATTGCAAGCGAATACCCATCATGGGATCGATTTATAGCGAAGCCAAAGAGCTGTCTGATTGGCTCGACGAAGAAGATCATGGCAGCAAGCCAGCATTCCACTACATCCGCGGCGCGGGCAAACGTTGATAGAAGTTCAGAAACTCCCAACTTTTGAACCGCAAGTTAAAGCTGCCGCCACATGGGAGCAGCATCAGGATTTATCGGAAAGCAGACCGACTGCTGAAGAGAGTGGACTACTTAGAACCGTGTCCTGGATGTTATACAATGCCTCCTTGAATGAGGCTGGTTCGGCGGCTGCGGGTTAGCATAGCAAGAGCGGCTGCTTTCGGGCCGTCTCGGCTACTTCGCGGCCAGATGGTCGAGAGGTGATGTTGCTCGAGCTTTGATCACTTTGATCTGCGGGTAGAGATACTCCGGTGTCGTTGCTGGCCGCTGTCGACCATTGGGTACCACCTTACTTGTGCTCCGCGCACGATGCCACCCATCGCACCTTAGTGTCGATACCGTAAACGACTTTTCTCCAAAGAGCACCCAATTCTCGACGTCCATAGGAGACTGTTCACAGGAGAGTTCCACAGTCTTGGTTGAGCTCTCCTAAGTCTACCAGAGCGAACTATGTCTATTGCCGCACAATAGACTATTTACCATTCGGCCAGTTCTGCCGCACGCTGGCCTACAGCATAACTGTGCGGGCCCCTTACGCGAGCGCAACACTCCACCATATCAATGGATGCGACAGTCTCCTATCTTTTCCCTCCCCTCCAGGCCAGAGAAGAGAAAAGAACCGGATTCCGTTGTCGGGCCGGAATGAGCCGCATGTTTGCTCGTACAGAACAGGTCTCATATACAGCCAAAGGCTTCAACATTCGACGCTTTCAAAGGTAGGAGTCCTGGCACTCTATTGTACGGAGGACTACAGGTCACCCCTCCAAAATGTCCTTATGGACCCCATTGTCGAATGCGCTCCTATTCCATTAGCGCTTGACGACAACCTCGGGCACGAGCTTGGAAACATCGCAGAACAGAGATAGGCCCAAACAGTCGTGACGGGTGAATAATCTCGACTTGCTTGCTATATGCGTGTTGAGAGTCTGGTAGCCTCACCATGGTGTTGTCCGTCGACCTGAGGGAGAACATTCCAGGACTCTTGCTGCCACGTGACGGGCGCTTCAGCACGTATGGAAACATCGGGTATTGAGGGGGCACCTCAAGCAGCCAGCCGTGTCTCTGTCCAGACACCACCAGAGCAGGGGACGAGGTCATGGTTCTTTTCGGGTGAGACGGTCCGGTCCGTTTGTGCTCCATTAGGACTCGGCTCAGCAACGTCCAGGTCGAGCTCGCGAGCGGGTGCTACTACATAGGATGGCCCCACGTTCGGCGTGCTGACGCCAGACCAGACATCGATAGGGGACAAATATATAAGTCGAGGACTTTCTTTCTGGGTGCCTAGTAGAGCGTGTAGCGTACGTTGTTAAGATCGAGGGCTCTGTACTGTACAGAATTTCCGCATAGCCTCGGGCGCCTGACAATATTGAGGACTTTATTCTAGTGTGAACACCCTGGCTAGGACCCTGCAATTCACGTACTGTAGTATGGTCAACGAACAGGCAGGCCGCTTTGTGGACGCTCAACCCGCCCATCTCAGCACGTCAGCATCGCATCCTTCGATCCGTCAGGATATCCGCCTGCTGCAGCAGACTTGAAGTTCTACACGACGTGCAATGACATGACATGACATGACAATGACATTGTCTTCGAGAGTGTGTGTGTGTGTGTGTGTGTGTGTGTGTGTGTGTGTGTGTGTGTGTGTGTGTGTGTGTGTGTATTTGTTCTTTTCACGACGTCCGCCCGGCGCGGTTGTCACGATACCCATGGCGGACTAGCTTCGTGGAAATAAGGACAGACGTACGTATGTGCCATTCAGAAACATGTAAGCACGTATGTTAAGTAAGTAAGTAAGCAAGGAAGTATATATGTATACCTAGGTAGGTAGGTATGTATGTACAGTCGCTATCCTCCTTCAGCCCTCCCGACTACATCATACGTGCGTCTAGAGACTCATGAGTACAAAGTAAGAGAGGAGACGCGCATCGCTGGGCCTCTTCAGGAATTCGTTCCGAGGAAGCTGGGACGGCACTGTCCTAAAGTCGTGAGTCGTGATGGGGCAGGGCAAGGCGCTTATCACGACGTGAGAGCCGAGACGACTTCGTGGTCGTACGATGAGGGAGTCTCCCTGGTCGCTGTTGGCCACAAACCGACTTTAGAATCATCCGTGGAATGAGCCCAGTGCGCCCAGTAAAGACATCCAAGGCATATGCCACTGCTTCTAGCACGGCTCAGGTCATGTGCGGCAAGAACAAGACATCTCCAAGCTCTTAAATTAGCATCCGTCTAGGGGAATATCGCCGTACGGTGTGACAATAGTTGGCACATGTCGGGATGCGATATACGGAGAGCATTTTCGTGGTTGAAACTCACCTTCCACCAGGTTGACGGGGCCGATTGTGCCATCCCAGCATGCAAGCCAGTGTCTTTGAAGCAACAGTCAGTCATCAGCTTAGGCTGCCCTAGCCCCTTCGAGCACCGGCTGTCTTCTAGTGGAAGAAAGGTGTGATTCGCCCACTAAGAGCAACAACACGCGGAGTAGAAGCGAGGAGGTTATATCGTAAAGCAAAGCCGGAATCGAAGCCATTGGATAAACGGGTGGAAGCGTTCTGGGCCGCTCACCGAGAGGAGAAATTCTTCGAGAAGACGGCCGCACTGCTCAAAGGTGGTCCAGACAGGAGTACCGTTGCATGCCGAGTGACGGCCGAGGAAAAGGATGGTTAAGTAGGTACTTCTCACTTACCGGAACCTTCACCGACCTCCCCGACGATTCCAGGGCGCTTTCACGTGAAGAGCCGTGATTGATGTAGACTGCCGTGACCTTCCTTTTCCGGCCACGCAGCCATGGAGTCACCGTCTCCATGTGGTCATTGATGAAGTCCATATCAGGCTCAGGAGTCCCTGGCGTCGCACCTTGGGTTAGTACGCCATGAGACAGTTGCATTGCTCGCTGATCAGCCATGAGATGATTGCACGGGCTTCGATGACGGAAATGGCAGGTGGCAAAACTCCTGCAAGACATCAAGGTTGAAAATCAGAGTTGCTTGTGAAGGGCAGGCAAGAGGGCATCCTGGATCTTGGACAATGCTTGCCTATCGTCGGTATGGCTGCAAGGTCTCCTGTCCAGTCAAGGGTATCGTGACTCATGTTTCTCCGGTGTCGGTACAGGACCTGGAAGAAGATGGAGCGAACGGTCCTTTCGTGGAGGGCAGGGTGCACAAGAGTAACCCCACATCTACCTCCATAGACGCCATACCACGAACATTCTTAGCCGGATGCCAGGATCAGGTCCGCCACATCGCTGCTCGCTAGAGGAGTGTGCGCATCCATTGAGGACGTTTTGACCCAGACCAGGCAGACATGAAGCTTGTCGTTTGCGTCGCACCGGCGCCGGATAGTGGAGCCCGCCAGGGGCGGGCCGGTGCTGACTCATGAAGCGTGGGAGAGTCGTCGAGCCCAGAAATCGGTGCTGCGATGGTTCAGGTCGTAAGGTCACCATGATGCAGGCTCTGATCCAAAAGAACTTCTAGTTGCAAAGGCAGTCTGAGAGGTCAGCCACTGCGAAGATTGTGTGTATCGATGACAAAGACGACGAACCGATTCGGTCAAACTGCTGAGTCCATAGAGACCTCGCAGTCTCATCGGCTTCACCCGACAAGCCGGATTGGGCGAGATAAGCGTTACTGAGATGTTGTTTCCTCTTGGAGTCTCGGGGACAAAGCCGCTCATTGTCGGCTATGTACGCACTCGAAACGGACATGATTCTCGTAAGCGATCTCGAAAAACTCGCTTAAACCAGGGCCAGGATTCGAGGTGCATATCGACATGCTTGCAGCACAGTAGTTGACTCATCGCAAGCTAGGAATTTCTGTGAGCGCATTTAGTTTATTGCTGATTCGATGTAGATAGACGGGTCATACAGGGTCGGTGCACTGTCCCGCCAATCCCAATATACGCAGTCTTCCGGCAGCGGCAGTATAGTCGAAGCGGGAATTTGTGGCGTCGGGACAAATAGGACTTCCTGACCTGAGGTGCGGACCCAGTCTGTATCCTCGCAGCCGTCTTGAGCAGGGCACCAATCAGCACTCCTTCGGCGTACCAGGAAATATGGCCCTATCAGTCAGGGGTCCAGATTGAAGCCGTTGATGTCCCACATCAGTGCGTTTGGACTTGCTCTTGCTCGCCCTATCCTCATTCCAGGATGGGCCTCTGCGCAAACGGCTCACCGAAAGTGGAACTGCCTCCAGCGTCTTGCGCATGTGCTTGCTGGTTTACCGATACCGTACTGTGCAAGCCGCAGTCAGGTATATGGTAAAGCACGAATCAATGTGGCTGGCTGCTTTAGTGGTGGTTCAGGACTAGATCTAAGCCACAAGCTCGGCGAGACTCCTCGAACTGGGCCCCACGACATTTGGAAACGATGTGCCGGCCAACGATCGTCCCCAGTGTCGAATCAAACCATATGGAGGCAGCAGTGGGGTCGTTTAGGTCAGCAATCACTCGAAAGGTCTCGATGCATATGTAAGCAGGGACCTCTTCGGATTCGCCACAGCGGAAGAGCGCTTGGCCATGTATGTGGATCTGCTTGGCACGTAAGCTTTATGCAGGCATGCAAAAAGCTCGGGAGGTGTGTGTGGCCGAGGCGCTGGCTCCCGACCATGCCACGTCTTTCTCTCCTGCGGGACAGTTTGTTGCTGACGATACCATGTATCCTCCGCATTCGTACAATGGAGTACCACTTCGAGGCTGACACTCCTGAATCGCGAGAGGTTCAAGAGGATCGTCCTGAATCAGGCCTGCCACATGTGGAAAGTCCCCGCTGTCAACGTCCGGGGCGCAGACGGCCTCTGTTCTGCTCGTCGGTGACTGCTCGGTGCAGATTCCGCGGTCGATTGGCAGAGCGTGGGGCCGATCATGATCTTCTGATGACGCGTGGTTGCGAGCCAGGTTAGGACCAAACAAGAAGGATTCCAGTTGCATATTCTAGTCAAGTATAGATATGCAGGCTCGAATGACCATGCTGGAATGATGTGCAGAGAAAGCTGACTGGACACCTTGACTGTCAAAGTCCGGAGAGCCACCAGCGGTGGATACAGATCGCTTCAGAACGTAAGAATAGCTGCTTCACAGGACCATGGGCGTAATAGTGGAGTTTCATCCTTCTAAACGCGACTCGTGAGACAGGGACCCCTCGAGGGTACATTTGCTCCCCAATGTGGATGTGAGGAGCACATATATCCTCACCGCTGTGCTGTTGCCAGTATGGTGATGACCGCATTAGACCGACACTGAATGACTGGTAAGGTGGTCGGTCGCAACTGCCCCGAAAGGATTGCATCGAGCACAATGTGGTGGACGGGCAGCGGTAGGTGTAGCCAATGAACCAATCAGTCGATGATCCCAATACGTAGTCTCGTTCTTGTTAGTGCCGATGATGATGGGGTTGCCTGAACTGAGGGCAAGAGCGGGAAGAAATGAGCGCGTATCGCATGGCAGGATTCTGTCGATCTGTTGTTTCTCGAACAGGACAGGACTTATGCCTTGGGCTTTCCGAGAATGTGGCGGCTCGGCCGGGGTCGGGCTTTGGATGTGGCTCGTGGTGGGACAGTTCAACGGTCCTCCGTGGTCGTCTGCGTAATGTGCATCACTTGTGGAGGTGGCCAACTCCGAGACGTCAGCCTTGTGCCGCTCACGTGGGACAGGTGGGTGACTTTCTGATACATAGCATCAGTCGTGTCTGCAGCCCATGCCGATCTGAAGCTGCGAACAGACCCGGTCGTTCTGGAAGATGCCCCGAAAATGGGGCTCAGGCGCTGCGCTGCAAGTCCCCCATCTGGTGATTCAGGCGGAGTGAAACCATTTACCGACACAGGCACCGCAGCCGTTGCTCTTGGGAATGCTGTCATGAAGGCGACGAGTCGCGGGTGAAGTCAAAGTGAGAAGCTTGTAACTGCGGTGGAGCCGCGCTTGCCGATTCGGGCAAAAGGTAGGGTTCCCGTGGGCCAATCACCGCCCACGCCTTGTCCCCTAAGAAGTATATCATTATTCAGCGTCGTTGCACGGTGGCCACTTCGAACCAACCCGCCGTTCATGTTGTTTTGCCAGATTCCGTGGTCGCGTCATGGTCTGTCTGGTCTGATGCTGGGCATTGTGATTTTGTCACGATTTCATCGATCTATCCGTCAGCAATTTCTCTGGAAAGACTTCGCCTGTGCCGATCATCGTCGTCCCCAGCCCCAGCGTTCATGGATCGCTTTACCGTGTACGGAGCACGCCTCAGCCGCTCTGAATGATTCAGCTTGACCAGTAGAACTTGGTTATGTAATCGCTTCGTGGCGAGGTGATGTGAGAAGACGCGATGTGGTCGTGCGGCCACTACGTGATACCTATGAGTGGCAATACCGTCGACCACGTTCCTTGTCATCCAAGACGGTGTGTGCCGAGCGGTGAGACTTGGGGACTAGGGGTGCTGTAACAAGAGCCTGTAACTATTGCATCTGAGGCAGGTACCGTTAGCCTTACATGCACGGAGCGAAGCGTTCCAGGCTGGGAGGCCCGAGATATGCATGGGGCCGACAACCGTGATTCGAGGGGTGGCAGAGCCTGACACATCAACGTATATCCTGATGTAGACGTCGATGTCCGCTGCCGGTAAATTGCAGCGTCCAATTGATCGTGCGCTGGTCGCTTAGTCGAAGTCGCGTGCGACTACGAGCATCGGGTCCCGTTGCTGGTCTTCGCCCTCATCATGCCCTTTCCGCGATACTGCCACTATTACATCGCCCAAAGATGACACGTCGAGCTTCCGCGATCGTCCAAATTCGCCTTTTCCGACGGAGAAGACCTAGACTTAAGCCTAGTGGGCGGGTGGGCGTTTGTCAGATGTGTGCAGAAGCGTCCTGACTATCGCGCTGGCTGGTGGTCGGCCTGGGCCGAAAGAGGTAGCAGATATTCCCCCAAACCCGCAGAATGATGTCAACGACCTTCTTCTTCTTGTAGTCCCACCGAGCATGTTTGTCTCGCTTGTCCGTACTTGCAGGAGCTGTTAGACGCGAGCCGTTAGATGTTCGAGGTGGTGAGCTGCCAGATTAGGAAACCGACAATGTCCTGCCGGGTCGTGACCACCCATCACTGTGCGCCAGAGCCGGCTTTTCGTATACCCTTTCGTTATGACAGGCTCGGCTCGGCTACATACTTTGAGGTGCGTGTGCTGGGTTCGTGCCATTGCCCGGGGAGCCGCACCGTTCTATGGACCCCTGCATCTCTTCACATATTATCCTCCTAGGATCTGAAACTGTTAGCAGCTGGACAACTGCAGTAGTGGTCCTAATGATAGAAACAGACTTAGGCACGACCACGTCTAGAGTGCGGCTGGACCCAGTGAGATGTACTCGTAGTAGCATTAATGATCCTATTCCAGAGAATCGTACAGTCTCGCACCCATGATGATACGCCTTCCGTGTCCCCAAAGGTCTGTGCCCGCAGGCCCAATCTACTCAAACATGCTCCCGGCATAGAGATTTAAAAAAAACTGGCGAAGACCCGATACCATGCACCTCCATCAGAGAGGGAGCGTCTACCCTGCGAGTTCCGTCGGTGGTGTCAAACAGCCGAGAACCAGTCTCCACTCCACCAGATTTGCGCCCAACTCTTACCCCGACAGTCCCGACCGTCAAGCTTTCGTGAACCAGCTGCAGCCCCGTGCTACAGTGCCCTGGACTCTGCATCCCGAGTGAAAATGAGCGTCCGGTTGCGTAGACGCCGACCCAGTGGCGAGAACGAGAGCTGGGAACTCTCATTTTGCCCCTCGGTCCTTGCTGGTGGCCACCGGCACGCTTTCAATTCCCCGTCGTGCTCGGAGGTTGGTCCCAATGTTTGAGCATCTGCCGGAGTGCGCGGGTCCATTCGGCCACGCAAGCAGCAACAAGTCGTTCGAACTCTTCCTTCGTCGGCCTGCGACCTCCCCATGTGCTAGCCTTGGAAGCAAGAGCGCGCGCGTGTTTGGCGATGAGATTCCTGCGCCAAGGTCAGCGTCCGATCTACTCTCGGGGCCAGACCCATTGTCTCAGAATGGACGGTGCTTACTCCTTCTCCATCTTCACGAGGACTAGCCAGCAGTAGTTCCAGCTGCGGGTGCTACTCGGGTCGCGCACCACCAGAGCTTTGGCTTCATCGAGACACTCAGAACTGAATGGGTATGTCTTGGTGAGGCCACGGAGCTCACTCAACAGGTTGTTAGAGTTGACATAGTGAGCCCACGCCGTCGTCATCGGCTCTGTCACCTCGGCCGAGTCCAGATATGCGAAGATCTTCTCAATACGGCGTAACTCGGTGATGGTGTTGACCCGATGAGTCCGAAGCGATTGGATCAATTGGTCCTTGTTGTTCTGCACCCTCGTTAGCTGCCAGACTCGAGACTGTGTTGTATGCGCCAAGGAACCCAGATATGCCAAGAGATATACTGGAAATGACTTAGGAGAGAGATAGGGGCAAAAGAAAGGCCATAAGGAAGGGGAAGCAAGAACGCCCGCAAACATAGGAAATATTACAAAAATAAAGCCTGGACTAACTTGGCTCATTGTTCGAGGATCAGCCGGTGTGCCAGGGGAGACAAGCTGATACGTCTGCGGCCTTGTTGTCGTGACCGTGGTCGGCCCTTGTGCTGCGTGCCGAGACATGGGGTCTTCGTAAGGACAGGACGGCGACTGATGTGGAATGGCTCGTGAGATTGCTTGCTGCGAAAGAGGATCGGTCCTTGCTGGGAGGCCTGATGATGGTTGGGATGGAGGCTGAGAACCGCGTCCAGCAGGGTGAGATGGCAAAGAGATACGACTCGACGAGTCTCCTCGCTGACCAGGCTGAGGTCGTCTTGGGGTATTTGTACTGCGATTGCCTCCTGAGCCCTGATCGGAGGACTCGTCCATAGACAACAAGCTGCAGTAATGACGTTCTGGTTCCGAGGGAGGAGGTTGGGCGATCTTGAGTAATCGCTGATGATACAACTAAAGGGGGATTGACACGATCCGCCAACCGGTATTGAATGAGGACGCAAACTTAGTAAGATCGCAGCAGCAAGATTGATGAGTTGAGACTGTGGAAGGACGCAGGGCAATGTAGGAGTTGGATGGCCACGGACAAAACAAACCATGGCAGAGAGATGGGCTGACACATACGTGCCTGCAGAAGTATTATGAACTTCTGGCAGAAGCGTGATGTGCCAAGCAAAAGACCTGCCGTTCCGGTGATCTTCTCCAAGCACGAACAGAGCTGTAAATGGACGACTCTAGGAATGATTACCATGGGGTCATTTTGTGCGGCTGTTTCCCTGCCATCGCCGCCACCCCAAGGCGCGGTGGAATGGTCATCATCCGAAGCATTAGATGCTACACCTCCAGTCCGTCTAACGTGAAGAGCGTGGTTTTGACCACCGGGTACCTCAGCCTCAGGCACGCCGCGGAGAGACTTTTGGCGTCATCTGGTGAGGTTCCGAGTATGGCGGGCCACGTGCCGGGCGCCGCGATCTGAAGCCGGCTGGTCAAGCAGGCAGGTCGGCATTGGCGACAAGGTGGAATGGCGCGGGGGGTCATGATGGGGGCCAGATCAGCAAGCTAGTGAGGGTAGGTGAAGGTGAGTGAGGACGCAGAGACTGCCATCAGCTACTGGCAGAAGGGAGAGGAATTTCCGGACGTCACTAAGCGCGGCACGGCGGGAGGGACGCTCTACAATGAGGAAGTGGTTTGTGGTGGTGGGAACGAAGGTAACCTTCCACTCTCTCATACGACGCGAGTGGGGGCCGACGAGCGACGAGCGATGGCCGACGCGGAGCGAATGACCACGGGTGAACAGGGCGACGAGCGGGTAAAGCCTGTCGCAGAAGGCGAGCGTGTAGCCAGTGGTCGTATCCGAGTACGCTTTATGGCTGGTGCGTCGGACCTTTGGCTCCAGTCAATCGGCAGCGCAGCCAAGTGAAAGTGAGAGTGAAAGTGAAAGTGAAAGAGAAGAGAGGTGTGATTGAGAGGTAGACACGCTGCCCCACCGCTGCCCGCCTTAGTCAGGGCCAGCTTCAATTAATTGCTGCGTACTGCACGCCGATGATGCCGAGGCTAGCCTTGTTCGGGCGTGGGCCCACCTCAGCCTCTGTTACTTGGGGCGGTGCTGATGATGAGCTGTGTATGAAACTCGCTGTCCGTCGCCTCATTTGGCCTATGCCTCTGTCTTCCTACCCGAATCTGTACCGCAGCCCTAAATATGGCCCCGACAGACTGTCAAGCAGATTTCCCTACTTGGCTATGGCTGACGATCAGCCACGGTGAAATTTACCGTTCCGACTCGTATACGACCAGATTGCCGATAGCTTCAGGTCGTCCTTGATTTCTTCGCCTGCGAGCCAACGGGAGACGTCTCCGGTGTTCGAGGCTGGCACGGCCCGGTACAGGATCTCGCTTCAGATCTTGAAGTTGCTCCCAATTCCTCGATCCCAGCCAGCCAGATATCCGGCATCCTGAAAGCCCGGGTGCTCGTTTGTCGGGACTCGCTTGCATGGGGTTGGAATAGGTAAGCAAGGCTTGGAACGTTTAGTTTGAAGCTCGCCAGGCGGTCCGATCGGGTCCTATCAAGGTCGAAATCCCGCCTGAAACGGCTATGCTGGCGTCACCTATGGTCTTCGCCCTGTACCCCAGACGCAGGACCTGACCGAGCTGTGATACCTCATCGGGGGCCGCCGGGACGTTGGCGATGATCCTGGGTAGCATACGGATTTGAGGAGCCGCTACCACCGCGGCTACCACCGCCACCACCCGAGTCATAGGCATACGGATCTCCGCCTGTGGACCAAGGCTCTGAGGCTGAAATGTAGGGCTGAGAAGACCCAGTTCGCGAGGGATTGTTAGCCAAGTCTCCGACCCCGGGACCATATGACCCCTGACTAGCACTGTTCAAGCCGGACGAAGGACTACTTCTTCCACTGCCCCCACCTTGCAAGCGAGCTCGAAGACGATCACGAGAGCCCATAGCTCCAGGGTTGGCAGCAGGAGCTGTCTGGTAGCTTCCGGCTCTTTGGCTGGGAAGGGGCCTGGCGCTGGGGATGGGTTGGCCAAAGGACGTGGTCCCACCATTTCCACTTGAGTGAGATCTGGCAGAGTCATTGGAGCGCATGAAATTGGGAGTAGTCCGCGCAGCTCGGAGACTTTGAGGTGGGGCCGTGGTCGCTGCGGGAGCAGAGTCCCAGAGATCAGATAGCCCTCCGGCCCTGCTCCCAGAAGAGCCTCTTGAATGTGTTTGCTGGTTCCCAGACTGGGAAGGAAATTGGTTTCCATATTGGCCATACGGACCCTGAGGCTGGAGTGGAGCCGTCACGGGCCTTTTAGGATCCGGGGGCAGCCACTCCGGGAATGGACGACCTTTCTCCGTGTAATATGCGCGCAGAACATTGGAGATGTGTGAACAGTCTTCATTGTCTGGGTCATCCTCCTCGGAGTCTTTGGTTAGCGCTTTCCGCAGGGTCGCTATCCGGGAGGAAAAGGTGCTCGACCATGTCGAAGCCGCGGCGGCGGTGGTATTCTGAGCCGCCGGCTGGCTGGAGGAGTTGGAGGTGAAGTAGGAGAGGTACGACGCCATGATCTGGCATATGGAGGACTCGTCGACGCTGCGCCCCCTGGGAAATGTGCACGCAGGAGAGGATTCGCCGACGAGGGATGATCGCTGTGTGGCAGATTTGCACGTATGGTCAAATGCAGAGTCACCCGACGTTCACGTGGATCTCAACCCGGATTCACCTGCCCGTGACTTGCCTACACAGGACAGTAGAATCGTGCGGGGAATGTATGCCGAGGACGTTAACTTGGCGGGCGCCTATTGTCTCAGATTCAGACCCCTCTCAGCTCCGGGCGCGTACGCGCTTAGCTAACACGCTAACCTGTTTCCGGAGGAAACAGGCCTTCGCAGAAGGGTCTGAGCTCTAATATGTATATTAGGGTTAACTTTATATTCGCGTCGCGTGAAAACCGTAAAGGTTATTATATTTAGATAATATCTCGACTTTACGTACTATCGACTATATCTATAAAAAAGACTTATATATATCAATAATAACTCTTTTAAAGCTTTATAAAACGCACTTTTTAGAATTTTTAAAGCGGATATACTTTTCTAGATCTTATAGATAGAGGCGTTCTTCTCTCGATATACTTTAACTTTATAACTTACTCCTTAGTACTAAAAAATTATTTTTTAAGTGTTCTTAGTATTAATAAGTAGAGAAATAGCTTTAAAATATAGCTATAAATTTTATAGATATAATAAGTGTATTTAAGATAGTAATATTCTAGTTTTTACTTATATAGCTATCCGTATTTAAGTCTATACTTAGCACTATAAGTATTTTTATAATTAACTAAGAAAATATTAATTATAGCTTAAATATATAAGAATAAATTATATAAACTATTATAGAGAGATACCCTTTTTCTCTTAGGCTTTATTAGATCGATATACTTAAGTCTTTACTACGGGATAAATAAGATACTATCTTATATATACCGACTAGTACTAGTAAGAGCTTAATTATATAGATCTATCTAGCACTAGACTTAGAATAGGTATTATATATTATTCCTTTAACTTAACTAGGTAACGAATAGGTTAGGAAGATTAATACTATACTTAAGCTAAAAGGTTATTAAGAATTGCCTCCGCGCAGCGTGTATAAGGACACGTGAGCACACAGGTAACCCTCGGGGTTCTTGAGTATCGGGGGTAGAGCAGAGGTCAATGTCGAATAGATCGTCAGACGGGACACAGCACTTATACTGTATCTCCTTGAGCGTAATGTTAACTGAAGTTAACTACACCTCCTATAGAAGTGTATCTAGCTATAACTATATACACAGGTAGTTTTCCTATCTAGGAAAGTCTAGGCGTTGTATAGTTACCTCTATTACGGCCCTATACCCTGTAACAATACAATACATACAACGGCTTATTTCCTTTTTAGGGTATTACGTGACCCGAGTCAGCCTTACTAATAAGGCTGACTTCCTCGCTTAACCTTCCCTTCTACGCCAGGCCCGGCAGGCCGTATAAAGGTCGGTTCGTAACACTTTCCCCTCCTTAGCCTGTTCGTTATCCGTAATGTACTTAAGGTAGGCTATAGCCCTCCTTTATCATTATCTATTGTCTCCTCCTTTTTTATAGCTAACTATATAGGCCTTTAGGGTGTATAAGTCGAACCCTAAACCTCTTAAGTCTTCTAAACCTATTGTTCCTTAGTAGTAGCGTTAAAACGAGATTACTAATTATATTAAATTTATTAAAAAGACCGAAGCTATAGTATTCTATACCGAGTATATAAACTATAGTAAAGTGTGTTTCTACTCGAGGGAGTAGAGTATAAAGTGCGCGGTGTATCTTCAGCATCGGAGAGAGTATAACGGAACATTTTCCGTAAAGGAGCTCCGGAAGATAGGAGAGTAAAAGAAATAACTATCGGCTAAGTCGAGAGCTAAGAGGCGCGAGATCGCGCGTCTTCGAAAAATATTAGTGAATGCCCGCCGATCCCTAGCGGCGTTAGAGTATAAGATAGCCGAGGTAGAGGAGGAAGACTCCTCCTTATAGGACTCTATCGCGAAGCTAGACGAGGTGTTTAGTAATATATTAAAACGAGAGATAATAGCGCTAAGTACCTTTAATAAGGCACTAGCCCGGGCTAAGGTAGCTCTAGCCGAGCCTAACTTTATTTAGCAGGATACGCCCCTAACCGAGTTAGTTAACTAGAATAAGATCTTAAACTTCGAAGGTAGCAGCTAGCTAGCGGCTAGCTAGCCTCTTATACCCTTATTTTAGTGGTATTGTTTAATAAGATCCGCGGGTAGGTTTTCCTTAGGTTCCCACGTGTTTTCACTATCCTTATACCCTAACCATTTAATTAGGTATTATTGTCGGCGTTTAGTTCCTCGGTGGTTCACAATTCGTTCCACGTCGTACAGTGGCTCTTGTGTTTCCTCGTGGATTAGGACTGGTCCTGGCGTAGCGTTCTAAGGTACTTTTTTAAGTAGTGATTTATGGAATACTAGGTAAATGTTTATGCCCGCTAGTAATTCCATCTTAAATATTACTAGTCCTAGTTTCTTTTTAATTTTATATAGTCCGATCTTAGTATAATCCAGCTTATTACTTAGTCTTTATATTTTAATGTTTTTTCGTAGGATATAGACTTTCTCCCCCTCCTAAAAATCTAGTCCCTTAGATCTCTTCTTATTTACGTATTTTATTATTTTTTATAATATTTTATATAGTTCTAATTTCATTATTTTATATAGTAATTATAACTTCTTAACCGAGATTCTCGCTTTTTCCGCTATTAGTCGTAGTCCTCTTACGTCTTTTTTAATGTTTAGGTGTTTTCCGTAGTTTGCGTAGAATGGTGATATTCCTATTATAGTCTTTAAGTTATTATATACGAACTATAGGATTAGTAGTAGTTCCACCTAGTTGTTTTATTAATAGTTAACGTAGTACCGTAGGTACTATTTAAGTGTTTAGTTAATCCGTTCTATTTATTCGTCTGTCTATAGATAATATGCTGTAGACAGTTTTTAGTGTGTTCCCGTTAGATCTATTAGTGATTACGAAAACTGCGACGTGAATAGCTTATCCCTATTAGATATAATCTCTTTTAGTATTCCGTGCTGCGCAATAATTATCCTCGTGAAAGCGTATACTAGTTCCTCTACTATACTTAACTCCTTTTAGGGTATGAAGTGAGCGTATTTCGTGAGTGTATCCGTAATTACGATAATACTGTTATAGTCTATCCCTATAAGCGGCTCTTTAGACTGCGGTAATTTAACGATAAAGTCTAGTGCGATTCGGGCCTATAACTCGTCCTTAAGTTCCGCTGTTTATAGTAGCCCGTATAGCCTATATTATATATATTTCGCTTTTACGTATATATCGTATTCTTTAATATACTCCTTAACATCTTTCCTTAGTCCTTTCCAGGTAAAGTCTCTCGTAACTAGTTTAATAGTCTTATTTACCCCTAGGTGTCCTGCTAACTTATCTTCGTATCGTCCTTTAATACTTTCTTTCTTTTATTCATTAGTTAGCTTAATGTCTATAATAGCCAGCGTATTCGTAAATAATGTTCGGTATATAAGTTAGTTGTCTTCTCACTTAAGGATAGCGGCCGGTTTTAGGTGTGAGTTTTCTTTATAGTCTAGTCTTCTGCTTAGGGCGTCCGCCCTTCCGTTCTCTATTCCGCGCACATAGTTTATCTTGAACTAGTATACCGAGAGCGTCTCGGTCTATCGTACCTATCGTCTAGTTAACTGCTTTATAGTTGTCTAGTATAGTAAGTTTTTATAGTCCGAGTAGATCTATATAGGGTACTTAGGTCCTTCGAGGTAAACTCTCTATTCGCGTAGTGCTTCGACTATCGCTAGTAGTTCTTTATCGTGTATGTCGTAATTTATTTCTAGTCTAGTTATCTTTCTAGAGTAGTATATAATCGGTCTCGCTCGTCCGTCGTTATCCTTTTACGTAAGGCAGGCTTTAATAGTATAGTCCGATACATCCGTTTTAAGTGTAATCTCTTTATTTAGATCGAAGATTGCTAAGATAGGTGCCGATATAAGTCGGTCCTTAATATCCTTAAAGGCTCTCTTGTAATCTTAGTTAAAGTTATATATAGTGTCCTTCTTTATTAGTGCTGATAAAGGTACTACTATCTTCAAGAAGTCTTTAATAAACTTTCGGTAGTAGTTTATAAATCTAAGTACTGCTTATACTTCTTTAACGTTAGTCGGTTTAAGCTAGTCTCGTACTACCTCGACCTTTTTTAGGTCTAGTTATAGTCCTTTAGTTAACACTATATAGCCTAAAAAAGCTATACTATCTTTATAGAACTCGTACTTACTGAGTTTAATCGGGAGCTATTTCTCCTATAATCGTCGTAGTACCTTTCGTATATATTTCATATATTCTTCGTACGTTTTCGAGAAGATTAGGATATTATCGAGGTATACTACTACGAAGTCGTTTAAGAAGTCCTTTAATGTATCGTTAATTAAGCTTTAAAATAAGGCGAGGGCATTAGTTAGTTTAAAAGGCATTACCTAATACTCCTAGAGTCCCTATCTAGTTCTGAAAGCCGTTTTCTATTCCTCTCCTTTCTTTATTCGTACTCGGTAGTAGGCGTCCCTAATATCGAGCGCCGAGAAGTATTTAGCTCTAAGGAGTCGATCTTATGTATTATCGATTCGTGGAAGTGGATATCTATTCTTAATCGTGATCTCGTTAAGTGGTCGGAAGTCGATATAAGGGCGTAGTCCTTTATCCTTTTTAGGTGCGAAAAGCACTCTATAGGAAATAGGTGATATTGATTTACGTATAAAGCTCTTTACTTCGAGCTTCTCTACGTAATCTTTAAGGAATTCTTCTTCTTTCTAGAATAGCCTTTTTAGCTATCTTATATATCGGGGCTCCTTACCCTCCTAGATTAGTATTTCGTAATCCTATAGCTTATATTCTAGTAGCGCCGCTAATCCTTCGCGCTCTTTAAAGATATCTTTAAAGTCTTTATATTCCGGGGGAATCTTTATAACACTAGAGCTAGCTAG